CCAAGACACACCTTTACTCAGAAGGTAAAAAAAAAGTAAAGAGACCGGGATGGATTAGGTTGGGATAAGCAGTGACAGGCTACCGAGGCCATCCACACTGGAGTGAAACTGGAGAGACTGGAACGCGCCCAAGCCAATCCCCGTTGCGCGCAATCAAACGGGCTGATTATTGGCGCGGTGCAAGGGGCATCCACGGACGACGATCGAGGAACGACACAGGAACCCGCTGCGCTGAACCCAATGTGGATGGATCGGATGTAGAGGTAGGTACCGGGCAGTAAAGTGGGCGTGTAAAGAGTAGGTACAGCACGGCAGATATGCGAGTGTGTACACTAGGTACGTCTAGGTGAGTGCCCGCCCTGTAACTAGTAAGGTAATGTGTGTGGTGTAATCAATCTGTGTTGGTGTGGCACGGGAGGAACTGCCCGGCTGGGATGGATGAAAGGAATGTGTGACTTCGACTTGTTCCCCAAAGGACTGCGGCTCACAGCGACAATTGGCGGGGTGCCGTGGAGGGTGTGTGTGGTTAGATCAAGTCGGTTCGTTGTTGCTGAGTATACCTCCCGTCTACATGTAGTTGGAGTACCCGGGCGACTTGCCTAAAGTTACGCTCCTCCTCCGGTTCGTCGTGTGTCAAGTGTTGACAAACTGTGGTCGGACGGAATTGAAATTAAACTTGGGTTGAAAAGGTCACGTCAGGCTGATCCTCTAATCCATGACACCTTAGCACGGCGCTGAAAGTGGGGTATCGCTGGCATGGAAACTTCAGATTTCCTTCCCCGGACTCAGAACTGGAGTCTCCTTGGAAAGTGGAAGCCTTGTGCCTCCCATTACTTCTAAAGCTGCAGTGACGAGGAGAGCGAGAGACCGAGTGAATTGAGCCAACCGTACTCGAATTCCGACTTGACGGAGGTTGAGTAGTAAGGTACCCAAGGTAAGTAGGTATGAAACAAGAGGGAAAAAAAACTTGGTCTCAAGGGGACGGAATGGAATGCAGTGCAGTGCCTGACCGGGACGGAGCGTTCGAACTCAGATCCTGTGCGGGAGTGCGGGGATTCGCTCCGCACGGTCAAGGTACCACTGATTCAGGTACCAGCCCAGACGTGCGCAGCCCAGAACCACGGGCAACTTGACCAGGGACTTTCCTGGGCCTTTGAGTCCATTGCGCGCGCCTCCCTGGCACAAATGCTTCCATGATGCCTTCCTCAGACCAACACATAACGGAAATAAGTCTGTCTCCTACCAATCTCCGCCGCGAGTCTTTTGTTCTAGTTTACAACTGCTTCAAAGCCTGGACTCAACTCAAGTCTTGACAGGAAATCTGGAGAAGATCAGATGGAACAAAGTAGTGACATGCCCCCTCGTCCCCTCGATGCAGAGGCCCCTTTTTTCGGATATGTACTAAATGCAAGTCACAATGCCGGCATGGCCTCTTGGACGCTCGTTGGCTCACACAGACTGCGCTTTCCCCTTTTGTGCTGCCAAATGAAACTTTAGTGCCCACTAGGTAGAGGTACCCATCAGATTGATGCCGTCCGTGCACATGACATTCCATGATATTTTCCTTCACGGCAGTTATCTGACTTTGTGAGCGTCTCTCCAAGAACCTCCTCTCCTCAGCCTCCATCGATCCGGACCCTGAATGCTTTTTTGTCTCCGTCATAACTTCAACTCCCCTTGTCCGATCTTCCTGATCCAAGCATGTATCTGAAACAGGCCTGGACTTGAAGAGAGAGGATCGATATCAACCGCGTTCCTGGTTTGGGTTTCGCCAAGCCCCAAGCGTTGCAACCTGGGGGGCCCACCGAAATTTACCACCACGCTCGGACGAGTCGAGTTTTTGAGCCCTGTCTCTACCCCTGGAACTATTCACTACTGCGTACACTAAGGGGTCTTCTCAGGGGTTGCAATATCCGATAGACCCTTTTGGAAAATCTGCCGCTTTCTCTCTTTTTCCTATATCCATTTGTCAGGTTTCCGAGCTGTCAGATACATAGTCTAATAAGGCAATTGCCTTTTTGACGGGACAGGATAAACAGAGAAAAATAGCTTTTGTACAACCATCCGGAGGGTAATCAAAATAGCATGTCATGGCAATCTCCTGATGTGGTTCAAACTCCATAATAGGTATCAACCAAACTTCAGCTACCTTTAGCTAGGCAGACGGACCTAAACAACAAAGCGCTGGAGAAAAACAAGGGACCGACCACTATACCGAGTGAGTCCACTGATGTGCCCTTGTTGTTGTGGGTGACCTCCACCTTTAACGCTCGACACGAACCAAAGTCATCCACCATGCACACACCTGGCACCATCAGGAGGACGCTTGACAACCACGTTCTCACTCTGTCTAGGATCATCAGATCGTCGCCATATTTAGCCCTAGCAATGATGGTGGTTCCCAATATCTATCTCTAGGCGACTAAACGACTCGCTGCCGAAATGCCCAGAATGCAATTTTCTATCGAAGCCACTTGATACATTCCGTCCAGTTGCCAAGTCAAGAGACTGATCAGCCTATGCATATCACATGCCGTTCAGGCCTATATAATGGCGGACGATGAGAAATGAGCCCCGCAGTTCAACAGCAATCGTCTCTTCTGGTTCGTCAGTGTCCTGTTCCCCTTTGTGGACTTTTTGTTTCTTTTTCTTTGTTCTCTCCGTTGCTGCAATATCTCGACGACATGTCAAACTCCCAATTAACCCTGTGTAATCCAGTCCTTTGTGATTTTGAAGTTCCACATGGACACAAGCTTCTTGAGGCTGAACATGAACATCTGAATCTCATTGGGCCAAGGGTAGGTGGTCTGTATGGAAAAAGGAGGTCTTGGTAATGCTTGGGGTTACTACCTGCTACCCCGGGGGACTGTAAATTCAATTCGTCTCGTGTCCTGCCTTTTTCTCTTGACGTTTCAAGACCGCTGAAGGGTAGGGACATTCAAAACCACTTCCTTGTATATCTACGATGTCTGTAAATGTTGCAGCATGCTGGCATATATGTGTTTACCTATAGTATTGATTAGGCCAGTTTCCCAAAGCGAACGGCCCAAGTCTTTGCGGTGGTTTATCATTGGCAGCCAATGAACTATACGCCTGCCGCCAGCATCAATGCAGATGCGGATCCCATATCAATCATCCACAACACCCTGCAGCGTAAAGCTCAGCAGCACTACTATCTTTAGTCAGTACATAGGCGGAGGAAGGAATGCACCAAATAACAACCACTGGTCACTTTGGCGGAGTGGTTAATGCAGTGGCTGCTACTTGCAAGAAGGCTTGGGTGATTCCATTATTTTCAACCAGTCGCAATGTGTAGATCTCTGTATTGATATCCACAACATCATCTACACTGTCATGAAGCATCCGGCTTTGTACATACAACTACAGCCTGCAAGCTACCGTAGAATTTCGCGGAATTCAGATTCCAGGTCAGGCACATACACCTGGTGTCTAGCTGGAAAAGGATGCCAGATTCTGCCCGTTGCACTTTCAAAATGCTGCTTTCTGTCATGCAAATACTACGCAAAAGGGTGGGGGAGTCAATGAATCCAAGCGGAGGTCTATATACCCAACCGACGACGATGATGCAGGGCAAAAGAACAATAGGGAGGGAATAGTAGAGAGGACAGGGACTGGGCTTCAGAAGGACCGAGCGAATCGACTGGAGGGTGGGGTAACCCAGAATCATCCTCCCAAATACAGCGAGTACAGAGGACATAGAATGCACAAATATGCTAAACGAGCCATTTGATTCCTAGCTGGGCACCAGGTGTATATGCCTGACCTGGAATCTGAGTTGCCCGAAATTATACAGTCTACCCATTGGGGAGGGGGTCAGATGCCTCTAGTTTGGTATATAGTTTTGCTTTTTGACCTATAAATTCAACAACAACGACTAGTCACTTTGGCGGAGTGGTTAACGCGTTGCCCTGCTATTACATAATAGTATAGCGTAGGCAATCCATTAGTGGGCGCAGGTTCGAATCCTGCAGGTGACGTCATGTTTTTTTGGCTTTTTTTTGATGTTCTTGACGTCCAAATGATTCCTTTTTGTTGTTTTTGATGTTTTCCTTTTTATATCGGTTGAATGGGACGTTGAAGGGCTGATGATACGCTTGTTGCGAAGTGTGGTGGTGGTTTTGCACTCAGTTTGCACAAAGGTACAAGTGCATTTGCTTCGCTCCTTCCACAAGGTGACGTTACTTTTTGCGCGGCAGGAACAGAACACCCAAGTAGAAGGCCTTGGTTCCCTCTGCAAATTTCTCTGATATCAAAGTCCGTGACTCCCTTTTTATTTTTTATTTTTTTCGCCAAGTGATGGGCCTTGTTCCTTCTACCTGTGGCAGTCGTCACCCACCTGCCTCTACACTCATCCAACTGTCTGTTTTTTTTTCTCTGTCAGGCGGTAGGACATTCCCTTTTTCTTCTTGAAAACATCCAAGGCACTTGATATCCTTTCTCTTTTTACAATCGTCCTCGCCATCGATGTCATCGAGCTCTTCATTCATCGCAGATGCAAACACGGGACTGGTCACGGTTGGAAATCACAATCTCTATAATCGCGGAATATCTGCACTTCAAAAACATTTCTGAATGAACCAGAACACTATGCCTCGACCAACATTCACTGCCCAGCATCCAATCGTTGTCGAAGCTGATGATGCTAAAGAAAAGCTCCCGGCTTTACCGCGCTGATGGAGTTATAAATATCTTCCACACGCCTCATATGCCTGCCCCCAACAGAGCATGGAAATCCCGGGTTTCATACATGCTTAGCATCGTCGAGCCAGTCAGTGGCTCCTATCGCGGTTCAGCGCTGAACATGGTTTGGGACGAACACCAACGAAATACAGCTGACAATAAGTCTCGTTTTCATCAGACACCAAATTGGCGAAAAGATCTCCCTGGTTGAATAACTGGACGCGGTATTGTAAGCGATCCCGAACGTGCCACCCTGCTACAGCCTTGAACGGCAGTGCCTCTATTCGAGACAACACTGCTCATTCCTCGTCATCCTCCTCCTCCTCTGGGTTCCCCTCCTCTGGCTCCCCCTCATCAAGATCCAACTCCTGCTCTTCCAGCCAAAAGTCTTCATCCTCTTCTCCACCCCCAAATTGGGTCTTCGTCATGCTCTCCGTCTTCATTTTCTTGTTCTTCTCGAGCCTCGTTCTCCTCTCCATCAACCCATCGAGCCGTTCAGATATTCTCTTCTCAGCTTCCTCAAAGATCTCCTGAAAAAGTTTCCCTGCTTGCTCGTTGATGAGCATCTTAACAAACGGGACGGTGATTTCAGTTAGTTTGAGCATGTTGTCGAGATCGTGTTCTAGAAGGGGAGTTTTTGGTACACGTGCATGCCCGTTGCTGCTCAAGCTGGTAACTCGGAGGATCTCGCCGTGAGCGACGCTATCACTCAAGACTTCGATAAGCTGCTTGAGGCAGCCGCCTTCTCCTCTCTCGACGTGATGTTCGCATGTTACCGGGAAGAAGCCATGTTCTTTGCCTGCTCCAGGGCTAGGTTGCGAACCCGAACTTGGGTTGCGGAAGCTACCAGAAAAGTTGCGTTTTATGCCCCTATTCTTAGCCACCGGAGCAGCACCCGCAGAAGCAGCAGCAGGACCCACATCAGCACCAGAGTCAGCAGAACCGGCAGTAGCAGTAGCAGGAGCAGCAACAGCAACACCAACATCAGCAGCTTGTGCCGCCGCCGCGCGCTCACACGTTTCTTGATAAAGGTACGCAACCAGCTCCAAGCCTGTCCATAACCGGTTAGGCGGCATGGCCGGCTGGTGAACGTGAGCGGCATGAGTTTGCGTTCGGGGGTGGAAGTAGCCATCGTAGGCGTCAGTAGTTTCGGGAGTCTCGTCCTCCTCGGATGGTGAGTTTAAGGAAGAGTCGTTGTTGATGATACTGCCACCATTCCCACCATTCCCGCTAAACCACTCCCTCCTCCTCTTCCGAATCTTCTTGCCCTCCGCCCAAACACCGGCACGATTTCCCTTCGCTCCAAACTTCATCAACAGCTTGACAGCAGCCACAGGACAGGTTTTCCAGGTCCATACAATAGGGCTAATTGGACCTGGGTCTGCACACCTGTGGTCTGGGCGATGGTCAAGAGCTTCACCGGTATAACGACTGGTCTTGGGATTAAAGGCAGACCAGAGCACGGATTCCAGAACGGGCGTGAGGCTGGGAATTAGATCCTTGTTGCCGTGCCAGAGAAGTTCTTCGGCAAAGGTCAAGTCGTGGGCGAGAAGGGCTTCCTCGAGTGCGGAGGTGAGGAGGGGACGGATGAGCCGGAGGGAGGGGAGGTACTCATCGCGGAAGGAGATGATGGTTTTGGAGGGAGATGGTACTCTTGTGCGAACTGGGAGAACTGTTTGGTTGATGGTGCCGGCTTTATCAGTGTCATTTTGTGGGTCGTTGACCCTTTTGGGAACGACCTCCCTGGCAGGAACCTCGCCGGTGATGGCCTTTTTGTTCGGCGTCACCTCTTTCTTTTTGGGAGTCACGGTGAGACGCGTGATCAGATGCCGATAGCGGTTAAGGAACGGCTTGATGACTCTTATGTTGCGGGTTTGAAGGCCATATTTCAGAGTGATAAGGCGGCCGGAGCGAAGATCCCGGTGGACCAGCGTGTAGTACAGCTCACCGCGGAGTTCTTGGCACGTGGCTGACAAGTTGACGATATCTCTGCGGTTGGGGAGAAAGTCGCAGATGCACATGAGGAGTTCGACGGGTAGTCGAGGTGCAATGATAGGGCTGCTGGGCGTAACAGTGTTTCCGGCGCTGTTATTGACGCTGTTGTCGATGGCGTAGCTGGGCACAAGAGTGCCATCGCTGCTATCGACGAAGACAGGTTCAGAGAGCGACATGATGATATAACCGATTATCGGACGATAGGTCAAAGAAGCGAGCGACAAGATTGCCCGAGGGCACCGGACGAAGTAATGCTTGAGGTGAAGGGATAGAGTCGTATCGAGTCTTTGGATGGCTGCGCCTTTGATCAAGAGAAGACGACGGGAGAAGCCTGGATATGGTAAGGTCTGTCGTCTTGTAAAAGGTATAGGCCAAAGGGTGCTTGTGATGGACTTGACAGCGTCCGAAGTCGGCTGACGTTTTATTTCAGGTTGCCGGTTGGCCGAAGGTTCAGATCAGCTTACCACGAGTGAATGGTAAAGGGCACGATTTGTTGAGACGACGTCGAATTGTGTGGGAGACAGCTGGTGGTAGATGTGACTGGCAGCTGATGTATGAACCTTGAGGTTTAAACGAACCTGATACTTGAAGGTTTTCAATGGTTTCCCGGTCCTGGTGAATGGCAGTTCTGGTGAAGAGCTCTTCGATCTGATCTCGGTGGACGGTGTCGAGAGGAGGCAAGGTGTAGAAGGTTGATATGGAGAACCCTAAAAAGGCCACATATATTTCGAGGGAAGGGCACTGCCGCAACGGTAATCGACTCCGAAGCGGAGGTGAAATGTCTGGTATATGTCCTCCTGCACTCTTCTGCGGTCTGCGAGATCAAGGTTCTGCGGCGCCAAGTTACATATGTGCAAGTGAAGTGGCTGACCTTGATCCTTCACTTCGCCACTGAACCTGAGGAAGCATGTTTCGCAGAACCTGAACGGCCGATGACCTTAGGTAAACTCAGCGAAGCGGGATTGCCTGGATATCCACAACCACAACCATGACCATAGGGTGCTGCTGTAGCTGTTTTATACCATCGTGGTTGCTTGTGTCAAAAGGTTCAATCTGAGATGGCTGTTCCGTACGAGATGGACTTTCAGTTCCAGAAGTTCTAAATGGTATCATCACTTTGTCAGTATCTTCGTTTCTTCGAGTGTCAGGCGCTTAGGTACCTTCCAAGGCGATAAAACTGCTCAGTCGACCAATACGTTCATTTGGAAAAAGTCCCATCAGCAACAACGCCAAATGGTGAACGAAACGCCGCTGTTCTCACGATGGTGTCGATGACAAGGCTGCTATGACGTCGTGTTACCCAGAAGGAAAGGGGACAGACGTACAGATATCGGATATATATACTTGAGCCGCACAGCCTTGGGATTGGTCGAGGTTTGTCCCGAGGATGTGGTACCGCTATCGCCATGAGACAGACACCCACGCGATATTGTACAGTACAAGTCACTCGTCGCGGTAGTAGTGAGTGGTTGGATACTTCAAGCGCGCGTGTGGCTGGCTCATGGGTGCCTACCTAGGTAGATAGGTAGGTATTGATGGACTCGTCGGGCAGTCTTGATTGCTTCCCCAATCTCCCACCATGTCTAGGTACCTAGGATAGTTACACCCATCTCAGCAAGCGATGACTTGACAAAGTTGAAAGAGGTAAACCAAAAAGGAAACCTCATGCTATGGTATACGGTACCTGTGTCCATTCCACAATGACCGGTAGGTATTCATGCCCCAAAAATGGTAACCCGAAGCCATCCATCTATCCGATCCGATCCAAAGTGACAACCCAGGATCTTTATTTTACAAAAGTAGACCAACTCACCCTAACCGACCAAGAACGCCTAACCAATCCGTCCGTCACGCTTCTTCCAGTGTTCAAAATGTAATACAATCCAGATCTGTGTAGCCTGGTTTGCTTGTATCACGGGCTTTCCTCTTTGATAACAGTCAATCTGCCGCTACCCAGCCTGCGTTGTGGCGCCCGTGTAACCCGATAATTGCCCAGTCTCGCTGTCAAAAACCTATTCTGTTGTGGCTCGCTCTTCAAGTTATTTGCTCTTTGTGCTCTTCCTGGTCCGCTGCGCTTGATAACCTTGCTGCGTGGCGCTTGTTTTCTTCGGGGTCTCGCCCCGCGTCCCGCCCGCCTGTTGGCGCTCATCTTTTCTACTTTGTCCTTTTCCATCATGGTTCTCAAAATGTCTCTTCCCAAGTCCCTTGCCTTGTCGTCATTCATGTCGAGTCCGTATAAGGTTAGGAACTTCCACTCCGTTTTCCAGTTTCTCTTGAGAAATTGCCTCTCCTCCTGAGTATATCGCCCGTCGCCCGGGTGTTGCTTTCGCCTCATCTCAGAACCAGGACCGACATTGTTGTTGTTACTGCTGCCGCCGTTGTCGTTGCCCGAAACAAAGTCCGGATCGGCCTCATCATTACCGGTGTCGAGCGTCGCGCTGCTGGCATCATCGTTGCTGTCCTGATCCACATCTCTATCCGCGAGCAAGTTTTGCATCTCCCGCTTCAAACTCCATTTGTCCAGTTCATCAGCGGCCCATTGCGCAAAGATGCTGAAGGGTAAACTTTCGGGCCACGCTTTAAGAACCGACTCCCGCGTTATCGGTCCGATCGGCGGCCCGCTCAGTTTCAGCGTGAACAATACGTGGTCTGGATCAAAGTAGGCAACCATTTTTCCCGTGTGGTCTTTGATGCAGCCTTTCATCAGTTCCTTTTGCTGCGTCTGCCCCGTGTGGTGGCCTTCTACCTCTTCACCGTCCATGACTGAGTAGCTCCTACTTTCGCCCCGGGCTGGAAAGATGTACACGGAGCACGACTGTCCATCGATATTTGGGATCTTGGCGAGGATATTGCAGGTCGCGTCGGGCACGTGTAGGACTGTTCTGAGAGGGAGGATGCTTTGATTTCGCCGGCCGGTGCGCGCTGGGTGGCGTTTGACGTTGAGGTTGACGGTACCAATGCCGCGGACGGCGAGGTTTTGACCGCTGATGCAGACGGTAGATTTGAAGGGGGTGTAGGTCGTAAACCATTCGCGGTCTTTGGCTACGCTGTTGGGCGAGAAGAGAACAGGTCAGTCGCGTGCGGTGAGATTGGGTCAGAGATGACAATTTGCGAATGGGACCAAAGAGGACTGAGGTCGTGGAGAGCCACTGGCACATACCTCACGTTGGACATGGTCGACCACACCCAGTCCGGACAGAGCATAGGTATGGAGGGGTGTGTACGTGCGCCGAGGTTCGTAGGGCCTTCATCTTTTTGGGCGCGTCGGTTTCTGATCTTCTTTTGCCTCTGATTTCGAGGTTTCCTTGAACTTTGCTTCCGGACGGCGAAGTTCGGCATACCCGCGGCAGTCATAGGGGAACCAGAGTGGTGGAACGAGACTGGCTCGCCCGTAGGTTTTGATATATCGTGGCCCATGGTGTGCGCGGGGCGATCTGGGACGGATTTCGAAAACCGGGTGGAAGGTATCGTCTGATAGCAGGAGGTCTATCACATCAGGTCGATGAGAAATGCTATAGTAAAGACAGAGAAGAGAATAGGCTCCGTAGTCTAGGAGCTGTAGAGAGAGAAACTAGACTAGAAGCTGTTGGGTCTTTGATGCAAATATCAACAAAAGCTTCATCATTCCGTTTTCAAGGTAACAATGAAAAGCATGTGTTTCCTTACTGTTTGCGCCTAGCGCCATCCACAGCGGGGTCTTAGCGTTGTCTAGTGGAAAGACCCTTGTGGGGTAGGTACCTACAAACGCACCCACGCTGTCTTAGGTCTAGACTAGTAGACTGGAGCCAGGTAGTGTACAGTAACTGAATATTTCCCCTTTAGGGGAGCACGGCCCGGGCCGGGCCACCTACCTCAGCCTCTTGTCATCCGTCACTTCCTCAACCAACACCTCTCCAAGACCATCGATTGCGCTGAATCTTGATGGGAGAAGCTTCAATCCTCAACCCATCATTCGTCACTTCAAAAACCCAGTCGTATCATTTCCCAGGCTCTGGTCATTACCTAGGTGGGAGTTGAAAAGAGCTGCAACATGTTGCAGAGAAAGCTTCAAAAGACGAAATGGGCGAAGCAGGCCACAACCACTTGGAGACTGAGCTGACTTGCCAAGATCGTAGGATGATGACGAAACCGACGGAAGTCTTATGAAAGAGGTATCATGTATACAACAGATTACAATGAGACATGATAAGCATAGTGAATATCTGAGTCTGGGGGTTGCAAAAAGAAGTCGACCAAAAATTTGACTCTATATGCTATGTTTCGCTATGTACAGACAGAGCAACAATGGCTCCCAATGCAAGGTCGACCAATAATAAAAATATCTACCAGAGAAGAGAAAAGAACATCCCCATCACTGATCAACAGCTCTCCCCGTCCTTCAACAAAAACACCATCGCCCACCACATCTTCAAACAAGCGAGGCAACTCAACCTCTCTCACTCTCTTCTCCGCCTTTTACTTAGTGCTTACGAGCGGCGCGCTTGCAGCCCTTCTTGGCCGGGGTGCCAGTGGGAGCAGAGCTCGCCTTGCTCACAGCAGCAGCGCTGGTCGCGCTCACAGCAGGGACCGTCGCACTAGGGGCAGAGGCAGGAGCACTAGGGGCGGAGGACGCAGCAGGAGCAGGAGCAGCCGAGCTCTGGGCACCACCATCGCAAGTGGCAACAGCGGGACCGGGGTTGGTATAGCTGGTAGGAACAGGGTAGTAGAGGTTGAACAAGAGGCCGGGGTCGGTGGCATTGTACGCGCCGGGGAAGGAAACCAGCTTGCCGCTGGTGTTGATGGTGCCGGTGCCGCCCGTCACGTTGAGCTGCGCGCACGCAATGTACAGCTGCGCGCCACCGACGGTGCCGGCGCTGTGCAGAGCAATGTGCTCCACACGGAGGAGGTACTCGCCTGACTCAAGGCAGGAGGGGAGCTTGACGGAGACCTCGGTGGCGCCTGTGGGAAAAGGAGGGGGTTCCGGTTAGCATCATGGATACATATGTAGGTCAGGGGCCGTTCGGGATGGGATGGGATGAGGGAGAGATGGAAAAAGTCAAGACATACCAGCACTAGGCCACGTGAGCTCGCCGGTTCCCAGTCCCAGGGGTCCATCCTGGTAAATCTTGAACCAAACGGCGCCCTTGCCATCAAAAGTGGCAGCCGTCTTGCCCTCGGGGACCTTGGCCATGTAAAAGTGCAAGGGACCGGGATGGCCGATGTTGTCGCCAACGACAAACGTGTAGTTGGACCCGGCCGCGACGGACAAAGTCTTGTCGGCGCCAGTGCCGGGGTTGAGCTCGTAGCAGGTCATGGATTCCGAGGTGACGTCGGCAACGGGGCCGCGGCTGTAATGGTTCTCGGTCATGCGGATGTGTTCATATTCTCCGGAGACGGCGCCAGTGGAGTAGCCCTTGGGGAAAGTGTCTGGCAGGAGGTGTTAGTAAAGAAAAGGTTGACAACCTGGATATCAAGTTCCAGTGGTAGGTAGAAGGGAACTCACAGTGAGCCTGGGCTCCGGCCGCAGCCAGGAAAGCGAGAGCGCTGCTGAACTTCATGGTGGATAGTAAAGAGTGTGATGGAACGAGAGTAAAGATTGTGAACGAGAGTAGAAGAAGGAACGACTGATGCTGATGATAGTAATAGCACCACGAAGAAGAGTGGGAAGATGTGATTTTATATTCTTTAGACATTGTCTGCTTCTTCCACCTCTCTCACCATCAACCATCCCCCTAAAGACCCGTACTCGTTAAGACCGCTTACAGATTACGGGTCCTGCAATCTCAGAGTCGAAGACTCCCCTCGACTCCCGATGGTGTTTATCCATGAGATGTTACCTTAGCCTTCCATCCGGCGGCATAAAGTCCATGTCTTTTTGCGAGATCGTACCCGACGTTTTGTTTCCATCGTAGCATACGCATGGGGCGTGTCGATAATCCTTGGGGGATGGGTGGGGGGACATGGCCCGATCGGTGTTCTCCTCTGCCTGGAGGGAAATTCAAGGGTAGCGGTCCGGACCATGGCCATGGAAGCGAAGCCTGTTCGACAGGGGTAAGGTAACACTCGGCGGAAGCATGTGAGAAACACCAGCGAACTTCCATGAAAGGGGGTGAACGTTCATGGCGCTTGACAATGGCAAGTCGGCAATTGATATTCTTGCCACAACCCTAGGGAACTTTCAACATCTTCGCCAGGAGAAGCCATGACCGGAAAGGTGGCATCGCAAGACACCCGTAGACCTTGCCTTGCGCGGTGTTGCAATACCGAGCCGGAATTGTTGAAAATGTAAAATGCGGTACAGCCAGCTTTGTTGCCAGAAGCTAGGGAAGAGGAAGCATTCAACCGAGATTGTAGTTGTCGATGCGGCTCGATGTTCCGAGCGGTGGTGTTGTCGAGATCCGAGCTAGGCGCCTCCCTAGCCAGGGATACAGTAACATCAACCCCCCAAAAGTGCAAACCCCCAAATTGCAATTACTACCCCAAAGTGCGCCCACTCTTCTGGTGCACTTGGGCGCTCTTTGGTGGCTAGAATGTGCTTTGTGGTCTGTGCACCAGATCCCCTAATTGCAAACACCCACAAAATGCAAACAAATGTAGTATCCATCGAAGAGGATGAAACATGTTTGGTAGCGTAGTATTTGGAACGCGGGTAAGCATTTGTGAAACGAAACCTCGGAACACTCGACTCCATCATGTCCATTTCGGGAATCGTTCGTCCCCCTGATCCCCTCCGTTGCCCTTGACTCTTGGCAGGAACAAACCTATCGTACGGGGATGCCGTTATGCGGATGGACGCGGGCGGTAAAAAGAAAAGAATGCAGAAGTCGACCACGTTGGAATCCATGTGCCGAACTAGGAAAGATGAAAATGTACCTTTGCGATTGACTGCATGAGGCTCCCTCAAGAGTTTGTCACGGGCCGAAGCGCCTACCTCTACTGGGGTTTCTCAGCAGCGCTTGTGTAAAAGTACCTACGTCGGTATCTACATTCTCGTCGGTAAACGGACTGATCTAGGTATGCCACTGCACTCTCTACCTGTCTCATTCACTATCCGTCTCCAAAACAGCAACACTCAGTTGTGGGAGAGTGAAAGAAAAGATCCCCCCCTCCTTCGCCTTCAACTTGGTCTTGGTCTCCTCCACCACGTTGTTATGCTTCCACGGATCGTTGTACTCGTACGGATTCGTCGGACCCGTCAGGACCGTCAGTGTAGCGGTCGCTGTTTTCTTGTGCGGCTGCTTTACTTTTTCACCAAGTCCCGCGAACTGGACAGAGACTGCAACTGGCTCGGTAGAGTTGTAGACAGCGGCCTTGAACACGCTGCTTCCCCTTTCTGTCTCTCCAGCGACGTAGTAGAGCGGTCCGATGCCACCGGTCGTGGCGGTGACGGGAAGCGTCTTGGTTATGGCAGTGGTGCCCAGCAGCTGATATGAAGATCATTGTCAGTCATGTATCTGTATGAAGGGAATGAATAAAAGGAGGATGGACATACCTTCCAGACATGGTAGCTGGTTGACAGCGTGGTCAAGGCTGGATCAGCAGCATGCTGAATCTGCGTCATGGCCCACTGCCAGCGGTTGAGGTTGCGAAGACCAGGAGCATAAGTGGCGCCGATGACTTTATCACCATTGCGCTCCAGTCCGAGCAAAAAGATGGCTTCGCCGACACTGCCTCCCCACCAAGGGAAAGGCATAAGGTTACCTTCCCAGCCGATACCGCCGTTGGGGTGTGTTGATGCTGCCTCGCCTGGTAAAAAAAGTCAATATCACGTCTAAGTCCTGGGGTTCCAGGATGTAGTGGGCATACCAATCAAGGTCAAGTTATCCCTCGTCAGACTATCAAACTTGTTGAAACTCAACACCATGTTATCTGGTGTCAAGTACGGGTGATAATCTCCACCAGCCGGCTTGGGAATAGTCATGCCATCGAAGACTGACGGCGAGGCGATGAGCTGGATCTCTGGGTACTTTTCCTGGAATGCCTTGAAAAAGGCGGGGAAACGATACTTCTTGTAATTCTCAAAGCCCGTAGAGCCGCCGCCCAGCCAATCCTCGTTACCAATCTCCACGTACCGGATCTTCCAGGGACGCGTGTGACCGAGAATGGAGGCGCGAATGCCACCCCAGTGTGTGGAAGCGTCGCCGGTGAGGAATTCGAGCTCATCGAGTGCGCTTTGGACGGCCTCGTCAATGCGAGATTCAGGGAGCTCGCCCCCGTCGAGAGCAAGGCCACTCCAAACGGCGAGAACTGAACTAGATTGTTAGGGGTTTGTAGGGCTTGAGAATGGAGGAGGGTAAAAACTGACTTGGCTCCAAGTTGAGGTCCTCGCACCATTGCATGTATTCAACCAAACCCAGTCCAGCACTCAGAGGATATCCCCAGACGCCGGCCCGGCCGGGACGGTTCTTGAGGTCCCCGATCGTTTCGTTCCACTTCCACCAAGTTGGGAGGGTGTTGCCCTCGAGCATGTTACCGCCAGGGAAGCGAAGGAATTTCTGTCTCCGATGTTAGATCATGTTCGAGGCAGAAGTGGGTATTGAACAACACCTTACCGGCTTGAGTGCGGCCAAAGCCTCCATGATATCGACCCTCAGCCCATTTGGCCTGTTATTGTATGTCGGCGGGAACAGACTGATAAGGTTAAAGTCTAGTGAACCACCACGAACGCCCTGTATTGTCTTTGTTAGCGTCTACTGGTCCCCTATATAACGATCATGATGTCGTGGTAGCTTACTGCAGCGTCAAAAGTAATTGCAAACGTGTTGTTGCTGTTTGGTGCCGCCTTCTCTGGAACCAAGTCGAAGTCATATTTTACCCAATCATTGCCAGCCTTCTTGACAGGTACCTTGGTGGTCCCAAACACTTCGCCAGTCAGAGCACTCTGGAGCGAAGCTGTGAAGGATTTTCCCTGGTAAGCGCCCTTGACGTAAAACGACCCAGTGTACTTTTGGACTCTGACATCCATTCCCCAGTACCCGGCATTGGCAAAGCCAACCGTCTTGTTCGAAGATGATGGAACCGCTACGTTCATGGAGTAAGGGAGAGCGGCAGAGAGCGGCTGAGAAAGCTTCTTCAGGCTGAGTTTGGCACCATTGACGGCCGACCAGCCGTCGAGAGTGACTGGGTAACGGGACTCGTCGCCGGACTGGAAAGCGCGGTTACGGATGAGCTCGGCGTAGATGCCGCCATCGCCGGAGTTATTGATGTCCTATAGTGTTTATGAGCGAGACTATCTTTACACCCGCTCAGTGTGAAGGCAAGGGAGGGTAAAAAGTACCTCGTGCATGAGTCCATACATAATCGGGGAGGAAACATTTCCGCCATCGGGCCGGACAATGAGATCAACGCGCTTGTCGGCAGAACATGGTTGTAGTGACGTGAATGTCAGAAGAACTGCCCACAGGCTGGGGTTTAGGTGAAAGTGTACCATGCTGACGATGCCTCGAGAAACACGACAGCTTCCGACAGCATTGATTCTTCATCGGGCCTCGTTCGTGATGTATATACTCGAAGACATTGGGTCAGAGCTGGTCTCATTCTTGAACTGCCGGTACCGAACGTCTGGGCATATCCATTCCTGATCATCCTATGGTCCAGACGATGGTCTTGGCCGCGTCCGTATTGCGGTGCTATGACGAACGCGCCGCAACAGTCACATGCACCAGTTGAACAGAACATGGCGACAAGATGCTCGATGATGATGTCGGAGATGGTCGCTTATGGCTCTCCCCCGCCCTTCCCCGGGTTCTTGGGCTCTCCAACTTCCTGTAACGTATAAGCGCGAGGAGACTATTCGTGGATAAAGGCCGGTTGTACGTAAAACTGATCACTACCTCGTCGATTTAAGGTTGCAATGGGCACGGTCCGCAGGTACCGCTACCGGATAATATACTTAGCCGAGAGCGACACGCGGTGATGGGTTGCGGTGTCAATATGCGCCCCAATGGGAGCTGTGGACGCTCAACTAACATCCTCGGAAACGATAAAGTTCTGTCATTCGCGGTCTTCAATAGGACAGACGAACGGATAAGGTTTTGGGCCGTGGCTGGATATGGAGTCGTCGTCAGAACGAACAGTCAACAGAGACAGATGGAATACGGGGATTCAGATAGGTATATCTGTTCACGCCTACCCGGTCTTTTCGACCACTTCTCATGCTGAAGAAATAGCCTGCTCTTTGCCAACAGCCATGCCCATCCATTTCCCGCGATCAAGGAAAGCCATCCAGATACTTTGACAACTAGTAAGCTTCCGATTCTCATCGCACTATGGAGTCCCTCAACGGCAACTTTGGATTGTAAAGAAAAGACTTCACAACACAAGGTGATGTAATAAAGTTACGCTTGCCATGTGCTTTTCACTGGCAGCACGTCCTGGATCAAGTGCCATCCCAGCAGCTTTGGCCGCTCACCGTCGGAATACTGAGTAGGGACAGGGGATATGTATCGAAGATGTACGTAGTTAGTAAGGCCGAGGTCAATGAAAAAAAGGCAGAAGCCAGCGCATTGAGAGGAAGAGCCCGATGGATGTCCACAAGGGCCCAGGAGGAGATGTAAATCATCAGATCTTAGGCGTAGGGCACCAATGTGAGGTGTGTCGAGAGAGATAAAGGTGCCTAGTGTACTCTAAGAGTTGCCGAACACCAACAAGCAGCAGGGGAGCTAAAAAGACAGTGTAATCAGCTCAAGTCCCTACCCGAAGCCCCGCATTCAAACAGTGGGCCTGAGTAGATCTGCAGATCTGACAGTCCGCTGCAGGTGGCGTCCCCGTCCATCCGTAGAGGTGCCTGTACTGACCTCTAAACTCCAGTGAACTTGGACTCGAAACTTTGACCTTCCCGTTCACTTCAAAATCGCAGCTGGACACTCTTCACGATCCGCGCCACCACACGCCGCTGCTGTCCGAGGGAAGGAAGAGAACATCTAGATGTGAATACTATCCGTTGGCTCCTAATACGACATTTGAACGAGTCCATCAACATGAGTTTGATCGCCAAAATCGTCACCATGATGTGGTTCAAGGTCGAGGTTTGTTTACCACCAGTCTTCATTCCATCGTCGGGGTACTGACACATCCTCCTTTTCACTGCTTTAGGACGCCCTCGTCGCTCGAATCCTTCAAATGCCCCAGTTCCACCATGGCGTCCGCAAAATCCACCGCACCGTCGAAGAGTTCCGTCACGGTCGTGATCCCAACGAACCACTGCGCGAAGGCGAGGCTACCGAGGATCCCAATCTACAGAAGCCACAAGTGCAGAGCTTCGTCAAATTCTTTGTCGAAGAAATGCGCAACCAGGCGCGGGGAACGCCAACCGACATCGATAACCAGCCTTTACCTCCCAAGAAGCGGCCGTGATCCTGTCTGTCGTACCAGACCCCTGCGAACCTGACGCCTCCCATTCATCCGGTCGGCACATACTATCATGATGTTTGAGATACTGATAGACCGAGAGAGAGTTGGGATCATGGTCGAAGATTCAGAAAGACGGACAAAACATACGCAACAGGCGAGAATGATGGACCTCGAAAGATCCACTTGGGCCCGATGCTACCTACATTATCCACGGCCGAATACACCTACGAAAGGCGGCTCCAACGCAACCGCATTATGCAAGCCGCGACGGAGAGGAGTGGTCTATGATATGCGCCCTTGGCATATTTGATTGAGATGGTGATGCAATCCATGGGACGCGAGTTGCGATGAAGCACACTGCTGCGGCACTAGTTTGGGTAATTTCGCCACATCGGACTATGGTTCATGAATACGATACACAAAACTGACAACATTATACACCCCATTTTTGTCCGGGTGTTGGAGCATTGGCGTGGTTTCACGGAGTTGCCTTGCGGTATGCCTGGTTAGGTTACAACACCGTCAGTTCGGTGGAAGACACAGCTGTCATGCCGTTGTCCAAAAATCTACAAGTCATCAAGATTAATGTCTCGGACTGTCGTCGTAGTTCTTCAGATGCGCACATTGGCCACTCGAAATAGAACCGCATGCTCAACGCCACGAGCTTTTCTCAACACGATTAGATTTCATGGTGCACCACTTAAACCAGGGAAAAGAGACGATCCATCGGCTTGACGATCTCTGAGCAACCGTCACCCTAATGGCATCAAGGGCCTGGTGTCAGAGCCGAGTTGTCACTTGGTTCGTTCTTTAGAATCCATGAGTTCATTGTCTTGTGACATTCTCATTGATATATATGAATCGGTTCAACACTTCACTCTCATGGAGCTAAACAGTTGCTCAGAAGTTTCAATGGTACCTGTTGCCAACAAGTTCAATGGAATTTAGGTAGGACCGTCGAGTTGTTGACTTCAAAGAAGACACAGACACACATTTGCCTTTGCTCGAGTGTATTAATCCAGCTTACACTCTACTCGTCATCCTCCCCTTTCGAGAGACCTTTCGACACTGAATGTCGCGCCAAAGAATAATGGAGAATCAGAATTTCTCAACAGGCAGGCTACGAAACACATAACGCTTCGCAGGCCCTAGACCGACATCGGATGAAAATACAAACGAGGCGACAAGCAGCACCTAATGGCGCGACCCTTCACTCTTTCCGATTGCAAAATCACGCTGGCCGGACAACGCGAATCTCGATTTTAAAAACAACATGAGTCCGTGGTTTTCCCCCACCAAGGTTCTCTTCTCCTACGACCACAACACTACCATACTCTCGGAGTATATCAAGTCAAAGCAAGGTGTCTCTGTCTCATTTCTCGTCATATCGTCAACCTACTAGACTAGTGTCTATAGGCCTACCCACATCAAGCATCAACTTCACCAGTTGAACTTGTCGCTTTTGACCTCAACGTCAACAGAGTAACTTCGCCTTTCAAGAGCACAAAAACACGTGCGAAGTGCAGTCATCACGAACCCCGCCCCCTTTCAGTTCTTGCGCTCCTTGATCGCGCTGTGCTACGACGGCTCACGTCGCGACATCAGCTTTTGCTTCCATCTACACAGAACAGACCAAGGTTCTGCTTCCCTTTTCTTCTGGAGCACATAGCCTTGCCTTCCATCTGATTAGCGATGGGGTTCAGCAAGCGAACGGATTCCTACAGACCGAGGGAACGCCAGAACAGCAGCAGTCGTGACTCGTCTCGCCCTGCAGGTGGTGGATCTCGATCCAGAAATCGACGCAGATCTAACTCTCAGCAAGCATCCCCTCCAAGAGGCCCTGCAGCGAGTCGCCCATGGAATCACAGTGGACGAAACTTCTCTGCTCCTGATTGGGGTTACCACCGAAATGATGCGTCTCGTTATGGAGATCAACGTGGTAAAGAAGCATCTTCCAAAGCATTAGGAGAAATCACCAATCGGTCTCCCCTTCCAAGCCCCAGGGCCAGGCCTGGTCGGAGTAGGTCGCCCGATGATGATGATGACGATGAAGATTCACTTTTCGTAAGCGATGGTCCAGGTCCTGAGTTTTTCGAGGACTACGCTGAGCCCGAGCCCGAGCCTCTTCCTCGCCCACGGCCGACAATGCGACAAATGGAAAATCAGGATGGACAGTCAGAGTTTCCGGACGCTTTTCACAGGCGTCCAAACCCAATCTCAGCCTCACGTATAGCTTCTGGCATGTATTTCCAAGCTAGAGGAAAGCCAATTTTACCGCCCTTGACGGCCAAACCCAATTCTTCCCAGACCGGGGAAAACGTCCTCAAGCCTCGATACATATCGACCACCAACATTCCAATTGAGACACCAACCACCCAACTAAAGGCTGCTTCAAAGAAGCCCGTTAACGCCCTGTCGAAGCCGAGCGCTTCATCTAAACCGATTTCCCCGAAGACTGCTGCTTCATTGACGTCTGGCACTGGCATGCCTCTCAAGCCCCCTGTTCCCCTCAATGCAGACAATGACTCTAGCAGTTCCGCCCCTCAAGTCCCCAGTACCTTGGCCGTTGAAAAGGAGCCAAGTCTTTTTTCTCCATTTTCCTTCCCGAGCAAAAGGAAAACCTCAGGAGGCGACAAATCCGTATATCAGGAGCCACAGCAGAGCGTTCATCGCCCTACTCTACCCTCGACATTTGATTCACTGCTTTCCAACAAATCCAGGCCCGAGAACAAACGTGACCCCAAGTCCGACCCAGCATCAACTCGCTCTATCCAGAAACGCAAAGTAGGCGACCTGTTTTCCGCCGCCGATCTCAAGATCATCTGGAAGCAGTGCTTCGAGCAGCGTCAACCCCCCGACCAATCTCGCCTCGGTCACTTCGCACTTCCTATTCCCTCAGACTCACTTCATCTCGTTTCTCCCGCGCAGCTGGAGCGAGCCAAGCGATACTTCGTTCCTGACATTGTCCGATTTGAGGTGACGCCGCTGCAGCTCGGAAAGAAGAACTCACGATCAACTCAAGTCACTTCGAGACTGCCTCACTTAGATCCTACTCAAATCGTGGGCCACGAGACTAGTACTCCCGCCTATCACAAGCTGCAGCTTCGACCTTCCACATCCCAAACGGACGGTCTCGCCTGGCCTGTCTTAAGAGCCATGCAAGTCGGCTGGGAGTTGACCGCACGATGGTACAAGGAAGTCATTGTCGACGGGGGATGGGTCAGTCTGGGTCGTCTTGACCGCGAGGACACCGTCATGTCGGATGCCATGGACATCGATGGCGAGAACGAGAATGACAAGGTCATCACCTCTCGGAACAGCAAAAACCCCATCGGTACAGGGCTCGGTGACTTTGTCGCTAATGAGCTGAAGAAGAATGTGGTGAAGACCAAGCACAGCCGCGACGAACCTGAGGGTTCTTTGAATGTCGATCGCGAGATTGGACGCTGGCTTGATCACGTTTGGGGGGAGCAGGATTAAGCACTGACAAAGAACAACATATGTCTATCTGAGGCCTTGTCGCGGCTCTCATTGCGGTCATTGCTGCGAGGTGCAGTTCTTCCACATATCACCGGCCCAGTGAGTGGGTGCATACTAAATGCAACATCGATGGTACTGCGCTTCCAAGCAATACCACTTACAACTTCCGGGTAAATATCTGTTGCTTTCTGTTGCTCTCAGCAGCTTCCGTTTGTTTAGTTTTACGAAGTGGTCAGTCAGTATCACTCCCATCCGAACCAGGTTCCGGACAAGGTTCCGGACAAGGTTTGCATTGTTGTTGGTTTCAGGTTCACTTTGCTACCTCTATTATACGGAGCAAGTGACCGACTATGTTGGAGATACCCCGTGTACAAAACAAGAGCAAACAGGTCGAGCGCTCGTTTCTTACAGACAAGGTTTCAGAGGGCAGGGTTTTCTTTAGTACCCTCCCTTTAGAATCTGTAGCTTTAAGAGCCTCATTTAGTGATGAAATTCCTCTCTTTTACATGAGGTTGCCTGGTGACGTTCTCGAGTTGGGAATGGACCGCCTGATGTCTGTCTCGTTTCCCTGTTATCATCCTATCAGGAATTTGCCGCCAACAACCCCAACCTCTACGGGTGTATTTTATCTGGGAGAAGAGATCTACCGATAGATTGGGCCTTGTCGTCCACTTCATTCCCAAATTATCCAGGCCACACATTTGGTCCCACAACGGCACATACATTTGTTCCCCGGATTTGGCCTGTCCGCCCAATGCTACTCAAGGTATTTCATAGGCTACACAAGCCGACCAAACGTCACAGGGTGACATATTAATATCGAACAATATATCAAATAGAGCCTTGATGACCATCGGCATTTCTACATTGTGGAATATAAACGGCAGTTGTGCAAGCTACGGCAGGGTAAATCATGAGCGGGCCATGTGGTTTCTGGATCTAGATGCCGTGCAACATCCAAGACTTATAAACCCAACCCCATGATTCTAGGTGACGATGAATCCGTCTTCCCAACCGTTGAACCTATTTTGTTGAACTCAAACGGACATCCGAGTTTCTCATCGTCCTTGGCTTTAATGCTTCCGTCGAACAGCCACTCCACCAAGAAGCAACCCCCGTAGCTCTTCACAGATCATCGACCTTTTCTCCACAATGTTCTGGTCCACCCTCCTCGCTCTCTTCGCGGGCGCCAAAGCTTTGCCCCAATTCGGCGGCGGCGGCGGTAACCGCGTCACCATGTTACGATTCGGCTGTGCCCAAGTAGTCATTGACCGGGTCGATCCGCTCGTCAACCCGGGCCAGATCCCCTCTCCCCATGTGCACCAGATCGTGGGCGGGAACGGCTTCAACGTGTCGATGCCTCACACGGACATTTCCGAGCTTGCCAGCTGCACCACGTGCCAGTTCTCCGAGGACTTCTCCAACTACTGGACAGCAAACCTGTATTTCAAGGCTCGCAACGGGACTTACAAGCGGGTGCCGCAGGGCGGTGCGGCGTTGCAGTTCAACGACCAGTTTAGCACGCAGATCAATGGCGGGGTGTTGGTTTATTATGTGTCGGCTGATCCGGGAAAGATCACGGCGTTTAAGCCTGTGAGTGTGATGACCTCCCGTTTTTAGTCGTTGTATCCGGCAGTACCTAGGTAGGTAAATATGACTAATTCGGCCGGCCGGCTGCTGTTCACGGCAAAACAGGGATTCCGTATGCTCGTCGGCGACCCGAACATGCGGTCGAGACCCGACACCAAGTTGAAGAGACAAAACTGCTACCGTTGCTACACCGGCCCCAACTTTGGCGGCGACGTCGGCGCCCCGTGCCAGGATGACCGAGTGGACTCGGAGACTCTTCCCAGCAAGCCCTGCCCGGGCGGGATCCGATCCAACATCCACTTCCCAACGTGAGATTTTTATTTTATTTCTTTTTTTTTTTTTTTTTTTTTTTTTTTCGACATGAACTTCCCTTGCATTCATTAGATAGATACCTACCTACAAGATACTAACATACATGCCCCCTAAAAACAGCTGCTGGGACGGTAAAAACCTCGACTCCCCCAATCATCGAGACCACGTAGCTTACCCAACCTTCGGGCCCGCCACTTTTTTATCACTGGGCGGCTCCTGCCCGTCCACGCACCCAGTCCGGATTCCCCAGCTCATGTATGAGGTCGTCTGGGACACGACCAAGTTCAACAACAAGGCCGAGTGGCCGGCCGACGGGTCGCAGCCGTTTGTGCTCAGCACGGGCGACGCGACGGGGCTAGGCCAGCACGCCGATTACGTGTTTGGCTGGAAGGGCGATTCCCTGCAAAAGGCCATGGATACGTCCGGGTGCATGGGCGCTCGGTGTGCTTCCCTCAAGACGCAGAAGATTGAGGATGCGAGGAAGTGCGCGGTCAAGCAGTTGGCTAAGGAGGAATATGATGGCTGTGAGTACCTACTTTTCGCCGTGAACTTTGCGTGAACTTTGATGGGTTAGACTGTGGTTGCTAACGTTTCTTGCTTTCTGACTTAGGGCTTACCAAGCTTCCTGGTATGGATATGCCGATGTAAAGAGTGCATTGCTTGTACCGTGGTGTTGGTTAGACTTTGGATCTTTGAGTTGGATGCGCTTGTGGGAGAAACTATAACTTATGACTGGTTTTTTTTTCTTTTTTGTTTTTTCTTTTTTTTATTGCAGACAAATTCGCAGGTACACGTATGATGACATTGTAATCGGGCGTTGTTGGCCTCGGTGAGCTCCTTGTCAGCCCACAGGAGGCCACAATACTGCATCAATCCCCCCCTTTTTTTCCTTGCCCCTGTTCATAGGAACCATCAGGCAGTCCGTTCCACCCTTATGATCCATCTCGCAAGTCTCCTCGTCTGGTCAGGATGCTTCAGCAATAGCCTGTCTCGCCTCGCTCAGTCTCGGCAAGATGTGTTCCTCATTAGCCAAGTGGCAGACAAGGTCGAACATTTCACACCAGATGCCATCGTCTTCGGTCTTGAGTCGATGAAGGTCGTCCTTGTCAAACCGCCCAAAGACCTCCATGAAACAGTCTTCCAAGTCTTTCCACATTTCCCTTTTTGATTTGATTGCTTGTTTGTATGGATTTTCATGCGTGAGTAAGCAGTGCAGGATCTTGTACTGGACGTCCAGAACTAGGAACTTTTCGTCGTAGTGTGTGTGGGGTGGGCGTGATGGAACACACGCTATAAACGCGTCCAACAATCCAGCGGCCTCGTCCATGGCATCAAGTACACATTCCTGGACGTACTGGACACATTCATCAAAACTATGGCGTAGTCTCCATGCGGGATGGGGGCCGTAGTTCAGTACGACTCGCGACTCTCCCAACATACTGGGGTAGCCAGAGTTGGGGTCCTCGTTCAACCAGGTCTTGACGACGTCGTGAGAAACACAGCCTGTGACGACTCCAAGGCCAGCGTCGCCGTCAATCCGCACTCGAAACTTGCAAGTAGGGCCGCATTCGCCTTTGATATAGCAAAAGGTGAACGGAATGTTCTGATGCTTGCTCATGATTTTGCGCTGCTGGTCCGAAATGGTAGCGTTATACGCCCTCGCTATGAACATGTCGATGGACTGATGTTCGTCTGTTCCAAGTGTCGTCAAGAGCTGGCCGAGGTTGGCGTTGTTGTCTTTGAGAAACTGCCGCATCATGAGGACTTTGTGACCGGTGAAGCTTGGGTAGTGCTCTTCGTGGAGCTTTATCCGGGGAGGCATTCTGATGACTGGGGTTTCATCCATGCGTCCCATTCTCTGTGTGTATTCCAGTTCTGTCCACTCTTCGTTGTTGGTGGAAGCGGAGCTAGAGACCACTCGGACTTGGTCTCCCGAAGCGGATGCCATTATGCTGTGTTTGTTGCTTCTGGATGGAGTGCGAAGGGTGGTTGAGAAACTGGAGTAAGAGGATGTACGAAGATGAGGAACCAAATGGTGTACCGTGGGCTGAGATGATCCATTTATCCAAGGTAAGCACAGACCAAGTGTCCATGGATTTGGGACCATTCTTATCGTAAACGAAAGCCAATGGTAAATTAGGACCACAATGTTCATGGCCAATTAAGAGACTCATCATTATCTGATTCTGAGATTGATCTTACGTGAACACCAGCAACGGAAGCCCTGTAATAAAGTAGATGTACCTCATGTTGACGCAGTACGGGCCGCATACTGCAGAAGTGATGGTGCTGATACATATGGCCGGTGGTGGGGGAACAATGGATAAACCCCGAGGGGGATTGTGAAGGAAAAAAGTTGGAGAGTTTCAAAGATCTGGACAAATGCTGGATTCCAGAGAGGAAAAGAAACGGCCTCAAGCTAAAGGCAAGCAAAGGCCCAGATCATGAACATCTCTTTAGCTGCTCTTGCCTAACCAAGAAACCATATTTCGGCTGGCGGTGGACTCCTTCCTTCAGTCAAGGGGTCCTTCTTTGGCTGGTGGTGGCTTCTTTCCAATACCGAGGGCTCATTCCATGTAGATACTGATTCCTTCCTTCGTAACCGGACTTTGCTGTTTGCATGATGGGACATGCAAGGAAGGTGGGGGTGGCCGTAATGGAGCAATGAAAGAGAAGTTGATTAAGTAGATTTCCACTTGGCATCAATAATGAATACATGCTGATAGTTTACTGCCCTCCCACCAATGGCACCGGGTACCAAATTGTGTTTCTTCCTCCCACAATCACCTACTCTTTCCATCGTGGATCTCAAGATATCTAGCCCATTACCGCCTACCAGTACGCCAGCTCTCCATCAGCAGCGCCATTGCCATCAATGACAAACGCAACATCGTCCTCGGACTTCCCACAGAATTCATCCGCTGTATAAAGCACGACACCCGCATGAAGCAGCTTCGACAAGGGCTCCTGTTCCTGAATCAGATCCTTCAGTTCAAAGAACTTGTCGCGCCACACTCCGCCGTCTTCCGTAGCAAGCCGATAGAGATCGTCCCTGCTGCAGCTTCCAAACACCTGCAGGAAGCAGTTCTCCAGATCCCTCCACAGCTTCCTGTTTGTCTTTATGTACCGCTTAACGGGCGTTTCCGTCTCGGTAAGCAGGCAGTGGAAGATCTTGTACATGGTGTCCATGGCGAGAAACTTGGCTTCGTACGAGGGCAATCCGTTCTCGTTGTTGGAGGGGTCCACGGTTGAGGCGACCGATCGAAGAATGTCGTGTACCCTAACAGCGGCAACCTTGGGCACGCCAACCTCTGTCTGCCCTGGCAACCACGGTGTGTTGAGATCGCAACCCGCGTTCAAGTCCTGCCGGGCTTGGGCGAGCAAAGCGCGGTAACCGGCTTCGTCGGTGTCGGCGTTGCCCTCGGGAACGGTACATCCCAAAGCATGCGCGGGAACTGGGCCGACGAGGTCGCAGAACATGTCCGGGTCCCAGGTCTCGTCGAACTTGCGTGTACACCAGCACTCGGCGTCAGCAAAGGTGAAAGGCTTTTGTTGGTGACGGCGCAAGTTCATAATTTCGCGCTGCTGGTGCTCGATGGTGGCGTTATAGGCCTTGGCGACGAAGAGGTTCATGGATTCTTGCTCTCCGTTTGTCCCAAGTGTCTTCCAAAGCTCGGAGAGACTGGCGTGGTTGTCTTCGAGGAACCGGTACATCTTGAGGACTTGGTTGTCGGTGAACTTTTTGTTTTTCTCGAGGTTGAGGCGACGAGGAACTTTGATGATGGTGCATCCATCGACGCTTTCCAGCTCATGGGTATGAAACAGATCGGTTTCTTCAATACCCTTGTTGTTAGCAGCGAGCACATCCTGAGGTTTGTAGATTGAAGAGAATGACATGGTCTCGTAGACGGAAGAGAATTCCATGGTGAGTGATGTCTGCGATGCTCGTCGCTGAGTGCCTAGGTGGAAAGGTAATGAAAGAGAGTTTGAAGAACAAGTGCCTGCTGTTATGAATGATTGCTGTCCTGTCAAATCTTCTCGAAAGTGTTCAGAGTTGTCGCCTATTTGTATTCCGAATTCCTCCTACTGAGTTGAAGACAAATGGGCGGATGTCACTGCCCATCGTGGGATTAGAATAGTAGCCTCCCGTCACCATGGTTCGTTGTTCCAATACAGTTCCGCTCCTACAGCGGCTAGAGTAGCGGCGTCAGCACCATTAGTGATTCTGCAATAAATTTTTCTCCAAAGGGGCGCAGGACTGTTCCCACCTTGCAGTTAGGGTCGTCTTCCCGAAGACTCCTGGAGCCTCTGCGCAAGTTCAATTGCCCATGGTGACGTGTATGTGATGGGAAATGGCCGTAATTAAATGACCTTGGTAATCGTTCTTGGACTGTGAAAGGGGCGGCAGTGAAATGTGATGCCAAAATAGAAATAGCCAAAGGGCAGATCTCAGGAAAATGGGGTGTCGTATGCAGTAGTGCAAGCTGCTATAACCGTGACAGCTGAGATGTGCCTCCCAGTAGGAGTCTTTGCAGATGGAAAGAAATTCGTGAGTCGACTAATGTCGAGTTGACCCAAATTGGCTGTCTGGCATCTGCGTCTGCTGTCATTTGGAAGTGCATCAAGGACAGGATACCTACGCAGGTATCGTCAGCACGCATGATGCATCCTACCTTTACGAGGTTACGCCAACAGAAGTTAGATTGGTATCAGGCGAGCGCAAAAGACGAAAACTCGGTGACTCCTCAATGACTTGGACATTACGTATAGTGCAGTTTTCTTTATACTCACCAGATCACCCAAGCTTTGAATCCCTTTGCAACTCCTGGTTCCTCCATTACCCCTTGATATCCAACCTCACATTTGCTAATGCTTCTCCTCCCCCGTCCCTCTAATTCAGTCCCCAACCCATCAAGCTTATCTCCCACTCCCACTACCACTTCCACCACATACACTCCTCGGCAGCATGCCCAACGGGTTCTTAATTCAGAACCAGCTGTCCCCTCCCTTCCACCCACATATAAGCTACATACGAGCAATCCTGACACACCTCAACTCCTGCTGATTCCGTGTTTCTTCCATACATCAACCCGTTTGTCGCTATCCTTCTCTGCCCCTGCTTTACCCCTTCACGGCTATCCATGACTCGCACACGCAAACAAGCAGGATTCGTACACTGTTTCGGGTGCTGAGTCTCATTATTGTTTCCATGACAGACACAACACACCCAATCGAAGCTATTAGCGGGGAGACGGGAGGCCGTACCGGGTGATGGGCTGCGTACCCGGATGATACGATGGGGGGAGAACCCTTGGGGCCCTAAATCGCTGGCTGGGTTGCCTACTAGTCTTGCGGGTGCGGATGTGCTGCTTTTCTGGAAACATCTGGGTAATCAGCCGCGTTGGCCAAGCGTGCAAAGGAAAAGGATCGCTGTTCTTTCTTCACACGGGAAGTAATCCGCTCAGCTACCCCTGCACCAGCGCGTAGTCTTTTTGCGGTTGTAACTCAAAGAGTTGTAACGTCTTTGCACAGTTTGTCTCGTGGTATCCTGCCATATCAGCTCTTTTTGCATCTCGTTGCTGAGAAATGTAGCCCTAGTGTCCAGTTGCAGTCTCGCTTTTTCCATTATTAGCTGACATGTGTTATACAATTTCCTTACGACCTACCATGTGGGAAACTACCATCGCTCATACTTTGAACTTTCTGTCCGTCACCTGTTGTCAGGAGTAAGGGAACCTAAGGTATGAGATGGAAACAAGTAGCGGTTGTTCGTAAGGAGGATGTGGCGGGGGACACAAAACACAAAAGTACTATGTACAAGAATGTAGACTCAAAGACTGATTCCTTGTCAGGTGATACACGTTCTGGATCGACCAGAAGTATCCAATATTGACTTCCATCCAATACCATGATGACATGCCACGCAAAGGAAACCAAAACCATCATCCAATGATACACAATTCCCAGCCGACCCCCTAAGGGTACCCTGGCGACCCCAAGGCATCTACATATGCATCGAAAGTGATAGCAGCCGGCTTCGCACTCATGATATTCCCCGGAAACGCCGAGTCTTTGAGCGCAATATTCGCCTTCCCAAAATCGTGCGCATACAACAGGTCCCTAATCCCTGCCGGAAACCCATTATACGAAACCAATGGGCCCCTGAACCAGACGCCCTTAGCATTCTCAATGGCATCATCCGCCGCGTCCGCGAACCGGAAGCAGTGCGTGTTCGCCCCATCCTTGTGGTAGACTATTTTGGGATGCTCCCCATCCCACCTGACATCAGCGGCGGCCTTGATCTGGTAGCCGCCGTGCCGAGAGGCGGCAACGTACTGGGCTTTGTTGTTTGCGTCCACCCAGACGGCGATGTGCTCCCAGTCGTGGGTATGGCCCACATCCAGCAGGTAGGGGATGGCTACGTCCTTCTCGAAGTAGTAGTCATAGAGATAAATGCACCAGCCGTTGGCATTGCAGCGCTGTCGCGAGTAGACATTGTTGTTGTCCAGGTCGGACGGGTCGCGGCAGTCGGAGGAGGGAGAGACGAAGTTGTGAGGGAGGCCTTGGGCGATGGTGCCGTCGGCGCCAATGGCTGGGACGTTGTAGCAGCCGTCGGTGTCAAAGTCGAGAGAGGGCTGCCACCGGAGGTCGTTGGCGGTGGCGGCTTGGGGCAAGGCGGTGGGTGGGTTGACGGCTACTCCCCAGAGGTGAACATCATCCAGTGTGGAAGAGGAGGGGGAAGGGGGAGTAAAGGTGGTGTTCCTGGGCACGGTGAGTGCCGAAGCGCAGGCCGCAAAGAAGAGGGTACGGAATGCCATGTTGACGACTTGGTCTGGCGGCTTCTGAGGCGGTAAACGAGGGATGCCCGGCCGAATGCTCTTCACTTGAAGTCCGATCGAACGAGACACTCGATCCATCTTATATGGGCATCCATCGACGGCACTTGCGGTGCGATAACCGGACAGCTTTCAGATCAAGGGTTCGACAACCTTCCTATTCGGGATCAAGGATACCCATCCGACTGCAACCACAAGGATACGATGAAGCATCGGGCGTTGGCTTGCGCAGAGTATGTACCGCCGTTTCTCACTCGATATGGTCCTCATCAACTCACTAGCAGATTGGTCGAAGCCAGATATACCACCCGGCGCTATTCTTGGTTGAGTGAAACCATATCGAGTGAACATATGCGGTTTCATACTGGCATGGGAGCAGATCAGTCATGTTGTCATCGAGTCGTGAACATTGTCTCTGGAAAGGGGTGTTGCGAAAAGAGAAATTTCGTCTCAGGTTCTCGGCTGTTGTTCATGATGGTGTTGGCACGTTTTCCCCGATGTTGGATGAGGTGAATTTCCACATGTTGACTTGACGTTCGAATCACGGGCAGAATTGGCGAAAATACAGCAGATCAAGGGGGGTGTAGGGTGCATGAGCTGCAGACTCGAAAGGTCAAATGGGCGACCGAGAATGAAGCTGCAGGTGATGCTGGACCAGATTCAGGGGCAGGGTTCCCCGCCCAATGAGCGGCCGTGACGACGATGCCATGGCCTGGCCGCCGTCAGCCATTGGAGGACAAAACCACCATGTTCGTGCCGAGAAGGCCACTCGCCAGTACCGGATGCGACGTTTTGACGAACGTGGGAGGTAACCTTCCGGCCAGTCAGTCATGATCGGAAGTATATGATCGGGTTATGGCAGCTGGAGGGAATCAAGTGCGGATGACTTTTTTTTTCGAATCAGACAGATTATCAGGCGGCATCTGTCACGAAATGGATCGCTGAGGACGGTAGTGGAGGTGAGCCTAGGAGAGTGACATCCATATTGTATTAGAAAGTAAGAGAAAACTGTCATGGGCTTTCTTAGGCAAGGGCGGACAGAGAGAAGCAAGCAGCAGATCAAAGGAAAAAATCACGTCCGTTCTAGTGAAAGAGTGAGTGATGAAAGCAATGCTTGAAGTTGACATTCCCATCATGAGGTGTCGTTCACACGGACCCATAATCTGTCAGCTGTCAGTCAGGAACAGCGACTTTGCCAACTGCAATGCTTTGGGGAGCAACTGACTCTACCCAACCCCGCATATGTACCTAGGTACACTACTGTAAGTAGCAGTGTTGCCTGCCGCTGACTCTCGTCGGTAGAATGTTCAGACGGGACGAATGCCCAAGCTCCACCAAGCTGATGGATGCCAAGACGAGAGGCATCCGGATTCTGGAGTTTGGATTGATGAATGGGAATTCTGGAAATCACCATTCGATCCATCTTGTGTTGACCTGTGATGGTCATTTCACTTATCAACGGTACTAATTACCTTACTTCACGCAGTACAGTCAACCGTCTCAACGATGCGCCCGAACCATGACACCACGCAGCTCCCATGGCCTCGGTAACGACAGCAACTTGAACAACAACATTTACACCCGAGATGCCCTAGGCGGCATTGGGAATTACCCCGGCGGCATCAACACCGGCATCCTTCCCGTCATCCCATCCGATGGCCAGCTCCCGGACAAGGCCCCCTCCAGCAATGCCGCCACGGGCGCGTCCGCTGCCGGCGTGAGGGCCTTGGCTTCCCAGGTGTTGACCTTCTACTTCCGCGCACCCGCAAAGGCCTTCTTCCGAACCAGAGTCGACTACCTCGCCTATGCGCGCGCCCTACAGGAGCAGCAGGCTGTGCTTCTCAGTCAGCTTCATGTCCCCTCCCAGGTCCTCACCACGGCCGCGCGAGCTGGCGCCCCGACTGCTGTCAGCCAGATATGGGAATGGGTTAGGGTGCGCGCCAGGGCAACAACGCCAGGTGTGATTGCCTCCGCTGTGAAGCACTATGGCTGGCGCGTCGTCCCGGACCAGGTTCTCCCTCCCTTGATCGCCAACGTGACTGTTGGAGCTGTCCTGTATACCAGCTACCTCCACATTCTCGGCCATCTTCATCCGGAAAGCAGACTCGCCAGCAAACGTGTGTATCCGCCTCCCTCGCCTCTCGAGACTTTCACTGCTGGCTTCCTGGCCGGCACTTTGCAGAGTGTGATAGCTGCCCCTCTGGACGCCGTCCAGGCAAGATACGACATTGGCCAATACGCCGGCACATCGACCACGCCCGCGAGCGGCAATTCCAGCGCTATCCGACCAAAGAGCATGTGGGTCTTTAGCTTTGAAAAGATCAAGGAGATCGGTGTGCGCGGAATCTTTGCCGGCTGGACCCTCTCCTTCCTCAAAGACAGTCTAGGAAGCGCCATCTTCTTTAGCACCTTTGAGTATCTCAAAGCCCAGGGCTACTACAACTTTGTGTCCTGGTATTACGGCTCCCTGAACAAGGAATCCATCATTCTCCTCTCCGAGAAGCAACCATCCTCAGAGTCAGGCAGAGAAGACAGCGACGACCCCCGCATGCCTGCCATCATCCGCCCGCACTACGCCATCGAACCGGCCTTCCTCTTACTAGCAGGCATGGGCGCCTCAACCCTGCAGCAGTTTATACTGCACCCGCTCACCATCATCCAAGCCGAACACTGGGAAAGGCTGGAAAAGATTGATGCGCAAGCGCGCAAGCTGAAGGAGATAGACAGAGAGAGGCTACTGCCTCCCGCCGAGGAACGGGCGCGCTTCCGATGGCGCATGATGAAGACGTACTACAATGCCTACCAAGAGACGTGGGCGTCCTGTGCTGCCGACGCCAAAGGAGCCGGCATGAACATGCGAAACTGGTTGTACAGAGGTTTCTGGTGGAACACGATCCGCCAGGTGCCCAGCACGAGCGCGGGCCTGATTATCTTCGAGCTGGTCAGGAGAAAGTACGGGTTTGGAGGTGAGCAGGTCAGAATCAATCGGGATGGCTATGATATCCTCCTCAAATAGAGGTATGGCACGTGGGAATATAGACTTGGATCTTCAACAGATTTCCACATATAAGTGAGTACTGGTCTTATGTACACGGACTTTGGACTGGCATGGGTGGGCGTTATTTTGTGGGCTCGTTTCTGGTGTTTTGCTGTTGGCAGGCAGTGCATGGTTAGGTACGAAATGTCGTTGCTATTTAATGGTTGTGAGTTATTTTCTCTTCTATGATCCACGGATTGGCTCAGACATCATGTGGAGGTGGATTGGTGTAGTGCTGCTGGTGATGGAGGGAGGTTGTTTGAGACGGTGGGAGGCGATACCCTGGAAAGGAAGTTTGATGGGCGGTAGTCATTGTTAAGTGAAGGGGGCTGTAAGAGACCCGAGTGAGACGGTGATTAGAGCTCAACTTGAACAGCCCAGTCCAGAAAGTGACAATAATGATGAATGTCTAATAAAGCCCAGGAGTAGAACAAGGAAAATAGGATCTCAGCCCATGTTGTCAGTCATAACATTTTTGGAGCTAGTGGTTGGTCGAGATCAGTGCAGATTGGCTTGATGATTCAAGTCCAGAATGGTTGGAAAGGAATGAACTGGCTTAAAATTGCCATTAACAGTAAAACTAGGAACATAAGGAAAGTGGGAAAAGAGACCAAGAAAAGTTCCCGAGATGCCTTCTTGCAATCAATGAATTCAAAAGAGGCAGAGGTGAATTCAATTGCGAGGAAGCAAAAAAAGAGAAAAAGAAGGTCTCTCCCGCCGGGAATTGAACCCGGGTCTCGAGCGAATCGAACTGATGTTCAAGCTTGACAAGCTCACATACTGACCACTATACTACGGAAGACTCACAGATGTTGACATCTGTCGTAGCTGATTGACGAAAACGATGGTGCATTGGGCCTCCTATATATCGCACCATACTTCTAGTTCGCAGCGAGCTTTAACACTACAGTACCGGTCCCGGTACGTGTTTTGTCTCTATTCACAGAGCTGATTTGCTGCTGTATTAACTATGTACATTGATTGGGGTAAACAGGACACTACAATATTTAATGTAGAATTTCACCATGGCCGACAGACAGTAACCGAGTATGCAGCTTCCAAAAATGTCAACAACACATGGTACATGGCATAAGGTTCGAAACATGGGACAGGCTTGTAGACACCAAGAACCTCAAATCTGGAAATGTCGATAGTTTGGCTCGGCTAGTTCCAATAGTGCAAGCATGGCGGCTGACATTTGACATGCAATCGTGGCGAACAGCCGGTGTTTTTGTTTGTTTGTGGTGTCGCTGCCACGCTGGAGTTGTACGATGCACTGCACTGCAATGCCGATACCCTGCAGCGACCCGAGATAAACCTAGCAGCTGACAGACAGTAACTGTGCTTCCATACACTCATAAGCATCTCTGACTCGCGAATTCAGATATAGTCGACTCGCTCTCATGTGATGGGCGTCGAGTCCGAGGGAGATTGCAATTTGCCCCGTCATCGATCGTTGCCCGAATTGTCGGGTGAGGGGGTCCCGTCCCGTCTTCTGTTCAGTTCTTGGTGTGGCCGTGTTGCTGCGGCCGCTGTGGCCTTTTTCAGTTGTCCAGCCATTCGCGAATGCCCCTTGTGCTGGGAAGTACGCATCCAGGACGGCAGCTACGTGCGCACGGCTAGCACCGAGGCAGCTTCGGGTGCCACACTCTTGGCCAATGCTTCTCTCTGATTGGTTGGCCTAGTCGCCTCTAGTGTACATAAGGTAGCTAATCTTGACGAACTATCCACTCCACCACTGGGTGCCATTTCCCCTGACATATTCTGCAGCGCGAAGGCATGGTTGCCTGGACTGAGACAGACCACTCAGCTCTCCAGGGCCCCTTGCTACCTCAACGGCTACTTACCACGCGCAACTAACCCACCCAGAATCTGCAACGCTTCACGGTTGCTTCATCCCATGATCCAATCTTCTCGAACCCTTCCTTCTTCAGCTTCCACCCGACTTTCTGGTCTACACTAGTGTACTTTCCATAGCTAGACACTAAGTCGAGTCGGTGGTGGCAACTTTTCTGTGCTCTTGATCCTTGTGTTTACATCCCTTCAGTCTTCTCTCCTTACATAGCCTATTTGCTCGGCACTCGATACTACACCAACCGTGCCTTGCTTGTCGATTCTCCTGCCGATCACGCCGACTCTAATTCCACGTACAGCGGGCCTCGTTTCAGGAAAAAGCGTCCTGCCAGTCACTCCCTTTCCCCGACGTTGATCCAACTGGCCACCCTTACCTGACCCATCCCACATTGTGAGAAGACCCGGCCGTTCAGGTACTTCGGCTCCCAGCACTCGGCAGGCTATATTTCTTGGCCTACGAAGCTTCGCTTGACATTTTGTCCCGAACCTCGTCCTACCAGCGCAACGCATCCTGTCTCTCCCCCGCCACGGGACCGAAGAGAGCCACGCCAGCGTCGATACCCGTCTTGCTGTGCGACACACCCAGCAAGCGGCGAATACTTGTTTGACATCTCGACCTCGCTTGCCCAGCTTGTGTCATCCCATGTCCTCCCTCTCGACCTAGAATCTCGACAAACCCGCCGAACATTGCGTCCCGACCGAGCATTACAATCGTGCCATCAAGGTAGATGGGGGCTTCTAAACGCTTCTCCATCTCCTCTTCGCCATAATGATACCACGACCAACATTTTTGTTGCGGTACATCCTACCCGCCATCGCCATTATACTATGTCTCTTCTACCTTAGCAGTACCGACAACGTACTGCCTAGTGTTGACGTCGCCGCCCCCCCAAGGCAAGGCACAATAACCGGAGAGAAGCCCGTGGGAGTACCCCAAGGGAATGGCAATACTGAAGAGCTCATCATCGATCACACATCACCGCCCCCCGCTGATAAGCCTCCCTCCAACGAGCCTCCCGTTCATAACACTCCTGCCAACAACTCTCCTGCCGACGCGACCCCCACCACCACCACCACCACCCCGCCTGCCACCTCCAACACCGCACCTGCATCTTCTGACGAGGGTTCTTTGGAATGGAAGCCTGCCGACTTCGCTACCGGTGACCACCCCATCGACGCTCGCGTCCGAGCTGCCGAGAAGGAGTTCAGTGACAGACTAGCAAAGCAGACACACACGCTCGCTGACGCTGCTGCCGCTTACCGTGAACGTCGCGGCCGCCACCCCCCACCCGGCTTCGACAAATGGTACGAATTCGCCAAGGAAAAAGATGCTATTATTGTCGAAGACTTTTGGGATCAGATCTACCACGATTTGGAGCCTTTCTGGGCACTCAAGCCAGCCCGTATCCGTCATGATGCCTATGACTTTGAGATGCGCATTTCCGTCCGTGACGGTCAGGCCTCGAGTGGGAGCGACTGGTTCTGGACAAAGATTTGGCTGGATTTGATCAAAACCATCCAACACTTGGTTCCTGATCTGGACATTGCCCTCAATGCCATGGATGAACCCCGCATGGTGGTGCCCTGGGAAAAGATTGATGAGTTCATGACAGCGGCGCACAAGACAAGGACCATGAAAGATGCCGCGATTGTGGTCGAGAAGTACCCAAAGTTGCCCAATCTTGAGATAAACCCTGCTGAGGACGAAGTTACGCCCAAGAAGGTTTGGGAAGACAAAACCGGTATGTCCGCCAGCAGGCTCACACATCAGACACTGGATGGATCAATCTAACACATAGATGACAGGTATCCCAAGTTATTGGACCATCGCTCGTCGCGGCTGCCCCCCCGACAGTTTAGCCCGTACCTCCAGTCTCATGACCGATTTTGACCGCCGCCCGACCATCAACAACAACTTTGCCATTCCGCATACCGAGAAGGGATATGTCTCGAACTACACGTTGAGCACCCTAGTCTGTCACCAGCCTGATCTTCAGGGACTCAATGGTATCTTTGTCGAGCCTCTTTCTATTTCTGCTACCGATACGCTGTTCCCCATGTTCGGCGGCTCCAAGCTGGCCGTCAATAATGAGATTCTCCTCCCTGCACCCATGTACTGGAATGAAGAGGAGCGTTTCATGGGCGAAGAGGGTGCTGACGTGCCCTGGGCTGAGAAGAAGGATGCCGTAGTCTGGCGTGGTGTCGCCACGGGAGGAAAGAACCGCGAGAACAACTGGCGCGCCTTCCAGCGCCACCGCTTCGTGGCCATGAACAACGCCACTAAGCTCGAGCGCGCAGTCTCATGGACTGAGCTCCCAGAGAACTTCGACTTGCCCCCGTCCGAATATGGCCTCAAGGCCCAACAGGATGGCAAGCTGGGCGATTGGGTCAAGGGATGGTCTAACGTTAGTTTCGTTGACCTCTTCTGCACCCCCGCGCCTGAAAAGGGCCTCGGATGCAACTACACCGACCCGCACTACACTGTCACGCCGGGCATGAAGATGGCGGCCCAGTTTTACTACAAGTACCTTCCCGACATTGACGGCAACTCCTTCTCGGGCAGATACCTTGGCTTCCTGAGGTCAACATCTCTACCCATCAAGGCCACTGTCTGGAGGGAGTGGCACGACAGTCGTTTGACTGCCTGGAAGCACTTTGTCCCCATGGATAACCGGTATAGCGACTGGTTTGGCATCATGGAGTATTTTGTTGGTTATGGTGACAAGGTCAAGGGCCATGACCAGGTTGCCGAGGCCATTGCTATGGCTGGAAAGGAGTGGGCCGACAAGGCGCTCCGGAAGGAGGACATGCAAGTTTATGTCCTTAGATTGCTGCTCGAGTACGCCCGTTTATCAGCCGATGATAGAGAAATCATGGGTTGGGTTGGTGACCTGATGGGTAGCAGCGGCGCCAAGACTGCTGGTGCCGCCAGTTCGAAGCAACAATAGGAGGCAGCTGAGGTTGATATGGATGCTCGAGTTGGAATTTAAGTGTAGCTGTTACTTCCTCTTATCAGCCTTTCTTTTGGAATATGCCTCCTACAGCCCAGATACTTGGGCCCTTTTGCGGAAGAGAGATGGAGCGCCTCTGTATACTATAATGAGTCATGTGGTCGTCATGTTGAAGTTCACTTCCCAAGGTAGTTAGATTTGTTCGTGGGCAAAAAAAATGTTTTAGTAGGTTAATCAAGCAGATCAGGGTCTTCGGTCGATTATACGCTGTCATCAGTGTTTGGGTACATGTCGAACCAGCAGTTCGCGCGGACGTCGAAACGATCTCTGCCCCTGACCAATTCTAAGCAGCCGTGGCATTTATATGTAGCGGGCCGAATGTGTTTTTCACATTTCCCCAAACATGTCGGTTCCGAATAGACCACCGAAAGATCGCCGAATGTCTTGAGGTCACCGAAAAACCGAACGACAATGTTCACCGACCGAGTGTTTGTAAGCGGGATGATTAGTCAGCCCAGTCGACCTTGGACCTATTGCTGTGTTATACGATGAAGCGTGGGGAGTTAATGCCGCGCTGATGAACGAAAGGAGTGGAGATACCGAGGTTCCCGATTCAAGAAGCTGAAGAGGCAAAGGGCTGCGGTATGATGTTGTTCCCGCTGGTGAACATTGTCACGAACTTGCAACACGATTTGAACCCTTGTTGGCGACTTAATATGCAATATACTCCCTACTATGTCCGTTAACGCCGTCCAGCTTCAATTCAACCCCAACCCTCGAGTGCATTGGCCCCTCAACTCCCCCAAGACGCCGAGCTGAACGAAGTTGACTTGCCGTCTGACAACCACATCCGTATAAGCAAGTAAGCTAGCTGTATCGTGGAGGTTGAAAAGAAGCGGAATTGTGAGATATAAGGTTTTAATCATAGAATTTCTTTTGTGAGAAGCTGAGAATTAAGCTACGAAAGTCTGGTGGGCCTAACAATTGATTTCCACTTGCGGGCGAAAAAGTGAAGTTCTGGGCCCTGCGTTATGATTTGGGGTACAGTATAGTGCATGCGGGGTTTGTATGGGTCCCGCCCGCGAGGAGCACTAACACCGAGACATCCTAACCGGGACTTCCGTTTTTGGGCTGTCCTGGTATATACTATTTATTATACACACCTGGTATATATTGAAGCTGATCCCCATCACCATACATCTTGATCTTATATCCTTAACTCGACAATCTCTCCTTCTTCCTTCCATCTTGATATATTACCAGACTATCTTGAATAACCCATCTTAAAATACATAATTACATAGTCATCCATCACAATGGCCGCCCCCGCTACCTCCGGCCTCAAATACGCCTCCAAACTCGCCGGCCAGCGCGTCCTCATCCTCGGCGGCACCTCTGGCATTGGCTTCGCCGTCTCCGAAGCCTCTCTCGAAGCCGGTCTGCTCGTGACCGTCTCCTCTTCCTCCTCCTCCAAACTCTCCACAGCCCTGGACCGTCTCCGCTCCTCCCCCGCCTACGTGCCCTCCTCCACCTCTGTAGCTGAGGGCGGCGTCCCTCGCCTTACCGGCTTCACCTGCGACCTCTCGAACCCTTCCACCGTCGAGGCCAACCTCACGCAACTGCTCGACCAAGCCACCTTGGAAGGCCGGCACAAGTTCGACCATGTCGTCTTCACCGCGGGCGACGCGCTGGCCTTGACGCCCATCGGGCAGATCACCCCCGAGGGTTACGTGAGGGCCTCCGCCGTGCGCTTCACGGCGCCCCTGATCCTGTCCAAGCTTTTGTCTACGGAAAAGTACTTCAACCACTCGGTCTACAGCAGCATCACCTTCACGAGCGGCACCAACTCGGAGAAACCCGCCCCTGGATGGAGCGTGGTAGCGGGCGTGTGCGGCGCGATCGAGGGACTGGCGAGAGGCCTGGCGGTGGACTTGAAGCCTACGAGGGTCAATCTGGTCAGCCCCGGCGCGGTGAAGACGGAGTTGTTCAGTGCGTTTGGCGAAGGGGAGCAGTTGGAGCAGCTGCTGGATGGGTTCAAGAAGCAGACGCTGACGGGGACGGTGGGCACGCCCGAGGACGTGGCGGAGGCGTATATTTATCTCATGAGGGACCGCTATGTTACGGGGAGGTGCTTGGGCACGGATGGAGGGAGGCTTTTGGCTTGAGTTGGAAGGAGTTGAGAAGGGTTTGGCGATGGAGGAGAACGGGGGCTTGTCTTAAGCTTTCGTTTTGTATTTCTGGTGCATTACACTAAACTTTTCATATTTTCCCGTCGTAATCATTGCCATCATGTCCGTATCCGAATCCAAACCTCGTATCCATCGTCATGCCACCTCCAGTTCTTATGTATCGAGCGCCCGAGGAAACACAAACGTGTACAAGAAAAAAATACCACCATAGCTCGCTCGCGTCATAACAAAAACATCCCAGACCTCCTTTTCACACACCTGGCTTACCTCCCTCCCCCTTACCTTCTATCATCAGCAAAAACCTGATAAGCAATAACCATAATCCACACCAAAAACACCGTCCCGACCAGTGCAAACGAGAAAACCGCATACCAACTCTGGCAAATACTCCTCTGCTCCAGCCAGGCGAGGGTGACAAGATTCTGGCCCGTCGGCTGCGGGTCGGCGCCAAAGACAAACAAATTGCAATTCGAATTGACGCTGCCGTTAGGACCCCAGAGCTGCACGCTGATGACGATCAGTCCCACCAGCCAGAGGACGAACAGGATAAAGCCGCCAATCATGACGATGGACGGAAGCAAGCGACGCTGGAAGATGAGGGCGAGGAGAAAAGCGATAAAGAGGATCGTGAGAGACGAGACGGTGATGAAGTAGGGGAAGTACCTGGTTACCTATGTTAGTGGTGGTTTGGGATGGGCGTGTTAAATGAAAAGAGGGAGGGAGGGAGGAAAGCTTGACAGCAAACGTACCATGGTACAGGTAGCAAGAGGATGTTTTGCACATCAATAAACGTCGCAAATACGCCGATAATGGTGCAAGCCGCAATAAGCATAACGAGCATCCACACGTTGAGCTGGATGGCTGGCCAGTGGTACTTGTGTACTCGCTCGACGCCGACGCCGCCGTCGCCGCCAATGCCGCGGGAGCGGTCGTAGACGAGTGAATCGCTCGTTACTGTTGATGCCATGGTTGGCGAAAGGCTGGGCTCGCTGATGATTTTTTTTTTTGGAATGACGGCCTTGGAGTTGAATGAGAATTGAGTCTGGGGACCGACGACTGATAGAGGGAGTTGGATGGGTTGTCGACTGAATGTGAAGATGTTGGTTCACTTCGAGCTTTCTCCCTCAACAATGCTGGTAACCTTGGACGTCAAGATCTTTTTTCTTGAACCTTTTCCGTGGTCGCCAGCCTGGAACCCCTCGATACTAGACAGTAACCACCCAACTGCCGCGGTGGTTGCACGCCCTGAGGATGATTCTCCAACTTCCAAACGGACTCCCTTCCTGAGACACTCGGACTTCTCGCTGCACAGCACCACCTGCCAGACTTCAGCTTCCAGCTCTTCTGTAGAGATCTTTCCGCAAGGGGCCAGCCAGGCGTTTGTGGTCAATGTCTAGACCCGGAGGCGCACAACCAATTCTCACGTCGTATCAATGCACTCTTGACTTTGTCGATGTGTAAACGCGCGACAGCTTTGCTTTAAGATGCCTCTGTAGCGTAATTCCGTGAAATCGAGGCTGTTGTTAGCCCTCAACTACAGTTGAGAACTGGGCTTGGCAACCGGTGCAGATGATGACAAGATCCGACTTGTAAAAGTTAATCAATCAGACGATTGTCGTTGAAGTAACAGAATATTGTCTCTGGTATAGAAGATGGTATATCCATCAATTAGAACACAGCTATTGTTGAAGTTGTCGACGATGGTGTTGCTGTTGTTGTCCTGTAAGTCTGGGACCTTGCAGCCTGCCTGGTACGACAGTGGGGTAGAAATCGAAACTTGCTACGGCCGGTTTCCCGTGGCTGGGAGACTTTAGCGAGCCGAACGACAACTAAATTGAGCGGGCTGGGAGGTGATAGAAACGGACATCATTGTTGGCCTGCATCCATGACACATAATATTTCAGATATACATGATATATGCAGCTATGAAACCTTTCCACCGACCTCAGTCCCCAGGTTCGTCTGTCTGTCGAAACTCGAAAGTGATCACTGAGTTGTCAAGGACTCCATCGTTCGGAACAGCGGCAGGGCAGCGCCGTGACAGCGGACGGGAACGGTGATCTCGGCGCTTAGGTAAAAGAGGCTTGGCTTGGCTCCCGTCTCCGTCTGGAGGGGCAGCGTTATCGATAATGAAGGACCACAACAGCACACTCCCCTCCGTCCGATCTTTGAGGTGAGTGGGATGAGACGCGCCATTGCAGCGAGGAACTGAAGATAACCCCCCGCCTCAGTGCTGTTACCTTTTCGCACACTCGTCGGTGGATTTTCAGACATGTTATTTCGGCGCAGGAGCCCGAACACTGCAGTGACGGCGCCGTTGACATGCTGCTAAAAATGGTGCGGTGCCGGACCGAAGAGTCCGATGTCGGCCATCTGCGAGTTAATGTCTGTGCAACAGAATTGGGGGTGTGGGATGCAACTAAAGAAACTGCAATAGGTTCTTGTTCAAAGACAGGCAACGACAGAGATGGAGCCAACAAAGTAGAAGCGCAAATAAAAGTTCTTTTGCGTTTCAAAGGGGATCGATGTATGCTCTCCATGATCAGAGGCATCAGATCCCGGGCTGACCTCCAAAGACCAGGCCCGCAAGAAAGCCGTCTATGTACAGGCTAGCTCTTGAGAAAGAAATAAAAAAAGACAAAAATATTCCCCCAATGGTATCCTAAAACACCTGACGTCCCATCCCATATCTATAGGAGACATCATTATGCTGCCGTTATTTGTCCTGTTATGTCGTATATGTAAAAATAAAAAACGCCGCGTTGCGGCGGCCTCCCTGTGTTGGGCCCTTCGTCTGCCCCCCTTCTCTTCTTCATCCCCCAGATTGACTACCCTTTGGATAGGGTGTCACTCATAGAAGGCTTTCGCCTAGAGCGCACCTGACCAAGGAGCAACCAGCGCGAACAGTCTCGTGTGCGCCAACGTCGTTGGGAGCCGCCAAGGTAGGGTTGACCTCGACAAGATCGACAGCGACAAGGCTTCCCGTTTCGTGCACGCACTCGCAGATGAAGTCGCCCTCGCGGAGAGTGAGACCGCCGCGGACCGGGGTTCCCGTGGAGGGAGCCCACATGGGATCGAGCGCATCGACGTCGAACGAAAGGTGGATGGGGGTGTCGTTGCCGATGTGGCCGAGGGCCATCTCCATGACGCGACCGATGCCGTGCCTGATACGAAAGGGGTAATGATTAGCAAGATGCTCCGGGCATACTCATGTCATTCGCCGGGGAGTAGGCTTACTTGTCAATGTCGTGCATGCTGAACGCCTTGATTCCGTTCTCCCTGAGGATGCGCTTCTCACCCGGGTCGACATCGCGGAGGCCAATGTAGACCAGCTTCTTGACACTGAGGAGGTGGTCGGGCTTCAACCAGCCAAAGAACTCCTCCTTGTCCTCGCTCGCCAAGCCAGTGAGGAAGCTGACGGGCATGCCGTGGATGTTGCCGCTGCCGCTGGTCTCGGGGGTGTTGATGTCGGCGTGGGCATCGACCCAGATCACGGCAATCTCGCGTCCCAGGCGCTCCTTGATGGCCTTGGCCGAGCCGGCAATGGTGCCAATGGCAATGCTGTGGTCACCACCGAGAGTGAGAACCAGGCGACCCTCCTTGGCGTGCGAGTGGACCTGCTCGGCAATGCGCTTGGTCACGTTGGAGACGGCGCGCGGGTTCTTCATGTTGCGGTGAGGCGGGTCCTCCTTGGGAACGAGGTCAGTGTAGAGGTGCACCTCGTCATCGCCGTGCAGCTTGTAGCCGAGCTCTTCGCGGAGCTGGGTGAGAAGGCCGGACTCGATGAGGGCGGAGGGGGCGGCGTCGACACCAGGCTTGCACTGGAATTTTGGTCATGTCAATGGATGCCAAACGCGGCAGAAAAACAAGAAAAGAAAAAAAAGAGCATCACATACCTGGCCGCCGGAGAAGCCTACGGCAACAATGCCGAGGTCCCTTGGCTGGGAGAGAAACTTGGACTCGATTGGGGAAGACATGCCGAAAGTGTTGCCTGGTTTTTGGATCATTGGTGCCTTTGCGGACGAGGGAGCAGCTATATAAGCCGCTGCGTGGTTATCGACGAGGGAGGGAGACATTAGCAAAGAAGGAATGGTGCCGAGAGGTAGGGTAGCAGTGGGGGTAGACGAGGGCTAGAGCTAGTGATGCAACCAAAGAGATCTCACAAGACCAAGATCGGAAGAAGGCTAGTGTAGTGTAGTACGTAGTAGGTGTTACAAAGAGAATGAGAAGTTGTTGAGTGAGGAGAGAAGAAGGAAGAGAAATAAAATCAGATAGAAAAAGAAAAGAGAAATAGTTTTTCTCTGAAACCCACGCCATGACATATTCACCTACCTTCCCGACCTCTCCATCCCAGCAAGGAAGTTTCGACATGCCTAGATTCCCACCGCTCATGCCCCGGTACTGGTCTCGGCGTGAACGGATCCGAATCACGGACCACGGATCACTTTATCCTCATCCCGCCCCGAGGAGGGATGGACTCCGTTCCCAAGGCTCCAACAAGTCGGAAATGACGGCTATTGCCGGTACTATCCGACAATACCCTGGCATTTTTGCATCTTGTCTCACCGAGCCGAAGAGCAGATCTGGGCATCTGGCAGTGGAAGAAGGTGAGGGTAGGATTCAGTATTACGTACGGTGATCTTGGCCATGTGTCAAGGCCGCCAATAAGAGGGTCCTGATGGCGCCTCCTTGCTTGAGGGCCGACGAGGGGTTGATCAGAGAGTGGAGGGGCATACTGTTTGACAACAAAGAAATTCGAAGCAAAGCTTGTCAGCCGAGTCAGCTTTGTGGCAGCGATCGCGAGGGATCAGCCCGGCCAAGCAGAGGAGGTGGTTGGAGACGTAGAGTCTGTGGAGGAGCATTCCCGCCAGTGACATCGAGGGTCAAGGCCCATCGTCTCATGGCTGCCACAGGCCCGAGTGGAGGTTATCTGAAGTTCTAGAAAACTTCCATTCTCCATTTTTGTCAATTTCTGACTCAAAGCGGCGGGCCAGATAACTCGACTGTGCGCCATGATAAATCACCATTGTGGATAGATTGTAACCAATAAGGGCCATGACGCCTTCGGCGGCTCAACCACAAGCGTTCGCCTTCTCCTTCTCGCAATATAGAACGTCCTCCAACTACCCTTCAAGAAAGAAGAGAGGGGGAGAGAGAAGGAAACGAAGGCAGATACAGACCACTCGGGGCCAAAGCAGGAGATAGATTGTCTAGAAAGGTTAATTCCGAGAGCCAAGAAAATTATGGTAAGAGACGGGAGGTATAGTTGGAGGTATGGTAACAGGAGCAGGAAACTCAAAGGACCGAAAAGTAAGAACCGAGGGCTTCGACAAGGACCTTTCTATCCTCTTGTTGTCGTCAATTGAAACGATGACTTGTAGCGAAGACTTCAGTTGGTACACGAATAGTAGGTAGTTGCCGTCGCACGAAGTTGATGCCAGGTTTGGGGTTTTGGCTTCTGGGCTTCAGCCTATGCGCCTACACAGCCAACTTAGCGTGGCACACAGTCGATTTATCCAACCCGCATGGCAGAACACGAACAGTCCAATTGACCGCCCGGGCCACACCCCGGTCTGTTAGACGATGGTTTCGGGCACAAAAAAACCTCTACCCAGGATGCAGGCATTTGCCATGACGCCTCCGACGACAGGACCGGAAGTCGGCATGCTCAAGTTACTGCTCAGGTTCTGTGGAGGGGTTTCTGTTAGTGCGAGATCGGTGTTTGCTGTGTTGGATGCGCTCGTGCGGTAGCGATTAAGCTCACGCTACGCCTGTCTCACAGCTATGTACCTCTATGTACTTCCCTCGGTATCCTTGTCGCTTGTCGCTGTCTTGGGGGAAACTTCTACAAGTCGCGTCACACGAGATGGAAGACAGATGTCCGCTTCTTTTCCCACCGTAGTTATCAGATGATCAGATAAAAATTGCTTATGGAGATGGCCGAGAGTAAGATCCCGGGATGTCGAGCAACCTCTGGCTTCCCATGAATCCATGATGCTCCGGATGTTCTGCTGTACACAGTAGATATGCGGGATATAATTCCATCAAAGAGGTGACCGGGTGAACGAGGAAGCGTCGTCACTGCTCGTCCTTTAACGGCAGTTCCTCCGACCGATGCTTGCTGTCGGTCCCATTTCCACGCCGCCAGAATCGGTCCAACGTCGGCAAAACAAATTCATTGCAAGTCGAAGTCTGATGAATGAGTTCTTCTTCTTCTTCTTCTTCTTCCTCCTCTTTTTAACTGCGAATTCTACCGCCAAAAGAACGTCCTTCATTCTGTCATGATCTTGGATATTGCGGGCTAGATGAGGATTTTGTTTGTCCAGAAGTGCCATACGAGCAGTACAGCTGTTCCTTTGAAAGCTCTGGGAATTCAAATGACTCTCTCGCCTCTTTCCGTGCGTCTTCTTTTCTTTCTTTTCTTTACAGAAAGGGGCGATGTGGATTACGGTGCTTACTACAGTCCCTCATGTCTGTTTTGTTGCGCTTCGATTGCTTTTCTTGGAGCTCAAGGGCTGGACAATTGAAGCCATACCTAGCTGGTTGTTCTGATGATTCATTAGCATCGTAATGCCAGTGTGGGATGCGAGAGAAAGAACATGTTGACACACAATAGTCTCTCTCCGTGTGCCATATGGAGTCGCAGATGAGTATGTCAGACACACACCATTCAACGTGAACATCCTATACTCTGAAGATTAATCACCATGTCATGGTCAGCTGGAGATGGTCTGTTAAACTTCAGAGTGATCTGATCTGGGTGCACAGCCCGAACAAAAAGAAGGCGGAATGTCAGGCACGCCTGCCATTCATTGCCCGACACGGAGAGTCCAAATCAACCGAATCCAGAAAGATGCTCAAATTTCAAAAACAAAGATTGAAACAAAACATGGCCCATGGTTGACCACATCCGAATTCAGTACACTGGAAACACCCTGACGGGACAGGATGCTATTCGCCAGTACAAAACCGTCTGCTTACCAAACATGGACATCCCCAACGGTAGTACCCGTCGTAGCACTCGTAGCAGCTACATGTTGAAGGGAAAAGAAAAGGTTCTTCAATCACTTGTGGTACCGCAGTGCTTTGAAGCGCACAATGCGAGACTCATCTAACTATATACTGAACTCTATAGCCCTGAGTTTGGCGTATTCAGCAATATGGGATACGCTTTGTTTTTGGTTTAGACATTCTCAAGAACCTCATGGTGGTGGTGTCTTTGTTAGTGTGACTCTGTGACCCGTGAGTTCAGGTTGGGGTGGGTGGAGTGCACGGTCCAACCACGCGACCGGACCGCGTGAATCGTCCGCCCACCCAATTCGTTGGTTGCATGAGGACAACTCCGTCATACTGGACTCCAGACCATCATCTCCCGCTGTGAGCTACTGGTTGCACGGACGATCACAAGTGGTGTACCTCTCCATCAACAAAATAATGAATCTTCCTTGTTGTTCACAATCCAGCCAAACTCGCTGCGATAAAAGCCGTGACGACACGCGACATATCCAATCCTACCTTCGTAGCCAGACTGATCTTACTTACCTCGAGGTCCCCCTACAGCTGGCAGCTACAGTACAGTCCCCGTGTAATCTACTGCAACCCCTTACGAACCCCGGCCTGGCTGGTAGGTACCTCCCGTCTACACTACTAGGTAGGTAGCGGGAGGTCATAACATCGACAGCCACCAGCTCACAAATGGCAAGGTACTTCCTGCCAGGCAATCTATTAGACCATTTCCAGGTACATGGACCTGCAGTCCAACCTCTCCACTCAACAAACGCCTACTATCCCCCAAAAAAGACCACACTACAGATTGGGGATAGTGATACGGGATTTCGACTTTCTGGAACATCTCTCTTCAATTTACCTCTTACACTAGTAGTGTACTTGCTACGATTTATGACATCTCGACTTAACTCGACACCTTAACTTTTACTAATTCTAACCTCATAATCGCGGATGTAGTCCGCTAATACCTCGATTTCCGGACGACGCGACCATCAGCACGGCGACGACTCCCAGGACGACAGCACGGCGATTGACGCAGATACGGGATAAGGGAGGAGCCCCTTAAAACAACCGCAGCGCAATTGCGCTTAGTCCAACGCGATCCAGCACCGTCACCCTACCTCTAGGGCTGGCTGAAACCCAGGCCGGGAGCATACGGGGAGGTAGCTGAGGACTGAGGTGATAATCATGGAGGAAGAAGTCCCGGAGCGCGGAGGCCGTCGGTCGCGGCCATCCACAGCGACAAATCCCGATAGCAATGCCGACCTTCAACCTTCGACGCGAACGAATGGCGGCAGCAACAACAACAAGAACAACAACAACAACAACAACACCAACAACCGCCCCTATCCCTCGCCCGCAACCTCAACTACAAGTCCGGGTACATCGCTAAGACCCGATGACATACGGCCCCTGCACGCCGCCAACTCTGCTTCCTCCCTTTTAGCAGTTCCCGAAACCAGCTATTTGGAAGGGCCGAGCATTGAGTTGAGGCAGTCTGATTCGCAAGCCGAAATTGCCGTCCATCAACACCTAAACGAGATCGAATCCAGCTTTTCCGCCCCTATTTCACCCTTTCCGACTTCAGACAGAGGCATCGACGTTACCTATGACCTCTTCGACTCCGCGTCCAGAGAAGCTGCACCTGCCGGGCCGACAGCGACCGCTGCACCTGCGACGCCTCCTCCACCCCCACCAGCGCATGCCGACGCACGATTACAAACAGAGAGAGACACCCAAGAATCAAGGCCCGAGTCCGAAAATGACTCGGACGACGACACACAACATCTCCCCCAAAGCCGCTCCAAAATGCGTGTAGCCACAGTCGAGGATGCCGACAAGACCACCATACAGAGGTCCCACAACGAAGAGGAAGACGGCGGAAGTGGGGAGGAGAGCCAGAGCAGAGAGGACGAGCTGAACAAAGCCCACGAGCAGCAAGCCGCGGACACATCAATGACAAGTAACACAACTTCGTCTCTAGAAGCCTTCTCTCCATCTCCCCCAACTGCTGCGGCTGCCGCGACGACAACATCTCGCGTCGTCTCGCAACCGAGCCTGGGCCGACAAGTTGATGACTATGACGGGAATGGGTTGTCCCACGAGCAAGAGCACCAGGACGACTCTGACGAGTCTGACTATTGGCACGAAACTCCCACCAAACCACGGTCGACCCCCGGAAACAATTCGAAGCTGCAGCATGCACCCTCCACCCAAAGCGCCAGGAAATTCCTTGCGAGAGAGAACCTGACCCCGGAAAAGACTCCTGAGCCGGCTCCCAAGCAGCCGGAGAGTAGAAAGCAGGGCCAAGAGCAACGACCGAAGGACCACCAGCAGCCTCTGAAAGCAGAGAGAAGCGAGCTTCCCCAGCGCCCCAAGTACCTTAAGAGAGGTCAGGCTGGACAGCGTGGTTCCGTGTCATCCTATGCTAGTGATCCAGACCCCGACAGCGATCATACGATTGGTTTGGAAACAGACTACGCGCTGCATTCCGGAGGTGCGTCTTCCTCGACAGAAAGACCGCGAGACACGAACGGCCTCACGCGGACTACCAGTCTGGGCAGTTTCGCTAGTGGCTATGAAGACCCAGATCCCTCGGGACCCATTTCTGGACTCACTCCTCTCGACGAAGCTTACAATGCCATCTCTCCCGAACCGGCGGTCATGCGCCAGCTTCGGGATCAAGAAGATGACGGGGTGCGAACACCCAAACCCCGCAAGACGCCCCCTCCACTAGCCGCCCCATCTGACACGGTTCTCGCCCGGCATGTTAGAGATGTGCAGGTGCCTGAGTCTCTGGCGAAAGAGTACAGGGCGAAGACAGGTCTGACGACGCCATCAAAATCCCTCAACCTCGCCGATCTTAAGAGTCCCGACAAGCTGGGCGCTTCGGTGGTTCCGACTCGCGCTAGCGGAAGGAGCTTGACTCTAAAAGAGCAAAGTAGCACCATTGAGCGATTGAGCAAAGAGAACTTTGACTTGAAACTCAAGGTCATGTTTTTGAGTGATCGCCTGGACAAGCTCTCTGAAGAGGGTATTAAGGAAATGATCTCGGAGAACGTGGAGCTCAAAACTGGGCTAGCCGTGTTGCAAAGGGACAACAAGATGCTACGTAAAAGGGTCAAGGAGTTGGAGAAGCAAGTCAAGGATGAGGATGAGCGGCCAGGTACTGCCCGCAGCGATCAGTCAGATGAGGAGAATGCTGCCTTTAATCAAGAGGTACAAGAAGAGTTGATGTACCTCAGGGATCAGCTGGAAGAGCACATGGTCGAGATTGAGAGGCTCCGGAATGAAAATCTTCACAAAGAGGCGGAAAAGAGGCGAATGGCGGAAATGGTTCGCACCCTCAGCGAAAAGACGGGCGAAAGGTTCGGCGGAGACTTGGATCGGCAAGAAGAGGCCGACGTTTACAAGGATCTGCTCGAGCAAGAGACGGCGAGGAGGGAGCAGAGTGACGAGGACAACCGAAAGCTGCGTGAAGAAATCTTTCGCCTCAAGCAGGAGCTGGCGATGCAGCCGAACGGCAACGGGCCATACCAACAACAACAGCAAGGTTCCAACATGTCATACCTCAGCCGAAGGTCCCGCGAGCAGGGGAGCGCTTCCAGTCGGCCTACCACTTCATTTTCAGCTGATCAGGACGTTGCCAGCTCGGCTACCACTCTGATTGAAGAACTCCGTCGAGAAAGCGAACAGTTGCGCCACGAAAATGCCGAACTTCGTCGTGAAGTAGGCGCACAGACGTCGATGTTGACTTCTCGAAACCGTGAGAAGGAACGTCTGTACCAAGAAATCGAGGATTTGAAAATGGCACAGCGTCGCGGTGGCCCTGCTCCGTCTACCATTGACAGTCTCTTGGAGAGGTCAGCATCCCGTGCCGGTGCCCATGAGAGGTCACACTCGAGAGCTAGTGGCAGAACGGGCATGACGGGACTAGACGACGCCGACCGCGAAGAGCTCGAGAACAAGATATCTCAGATGAGGGATAAGAACAACGAACTTCGTCTTCAAAACCAAGATCTGGAGCGCGAGCTGGCGGCCTGTATGGAGGACTTTGAGATGCTCTGCGAAGCGAAGAAGCAGGCCGAAGAGCTTTCCCATTCCCTGCAAGATGACCTGGAGGCAGCAATGCAGGATCTTGTCGCTCTGCAGGCCGAGCGTGACGAGGCACTTCAAGAACACGCGAACCTCGAACAAGAGTTCGAAGCTTTGCGCAAAGAAGCCCAAGAGGAGATCGATGCGCTGGAAGGTGAATCAGATCTCCGTAGTGCTGAGATTGAGCGCCTCCAACTTGATCTGAATGATCGTAACGAGAATTTCGAAGCGTTGCAGGAGGAGATGCGCAAGATGAGCGATGCCCTTGTTCGCCTGGAGGATGAGCAGGAAGCCAAGCACAAACGGATACAAACACTTGAACAAGAGCTGAATGATGCCAACAGAGAACTGGAGGAGCTCGAATTCAAGCTTCTTGAGGCAAACGACAAGGCCAACCGTCTGTCAGTCCAGCAAGAGTCAAGCCAAGGGGAGATTGCCTTCTTGCGGGAAGAACAGGAGAACGACAAGATCCGGATTGGTGATCTGGAAGCGGCACTGGCGAATTCCGAGCAAGGTGTGCGTGATGAAAAAGACCGAGTCAGAGAGCTGGAGAACCGGCTGGCCCAGGAGAGGAGGCAACGAGAGATTGTTGCAAACAGGGAGAAGGAGGAGGTACAGCAGTTCATCAACGAGCTCAACAAGGAAGCAACAGCAGCCAAGGATGAAGCCCGACGACTGCGCAAGAGCCTGACAAGCAGGGAGGTCGAGGCTACAGAGTGGAAGGAGAGGCTCTTGGAGCTGGAGAACAACCTTCGCGAGGCTCTAGGTGACCTGAATGGGACCAGGTCTAGCCTTCTCAAGGTAAGCAGTCATCTAACTGCGTTGCAACCTGGACTGCAAACTAACAAGCACGACAGTCTATTGCCAAGCTCCAAATGGACCTCGAAAAAGCTGTCCGCGACCTTGACACCACCAAGGCGTCACTGGCTGAAAAGGACCGCATCATCAAGCAGCGTGACGCTCTTCTTGAATCCCATGCTCTCGAGTCCCGCAAGGTTGGTGAGATGCTCGATAAGGAGCGTCAAGCTCATCGGAACACCAAAAACCAGTTTGAGACGTTCCAGAAGACGCACCAGCATGTTACGCGCACACTCTCTCAATCGGAGGCGCGCATTGCCGAGTTGGAAGCTGGCAAAGCCCAAGACAAGAAACGCATCGCTCAGCTCGAGGCCACCTACAAAGAGCAGCTTACCGAACGCAACACGCTGCTCCTCAACCTCTGGACCAGGCTATCTAGTCTCTGTGGCAGCGATTGGGCTCACAACAACAGTCTCATCAATGGCCGCGCTCTACCTAGCCTGGAGTCGGTCGCCACCATGTTCCCTGGCTTCAGCAAGAACCTCTTGGCTGCGGTCAAGACTCTGGAAACCATGGTCAGTAGCTTCCAGACCAAGGTGAAATCGGTAGAACGTGACCTGTGGAGAGAATATCAGGCACTGGAAAGCCACCTGGAGATGCGAGCCAAGAAGATGGATCGTCTGGAGCACATTGTGCGCAACAGCATCGCAGCCGGCACCACAGGCAACGGCGTCTTAACCGCTGCTGAAGCGCAGGGCAGGCTGGCCCGGCTGGAAGAAGCCTACAGGCAGCTCAAGGTGGAAAACCACACTCTTCGAACAGCAGCCGAAGTTCGTGCTAGAGCCGCGTATGCTGCTGCCCATCCTTCTCGGGGAGGAGGAGACCGTCACCAACAAAGCCCCAGTCCCCTGCCGTCTGCAGGGCCAAGGGACAGGGAAGGCATGCCCAGTGACAGAATGTCTATTTACAGCCAAGTCGACGCCAGAAAAGGCGGCAGTAGCAGGCCGAGTTCTATCGCCATACCCCAGCGATCAGCGAGTAGTAGTCGCAGGTCCATGATCAATGACATGGACGGCCACAACGACGATGTTTTACTACCGGGATCGTCTCAACCGCCCCTGTCTCGAGTACAGAGTACCCAATCGCAGCAGAGTCACCAGCACCAGTACCAGCACCCCCAAGTGCAATCCCAAGCCTCCTACACTGGCCCCGGTGGTGGAGGTGGGGGGATTCAAACGTCAAGCGAAAGGGGAGTCGCCCCTTTTTCCGGTCCGGGGTCAACAAGTAGTACCAACAACCCTGCTACGCCTGGTATGTTCTCCCAAAGCGGAGGCGCAGGTGGAGGAGGGGGGTCAACGACGAGCACCGACAACAAGTGGATGCTCCGCCTAAGAGACCTGGAGTACAAGCTGAAGGCGGAGAGGGAAGGGAGAATCTTGGACCGTAACGAGGCGCTCAAGAGGATCAGTACGAGCGAGTCGGAGAATCTGGCGCTGAGAGAGAATCTGGAGAGGGAGAAGAGGAGGAAGCGTGAGAGTGTCCAGAGTTTAAGCGGCGGCGGGGCTGGGGGAATGGGCAACGGAATGGGCAACGGCGAAAGGGGATCCTAGATGGTATGGACCGTAGCCGGGGCTTCCTTTAGGGCGGGAGCCAGATAATGATATTCCACAGCAGCCCTAATAGGATATGGAAGCATATTAGATGTTGCTGGTTACGCTGGCTCTGAACCTGTTGTGTTTGTTCATCAGTTTGCGGACAGGGAAGTAAGTTGGTTGGTGTTGAAGACGTACAAGTAGAGTTGTGAAGGAGAGAGGTTGTAGGTCCGTTGTTAGTTTTTTTCTTTCTTTTCGGTCATCACCTATTATTGTTCACTATTTTGTGGTTTGGCCATGGGTCGATTGGTCGGGTCTAGACAATTGGTATGGAGACAGGCATTGTCACTACTACCACTATTACTACCCCTTTTCCTTAGTGAATAGTGTTGTTGTTTTTATGGATTGACTGCCAGCTTATACCAGTCCCCGGGCCCGTGTTTTTTATTCCTTGCTTGGTCAGCAGCATATGAATATTTTGTGATGGCATCCTATGTGACTTTGATAGGCAAACATCGATACCTCCGTTCTGTTAGTAAATATGATACGGCAGTCATCATGAAGAATTCAGAGACATTTCATCCCTGTGTCTCTGAAATATGTGTGTAATGGTGTGTACAGTACCAGTAACTGTTAAGTGATACAAAGAAATGGCCATGGCCATAGAGGTACTCACTGATTTGCACGGTACTTACGCTAAGATACCGGACCTGCATGAATGAATGCCGCTGTGACGTCGGGTCAGCTTCTACCGACGATAAGCCTTATCAATGAGCGGTATACAAGGGCAGAAATAATTGTCGCAGCTGGTTGCATGGGAAAAGTAAACGTGATTCTTACGGGGCAATTCAACTATCCAGTGTAACATAACATCAACTTCGAAATACCTACATACCACCCACCAGCAGACAGACAGGAGCACGGCAGCGCCATCTCAACGTCTCATCCTCCCCGTCTCTCCTCTTACTTCTTCTCGTTCTTATATCATCGGCAAACCCGTTCCGTTCCGGACAACCCCGACCCCCCGCCGTCCTCTCCCGTCCACGACCGATGCTCTCCAGGGTGCGCAACAATGCTGTGCGCCGCAACCTCGGCCTGGGCCAAGCGCCATGTATATCGTCCATAATTACAACCGTCACATGCCCGAGTACCGCTAGCCTATCGGCCAATTCCCGCGTACAACAATGGCACGCGCAAAGGACATACCGGTCCACACAAGCTCTCAAAGCTAAGAAGCCTTCTGCCGGCCAGATGATGCGGGAAGCCATGGGAATCCTCCAGTCAGTCGGAGCTGCAGACCAAACACCAGAAGCAAAACCCAAGAGGACGAGGACGCGCAAAGCAAAGACGGCTGAGGAGCACGTTGTAAATCAAGACGAAACCGCAGAACCGAAACCAACGCGGCGCAAGAAGGCTGCTGACAGTGCCGAGGATGGAGAAGAAGCAAAAGTTGAAAACAAAGAGCCCAAGAAAAAGAGGGCAGGGCGGCCACGTATACACATTCCCGAACCCGATAGTGCCGAGGCCTTGAAGCTGGCAGCGAAGCAGGCAAAACGAGAAGCTGCAGCAGCAGCGAAGAAAAGGCCCTCATTAAAACCCGCCAAAATAACGAGGAGCGATGAGCAAAGCATGCTGCGACCTTGTGTTGACCCCATGCAAGAGCGACTATACGACACCGAGCTTTGGAGCTGGCTCGATTATGGGCGCACGTCCAAGAAGGGACTGGCACCCGCACCCATTAGGAAATACGATCGAACCCGAGTCCACGTCACTAGCGAGAAGATGGTTGACGATGTCCTCGATTTCATGAAGCCCACCTTGACGCGCCACCAGGGCTGCGACATCATCGATCTGAACCCCGGAGCTGGCGTCTGGAGCACCAAGCTGAACGACCTGCTCAAGCCTCGCACCCACCTGCTGCTCGAACCAGACGCGGGCTTCTACGAACCCATGCTTGAACCGTTGCTTGCCCGAGACGGTAGCAAACTAATAGCCAAGGACGGCCTCGTCTGGGCGGAGCTATTGTCGGTACTCACGCCCGAGTACCTACCGCACCAGAAAGAGCACCAGTACTCGGCCGACGACGTACCCGAACGGAACGACACCCTCCTGGTCACCGCCAACCTTGGCTCCTACCCCAAGAGAAGATACTCGAGCTTCGCGAGCGCCACGGCCATGATCCTATACCAGTTCAACCACGCCATCCGCAGCGGTGCCCTCTTCCAGAAATACGGTCTGGTACGCATGCTGCTCTGGCTCGACGACGAGGACAAGGCCGCCATTCTCCCGCGCATGGCTCAGCGTCGCCGCCGTGTGGCCGTCGACGCCGAACTCAATTGTGAATCCATCACGCACGTGGCGGGCCCCGATTACTCCGACATCGATCCATCGAAGCGTCTCTGGTTTAGTCGTGACATCAACATCGACCGCAGCAGCGCCCTGGCAGCCTTGCAGCGTATGCGCGAAGCCGGGATCCAGACCCCCACCGGGCGCGAGACCAAGCTCCTCCGCGAGGTCTCGCAAAATCCCGACAGCGTAGTCGCCGCCGGCGAGACGCCCATCACGTACGACTTCCGTCACCAGGCCGAATATGAAGAGCTCTTGAAAGACTTTGAAAAGGGCAAGATCGCCCTCGCCTCGGAAGAATACAAGGCCATGATCCGCATGCGCATCCAAATCGACTCGGCAAATAAGCGCTTCAGCAATGTCCACAGCAACATGGTGAATTTCCACCGGCTCGTGGACGAATGGCGACTTGCCAAGGCGGCCAATGACGACAAGGAAATCGCATCCATCATGGAACGGTACAAGGAATGGGAAAAGTCCTTCATTGCCCTGGGCTCGACCGCCTGCGGCGACTGGTTCGTCCAGCGCGACAACCTACACCTGTGGAAGCAGAAGAGCATGCACTGGGACCGCAGGGCCATCGAGCCGCTCGTGATTCAGAGTGACGAGTTTTTCCCGCATGTGCCGCTTTCCTTGCTCGATATCCAGCCCAAGGCCGCGCACAAGGTGTTGCGGTCCATGGGCCCCAACTCGGATCGGAGTGGTGACATGGCGGAAGTGCTGATGCGCAGCATCATGGCGTATACCAACTCGTCCATGAGCAAGGTGCTGGATCGTTTGGCGCCCGGAGCGAGCGAGTTTGTGTATCCCATGTGTAAGAGCCTGGTGGATCCGGATCAGGGCGGTGTGCCCTTTCCCGGAGCCGCCGAGATCACGGTGCGGGGGATGAGCGCGTGGCAGTTTGAGGATGTGTTGGAGCAGTGGATGAAGTGGTCCTTCAGACCACCGTTGCAGGATTTGATCAGTCAGTTGTCGGATGAGTATGTGGAAGCCGAAGGGGAGGAAGGGAAGTTTGGGGGCGTTAGTCCGGAATTTTAGAGATATCGGGGCTGTCTGGGGGGGAACCTACTATCAGATACGCTTGGGAGAAGTGAGATTTGGGACGTGATATGAGCTTGTGCAGTGAGAAGGAACAGCAGAAGAAGAATAGCGGCTGCTTCCATGCTGGCTTTGTTGGAGCTAGAGGACAAAACATTTATATAGGTAGACACTAAGGCGGCAGGCGATTACATAAAGATCATGTTGCTGTACGATATAAGGATGAGAAAATGATTTTTGATGTAAATGAAGATACCAAACTTGGGTGAAAATTTCATCTCTCATATTGTTGTTGTGTATCCTTTCAGTTGTACATTGACTCTAAGGCCTATGACACACCAAGTACCCTGGTACTAGGCCTTGTACAACTAATTCAGGGGCTTAATCACGAACTGGTCCAGTCTTGAACTGATAGACCGCAACCCAGAAGCCATGACTTGTATGAGCAGGCGCAACGGACAAGGGGAGGAGCTTCCCACGATCAAGCGGTCTCATATGAGCTTTTGATCTCGTTTTCTCCTAACCAGCGTATCTCTCCATACACAAGTGTGCTGCTTTACCATTACTTAAAAAAAAAACAGCTTTTGGGAATCGAAAATAGGTTCAACGTTTGGCATAAGTACGACTATCAATGCCAATTTCAGTCATAGTTTCCTGTTGCAAGTCGAGCCAGTAAGGCAGGCATACTGTTATCGAAAAATAGCTATTAACTCGTCTGGGCACACATACACACACACATACACACACACACACACACACACACCTCGCAAGATACTATACAAGAACACCCATCCAGGACTCCGATTTGCTCCCCGCTATTTCAAAATCCTATTTGCCTTGTTCGCTTCTTTTCATGTCCCATTCCCCACTAACGACGGGCCGCTGGGTCAGCAACTCAAACAAAAGCCCCTCGAATAACAACGTCCAGTACTGCTGCAAAAAAGAAGACCGTCCATGTGGGCATCTCCGTGGGCATCTCCGTGTTGCTCCCGCGGTCATCCTCATCATCCTCACTCTCGGGAAGAACGAGATCGACGAATGTGATGGCTGTTGTGGTGACGTAGAGGCTGTGGACTTCAGTCTCGTATCCTTCTTTGCTGTTGATGATGCTGCCGTTGCTCTTGTGATTTGTTGAGGCGGTTGGATAGGAGACCCCGATACCGGTGACTACGTTTGTGTTGGTAGGATCCTATGGGTGTGAGACTGAAGTCAGCCTTTTGAGCAGGCATGGAACGGAGGTATCGATGTTAAGTTGGGAGAAAGAGCTTGATAAGTGCAAGTATCTGCTTACTACTTGAGGTATCAGGGTTTGGACAGCTATATTGGGCTGGTCTCCCTTTGCGAGTGTGGTTCCCATAAGCCCCCCGCAGAGCAAAGCTGTGGTGGAATGTTGTAAAAATCTGGGGAAGCGCATTGCAGCCAAACTGTGGTGCTCACGGTAGGGTTCGATGGAGTGTGAGAGGGTGGTTGTTTGGAGGAAAAAGGAAGACTAAGACAAAACCCCAGAAAGACAGCTAAAATACGGTAACCCGCTGGTACTCAGGACACTATTGCAGCTTCCTACATTGTGGAAGGTGAACGCAGGGGACTAATTGGAATAGCAACGAAGGGGGCTTAGCCTGTCATATATTGACCGAAAAATATTTCAGGGGTGATTGGGAAAATGGCAGTGTCCAATGGTGCCAGGCGGTTTGCCTGTGAGGAGAGAAGGCAAACTGGGAAGTTGGGAAGCCGGTCAAAAATCTTGGAAGAGGACGGAAGTTTATGGCCTCACCTTGGGACAGGACTACGAGACTGCCAGACAGTGAACTCTCGAGCAATGCGTAACCCAGGCATGCCAAGTCTTTGCAGACTCTCTCATCCAGCAACATATCTGCTACAATCAGAGCTGGGATATTTCCGGGCAAAACTCATGATCTGTAGCATCGAGTCCGCTTAGAGTTGGCAAATAAGTGGCGGACTTGGTGGCAGCATGGCTCTGGCCCCAGCCAGCGACAGTGCCGTACTTGACAGCAGCAAGTCCGGTTGAACGTCGTAGATCGTGTGTCTACATCCCAGACAACTGCTGTTGTGTCTGCCAGGAATGAATGACACCGGACATGGGATGAAGTGAATGCTGGGCATCCAACAATATCGGCTTGTCGTGGGGTTCTCGAACATGGGATGCTGATGCCTTGCGTATCATGGAAATTCCCCAGCATGACCGGACCTGAATTATGCCGTGACCGGGCCTTCCCCAATTAGCAATACCAAGATGAACGCAGGGCAGGTACGGAAGATGCGCAGACTCCGCCCCAGGGCCGGGTAGCTACCCCGAGTCCTGGTGTAGTTTTCTCAAGCTGACAATGTCCCAACTCCGTCGATTGAATTTCAAGTAAGCCGCGATGAACCGACTTGCATCTTTGGACCTTGCCAAGCTCAAGAGTATATCGCCTCGCGATCTACGCATCACCTTCCGATGTGATACCATGATCCATCACACCCGATCCGAAGTCCTTCCGCAGAGACGAAGGAGTGCAAAGACTCCAGAACGGACAAAGCAAAGCAACCGCCGGATTATAACAGAAGCTTGAACTCCATCCGCAACTAATATATCTCGACCTTTACCACCCGCCGTCCGCCTTGAGTGCTTGAGTTACGTTGCGTCACAACTCACATCCCATCAGATTCACATGCCTCACTCGACGTCCGAAGCAAGCCACCAAACTTTTGGAAATGGCTTCTTCTGGAGTACGTGCGAGCGCCGTCTCCAACAACAAACAGGCGGTTAAACACCGCCCGGCTAGCTCAATCGGTAGAGCGTGAGACTCTTAATCTCAAGGTTGTGGGTTCGACCCCCACGTCGGGCTCAATTCCCGATGTTCAACAACATCTACATTTTTTTGGTTTTTTTTTCGTCTGTGCTTGAACCATGCATGCGCTCCATTGGCCTTTAGCTTTCATGCTTCCTTTTTCGTTTCATCCTTTCCCTTTTGTTGCCCCTTTCTCTGCTGTCGAGTGTTGATAATTTTTGTTCGTTGGTTGGTTCGTGTAAAGATATTGGTGATTTCGGGGACATGCCGGTGAGAAGTTATAGTTGTGTGCATCAAAGTGTAGGTGTAGAGAACATTCCAACACAGAATTTCCGAGTCGATAACTCCCACGTCAGAGGCGACAGCCCCGCGGCGCATGAGAGATGCTGAATGATACATGAAGAACAACCATTGCCTGGGTAGCCTGCGTTTGCAGACGAGTTGTCTTCCGAGGAGCACAAAATTACCGGGAAGGAAAAAAAGAAGCATCGCAGACATCTGGTTGATCATGGAATCCACGGGCAAAAATGAAGATAATTCGATCCACCCAGGGGTCGAACCTGGAACCTCCTGATTCGTAGTCAGACGCTCTGCCATTGAGCCAGCGGACCTTGTTGACATAAGGGCTCAAATCTCAGCATTATATACTATTGCGGCCACCATTCAACAACAATGCTTCTCTTTGTCATCTTACAGCATTCTCACCTTCTCGTCGACAAGACTTGTTGGCCCGGAATCCGAGGCGAGCTTCAATTTATACTTTCTTCGAATTTAAATTGTAACCGTTATGGATTACACTATCCTCAAATCCTTCGTTCGAGACTTGCCGTTTCTACCTTCTCATTAAAGAGAGACCAAAAGTTGGGAGCGGAAGTTGAATACTTCTTACTGCAACCACCACTATAGATTATACACTTACTTCAACACCTCCGCCGGCATTGAAAATTGGTCTTAGCGCGGCGAGCTGCAAAGTGGCGATAACTTGATTTCCCGTACAAAAATGGCTGCTTGGCTAAACCTCAAAATTTCCGTGAATTTTGGAAGGTGGCTGTACCACGCCAACAATTCAGATGCCGGCAGAGGTGTATACAGCGTGCCAGCCTGCATTTTCTAACACATTACAAAGCGAGCAGGACTCGTTCACTGATCGGTGTGAGCGACTAGATTCATTAAGTGTAAGATGAAGCAAGAAAAAAAAAAAAAAAAGAGAACGAAACTGTAAGGGAAACAAACACAAGGGACAAAAAAAGATGGACAGCAGGCCAAAATACAACTATGGAAAAAAAAGATTTGGAACGACGGGAATTGAGCCCGACGTGGGGGTCGAACCCACAACCTTGAGATTACGGAGGAACTCCTTAAGAGTCTCACGCTCTACCGATTGAGCTAGCCGGGCAAGCGGCTATCAATCATTCCTTGATGCAAGTCAGTGGTAAATGTTTGGTCTATAAGGTACATAAAAGAGCGCCATGACAGAATGTTCAACATGACAGTAACAACATTGCCCTTTCTTCCGGACTAGAAGTTAAATCACGCCATCCATCTACGATAAAAATTCCGCTTGTGATCTTGATACACTTCTTTTATTTGACTTTCTCGGCAAATACTTCATGAGGCAATCCAGGTTGCGTTAAATGTCGAATTTGGCCAGTTACAGAACAGGTCTGCCGCTGCATGATGCCTCCTTCCACTTAGTTGTCAAGCAACGCCGACACGAAGAAGCAACGACACTGCCAAACCGAACAACACCAGCAACCAAAACCACAAGAACAAGAGTAATAATTTCAACCATTGCCCGTGTTTAGTAACAGCTACCCAGCGTCATCCAACCATTGCATTGAGTTTACCCAAGTCTCGACACAGTCCATCCCACTACATGTATGCATCCCCCCTCCCCCTACAACTCCCCATCGAAAACCCCCATCAACACCCCTCCCGCATTTAATACAACCGCCTAGGTAGGTAGGTACCTAACAACTAGCACAATCATCACACCTCTTGAACCCATAGCCCAAATCCTTGCACGCCTGCACAAACCGGTTGTGCTGTGTGCCGGGGTTGACGCAGCAACCCGTGAAGCCGCAGCCTAGGACGCCGTACCTGGCTCCGATGCGATCGCAGGCCGTCTTCGAGTGGTCTGTGCCGCCTTTGCAGGCGCACTTCTCGGCCGTGACGGTGACGGTGCCGACGGCGAGGAGGCTGAGGAGGAAGGAGAGGGTGGTTGTGAGACGCATCTTGATCTGATGGGGTATGTCACTGTTAGCTTGGGTAGGTAGGTCAGGCATGAAGAGAGGTAGATAGATAAAGATGGTGATAGGTGGGATAGGGATAGGAACTGGATGGTTTGTTAACGAGGTGTAGAGGTAGGCAGATACCTACATTTGGTGGTCAAGTTGTTGAAAATGGCCTGGATGAGAAGAGAGTGGGACGCTCTGATGTGATCTGAAGCTTGTCTGAGAATCTGGGGGTAACGAATGGGGATGATCAAGTGGTTGAGGAATAAAGAGGAGATCGTGGGGGCTATTTAAGGACTTCGTCAACTCTAGAATCTCTCAAGAGGTACTAGACGTTCAGGTCTGTGAATCTCTCCGCCCAGCAGCTAGAGGCCGAATATTTCATATGACCCCTGCTGCGCTGCTGGATACCACTGTTTGCGTTACACGATGCTGGCGGGAGAGGTAAGCAATATCGCTACATTCCTCCGTCTTGGCTTTGCTAGTCTATTTCGTGATGGATCTCGAGATCATCATTGGATGTATCAAGTTGTCTACCAGGCACGAACTTGATAGGTGAGTTGGATAATTTGATGTTATTAGCTCAAAATGTCTCCGACGTCTCTTCCCGTGTTAATCTTGATTTATGGAAGCAAGGAGTTTTCGATGCTCAATGAGAGCTGCAACTGTCCATCTATGTTCTCATTTTAAGCCTTTTCTCCCCGTAAATCGTCATGTTACCCTCCCCGGAAGCACTCCTGACCTTTTGCCACATGCGATAGTTCCTTGAAGAAAATTAGCTCGAGAAATTCCCCGCAAGAAATGTTTGGCGTCTGTCATACTTCGTCGGCCTTCTTGGCTTGCCTGTGTCGATAGGGATTGTGGAGAGAAACACAAAATCAAACGAGGACATGCAGGCTTGTAAACATCCATGTGGCAGGTGTCATACAAAAGCGTTACACGAGGTAGTTGTAGTGTACACTACTAAGGTTGAAACTGTTACATAAGGTATTGAATACTAAATGAATGTTGGAAGTGGCAACTCGAATGTTGTCATGCGGACCTTCTGTGTGCCAGACCTCTATTCGGAGATCTGTAGTAACACTAGCCCTCTCCAGGTGACACAGACCATACTTTCCAACAACCTGCGGATAGCACGACGCCGATCCAAACTCGTCTGGCTCCAGAGAATACCAGCGTATGACTGCATGGAATGCCGCCAGAACAGAACAGAACTAAGCCAGCCATTAGAAGGGCACACGCTAACTCTCCGAGCAAGAATAAGCTCAGTCAGTGTAAGAACTTTAACCGGGAAGGCGGGTGAATGCTACGATGGGCCGAAGGGGTGCATGGTCACATCTCCTGTCCCGTCCATGATCGGGAGAGCCAATGAAAAGCCAATGGAGGGAAAACGAGATCTGGATGGTTGCGTGCATGGCCTTAATTCAATTTCCCGCTTTGCATGTTTCCCTCATTCGTGGATGTGTATCTGGGTCTAGACATCGGTGCCGGCGAAGTATCGGAGCTGAAATCTCTCAATCGTTTTGCTGCGTCCTTGTGTGTCATCGCACTTGGTTCGCTCGACGCAACCAACGTTGAGCTTCGACGTAGGATTCGAGCGTGGGTGGAAGATCTCATCCGTGACGGTTGTGTCTTGAGGAACGACCGAGTGTATCGTTGCGATTGCTGTGCCCAAGCCCAGTCAGCTTCGGAGTTAAAACATTCATTCCCCAAGATGGATACTGACCTATTTGATCGCCGAGACTTCTCCATCAACTACGGCCAGTGTCTGTCCAAGACAAGGATTGAATCATCTCTTCGAGTGGGCGCTAGAACGTCACTCCCTTTGTCGTCCAGACTCCGTCGCCGCGCTGCTGGTCAGAGGCACATGTGCCGTCAGCAGTTCCTGAAAGACTACCTCTGAATTTGTCTCGACACCAGACAGTGCCTCCGGGGACAATCCCTTGTCGCCGATTTCTGGAGTCTGATCAGTAGTGGAAGCCAGAGATAAAGATGGAGCTCGACTCTTCCTGGGAGGCGACTGAACCCGAACCTCTTCTGCGCCTGATCCGGCACATCGCCCAACGCTCAGGTTTGTTGATAGTGGGGTTGGGGGTCGGGAGTTGAGATCTCGAACACCCATGATATGCAGAATTTGATGAAGTTTTGAACAGCAAGGTTGACTCGGTGTTTAGGTGGGCTCTACTGGAGTTTTGCGGACTGGATTGTAGGAATGGCGACGGTGTTTCTGCGGCATTTTGTTGGGCGGTCTGGTACCGCGAAGGGTGATGCCGGAGGGTTGGACCTTCTCAGGTCCGCAATGTGAACTCATAATGACGCAAATGTGCTATTTCCCCCGCCGGGTTCAAAGACCACATTGTCAGAGCTCTAGCGTCATAAGCACAGTCGCATGAGGTGAGTGTTGGATACTATGATGTGTTCTCGACCTGTCTAGGTAATTGTGTGGGTGTTGAATAAAGGAACATTCAGCGCACTCCCATTTACCAACAACTGCACCCGTTAATCATCTTCAGGAACCACCTTCCACATACCTCACCAGACATCAAATTATCTCACACAGAGTCTCCTCCCTGCCTTCAAGTCACAATGGCCGACAAACAAATCGTACCGATTGACCATTCGGGATGTCTCTCCCTCTACGACGTCAGCATCCCCACCTTCCTCCGGGGTCAACACACCCTCAAGCACCTCCTCGTCACCGCCACCAAGCACGCCCAAGTCAACGACATTTCACTGAATGAGATACCACACTGGACGTTGCATCCAGACATGAAGCCCCTGACCTTCCAGGTCCAATGTGCCAGTAACACGCCCAAGAAGTTTGTCGACATCATTACTGGTCAGACCGGCGTCGCCTTTGCCGATGACGAGACCACCATCGAGCAGCTCATTGAGCGGTGCCAGCACACGATTGACTTTTTGAACAAGGTGGACAAGAAGACGGTGGATGAGGCGCACTTGCGTTTCAACACGATCAACCTGCAGTTGCTGGCTCAGGTGTATAACATGACGCCGCAGCATTATGTCACCAAGTTCGCGGTGCCGAATTTCTTCTTCCATTTGCAGACTGCTTATGCAATTTTCCGGATGAAGGGCGTGTCGATTGGAAAGGTGGATTACTTGGAGCGTTTCTTGCAGCGTGATGGTTGATATGGTCCCATATCGAGGTGTGGTTGCACTCAGGGGAATAGACGATGGGTACCTATGTGATGGGCATTAGTGGTGAGGGCTCAATGTGCTTGCAGTTTGTGCCACAACTTTGTGTGTAAGAGTAATTTGGTGTATAGAGTGGTCCTTGAGATTGCATGACTTAAATATAAATCAGGTTGTTTGTATCCGATGAACGGTCATAGACACAGGTCTGGAGAAGTCGTATTATGTCGATGATGTTCCATTTCTCGGGTAGTCTAGGTTACGGTAATGAGACTCCTCTTCTCTTCTCCCTTTTCTTCCCAAAACTTCCTCGATATCACTCGTCCCCGACACTTTCAATTCCGCTACCGTGACGACGCGCCCGTCTCAACATCCTGGACCTGCAGACTGTGATGTTTGTTGAGTTAGTTTCGTTCACCTCATCCTGTCTCACAGTGTCTTCGTAAAACCACAGTAAGATGGCTGACCACTTGCTTATATAGTGAAACTTTTGGAATCGTGCAACGAATTCGACAATCAACCAAATGACCCCAAGCGCCTCATCCCCATCCAAGTCTCAAGGATCTTCCCAAGTCAACTCGCGAGCATAGTGGAAGAGACCATGATTGGGACCTCGCCTGAGTGGACGATTGTCTTCCGATTTCGTAGACCGCCATGATGCAAGTGGAGGTGGTGGCTTTGCGGTTAACACTAGTAATGGTTAGGTACCAATCATGATCTTCAGTGCTTGCGACTGCGAATAGTCGAAGACCAAGACTATATCAAGGATGTATGGCTCACGGTTGGCCGTGTTGGAGATTGGGAATATACGGAGCGCTTTGACATGATCTCATTTGATAGTCGGAGGTCAGATCCGGAATGTGAACAAGCAGGACTGAAGATTGGGCGGGTGGTCATAGCGGAACATTGAACCAGAACGGGAGCATTGAGCGCGTTGATATGCTGATCTATTTGGGTCAGGATATCGTGGGAGGATTAATTACCTTTGGTGCGATGTAGCTACCTACTTACGCCAACTCGCACTCAATAACATTCTCAACAGCAGAAAGTCCACTCGACCAGAATTTGACGATCTTGAGGCCCAACCCGCTGCCCTCGATGAGTTGATGCCACTGGTCTTCTGTCCGCTCGCAAGCCGACAGCTGTGTCATCATCAGCATGTCACCTGCGGTTGCTTCCCAATAGGCACCGGTTCGCGGGATCACGCATTCGAATATGAGCAACTTGCTGTATCCGGGCTTCATCGCCTCCGCCAGACGGGCGAGGATCTTCTGGCAGACATCATCGGGCCAGTCGTGCAGGATGGAGTGCATGAAGTAGGCCCTGGCTCCCTTGATGGGCTGCTCGGTTAGGAAGTCGTGGGGCATGCGCTGGATCGAGGGATCAATGTCTTTGACATCTTCGATGACAGTCGGACGATCTTGTAGGATCAGTTTCTACACATGGCCAGTCAGTCAAATCATGCCCATTTTCTTGTCATGTCGGGAGTGACAAATAGATGGGGCTGCTCACGCCGGGATGGTTGGGGTAGTTTCTCTTGAATTCGTCGATGTCATGGCCGAGGCCGCCAGCAACGTCGACAACCAGCGGCGAATCGGACGAAGCATCGGTACCGGGGAACAATTCCTTCTCTACAGGATAGATCTTGGGATGATGCCACGGCAAGCGGCCCTGCCTGTAACCGCCCACTATGAGTGTGAAACGCGAGGTTAGTAATGCTGCCTTCCATGTACTATTGCAGGATATATCCTTCGGGGGCGCATGACTTACTATGGTGGTTCATCTGAGGACCCATGCCGATGGACCCGAGATACACCATGCAGTTTGGCACGTCGCTGTTGTATGACGCATGAAACGCCGTGTGGGCGGCATCGACGGGATTTTGCCAGTTGGTCTCGCGAAGGAACTTGTAAAAGTCGATTGGGCTGCGGCCGATGCCACCGAGTCTGTAGATTGTAAAAAAATATGGTTAACGATATCGACGGGAAGCTAGTAAGGGGAACACTCACAGGCAAACATAACTATCGCCGATGACATCGAGGCTCATTGACTTGGTGAAGTTTGTGAGCTTGTACTCATCCTGAGCCACCTCCACAAGATGGCCCATGGCGCACACATGGCGCAACAGGCGGCCTGTTATATGATCTGTTAGTTTGAGTTGTCGGGTGTTCATGAAATCCAGTCGCTAACCGAGAAGTTCAGGATCCATGCCCAAAGACCTAGCAAGGTGGTCAACCTTGTGAACGGCATCAACGCCATCCTTGACCATGAGCTTCCAAAGACCGACATCAACACCGGTGGTCAAAGCAGCATCAAGTCCGGGCTGTATTCGAACATGGTATTAGTAAGCCGGCAGAGATGGCTTGGGGGAAAGCAGTCAGCCACTTACATCAGCCCATGTATGTTGCAACATTTGCTCGCGGGGTGTCATGAGAGACTGGAGAAGACTCCGTGCCTTGATAACCATCTTGTGGCGCGTCTCCTCGTCGTCTTCTGTCCAGTTTCCATTGAGGGAGGTAAGATCCTCGATCAAGCCCGGCACAGCATCGGCATCACTTGGCCGAGTGGCGAGCGAGAGATCAACTGTTGTGGACATGTTGGCTGTATGTGTTATGTGCTACTGAAACTTGAATAAGGGGGAAGAGGTCGTCGAGCTTGATGGGGGGAGATGTATGCCGCCACTTATATGGACAATACGGCTTGCGTATCCAAGTAGTCGAGAACGCCGACAGGCCTTCCCCTAAGTGCTACTCGCGTCGAACTTATCTCGACATAGATGTGATCAGCCGTACGACGTGGGGCTCGAGTGAGGCTCCTCGCTGCCCCTACTTTCTCGGGGAGAGATCAAACCCCGATCAGGCGTAGCACACCTAAGCACTCGGTGGTGACGGAGAAGTGTTTCATGGAGCAAACAGAGTAACCGTTTTGGCAACTTAAAAGCGGTGGTCGCGATGGTTAGTTTGGTGGTGGAAGGGGTTTAGTAGCTCCGGGATATGGGTCGGAGTAGGTACACCTAGCCAGAAACATCGATTAGCATGAATTAACGCGGGGCCGATATGGGGGTAATACGTACCATGATGATGCCACTCACTGTTCGCTTCTATATGTGGAGGTAGAGGTAGGTACAGGAGGTAGGTCCCTCGAGGCTCGAGCTGTTCTCGACTCCCTTGGGTAAGGGAATGGTGGCATAAAGTATGAATTACCAAGTATTCTCTCCAGCCATCTCCGCTGTCGCCCACATCGGCGGTCATGAAGATTGCATTCATAGTAGAGGTAATCATGAAAAGAGGAAGTGACGACGGACTGAGTGTTGAAGAAAGAACCGACTGAAGAACGGAAAGAACGGATGCACGCAAGTTGCACTGTGCCAGATGTCGGGTTGGACCCACCGGATGAGGCTGTTAGCCGGACCGCCACCATTGGCGCCTTGACAGCGGTTCGGCACTAACCGAGTCCCGCCTAGCAAGCCTTTTAGGCACTGCCGGCTCGCTGTTCCGGGCTAAAGCGGCGTCAAAACATCACTGTGCAGCATGCAGTATGCACCGAACGCCCCGTAGTATCATGAACATCTGGATGCCCGGAGTGGGTTGACTGCCCTGCAAGGTGCTGCGGTGCCGAGACGACGGGAGAACCTCAAGGCGGGGATGGCGATTCCCACCAGCATGGACACTCGTAGTTATCTCTCCGATGGGTGTAACCTAGGTACCTTACGTAGAAGTAGTGTACACACCTTATTCGTTCCGCCTCATTGTTTTGACCAGACAACTTCCCAGCCATCAATCACCAAATCCCCGGCAACCACCAATACCAGGACAGACATCGATCGCCAACCTTCCTCATGATGATTTTTGATTCCAAGACACACCAATCTGGAAAATCTTGACCTCGGAACGTCCTCTCCAACAGCTTCTCTCCAGCCAGCCCAGACAGTGTACAAGTATTCAAGGACATCTCCTCCCCCCCCTTTGAAACTTTGCTGCTTTCGCTGAAGAAAAGGGGGTTCCGACCTGGCCACCCGAGGGCTGTGCTTACTCCTGCAAGGAACCATGTCATTGTATGACAGGTCACTAGACCTTCTGCTCGAATCCATCAACCTTTTATCTTCGCAAGCCAGGCAAGAATGATGAGAGTACCGTAACCGAGGGTGGGGTATGCCTGCACATCATTTGCATTTAGAATCAAGAGAGTTCAAGTCCCGACGGTTTGGGTCAAGGTGGTATCAAGCCCCATCCCGTTCAACCCTTGACGAGTCTTGCAATAGAGAACACTGACACTTGTTGGTAGATGTTTCAAAAGAAGAAAATCCCAGGTCCTTCGTTGGCTTGGGTGCTGCTTCGAGATTCAGGGTTCGTGGTTTTACGGGGCTCAAATGTCAAGATCCCCGGACATTAGCGGGCGATTTCTGTCTTTCCTGGTCTGGAGGCTTACTACAAGTTTCGTTGCCACTACCCAAGTTGATGACCCTGAACGCTGGAGACGAGTAAATACGCGTGAGTGTTGTGTAGCATGCCATTATCCTTGATCTTTGATATCTATCTGTACCTCTGCTCTTCGGTATGTACAGCGGTTTTGGGTCTTCTCAAGTGCACTTTTTCCCTTCAAAACACTAGGCAGTATTGCTCCGCCTACCCAGACAAAATGGACGATAAAGGGCCAATGATGCTTACCGTATGCTGGGTACTCACAGCACTCGCCCTTCTCTTTGTCAGCGCTCGTCTCCACGTCCGAGCCGTGGTGCACGACAAGCTCGGCTTCGATGACTACGTTATTCTCTTCTCGTGTGTAAGTACACACCCCTCGAGCCGCCGATTATACCCTGAATACTCCCAGATCCGTGATGAAGATTTCTCTAGCTGACATGACTTAACAATGTCCTCACAGTTCTGCGCAGTTCTCTCCAACATCTTCGTAACGATATCCGTCTCCTGGGGCAACAGCCGACACTTTGCCGATCTCGACCTCGAGCAAAAGGAAAACACCATCAAGTTCATGATGGCCGCCTACGTCCCCGGAATTGAAACACTCGGCTTCCCCAAGCTCGCCGTCATTGCCCTCCTGGTCCGACTGCTCATGCCCAGCCGGCTGCATACTATGATCTTGTGGTCCATGGGTACCATCTGCTGTCTGTCACTCACGGCCATGGTTATGACCTTGCTCTTGCAGTGCACGCCAACCCAGGCGCTTTGGACTCTTACCATGCCTCATAACTGTCTCGCCCCGGACGTGTTGGAGGGGTTGGCTTATTGGGCTAGCAGTAAGTTGAGTTTCGTCGGCTCAAAGACCAACCAAAGAACCAGACGCGACTGACCACATCACCCTCCTACCTCCACAGCATGCTCCGCGTTTCTAGACTTTTACCTGGCCATATACCCAGCTACTGTCTTGTGGAAGTTACAAATGCACACCAAAAAGAAGCTAGCTCTGTGCTGTGCTCTCGGTATGGGTCTCATGTAAGTGCCTCTCGTGGTGTTGACGTTTGCCATCTGTTTGCCCCATGCCACGTTCGCATCGACTAACATGACAACGTGTTACTAGATCGGGTGCTGTGGGTATCATCAAGGCAACCGGCGTATCGACTCTGTCCAACCAAGATGTCAGCTGTAAGTTTTCCCTCGGTGTCAGGCGTCATCCCAATTGGATAAAAGGCTGTCCCTTTTTCAAGAGGAAAACTGACAAGGGGGCTCACCTTTAGACGAACTCTGCGATCCCTTATACTGGACCTCGTAAGGACTACCTCTACAGTACCAATTTACCTAACCAATCACCCTCTGAGATCCTAACCCCGTTAATCACATCCAAGCGTCACCGCTAAAGAATCTCAACTGATCCTCAACCCACAGAATCGAAGGCAACCTAATAATAATAGCAGCCTGCATCCCCCTCCTCCAACCCCTGGTCGAAAAAGCCAGAGGCCGCAGCATCTGGCGTTCCCGGGGCTACAAGACCGACTCCAACAATGACGACAACGAGCACTATGCCGAAGGCTCAGGAAATCCTGGTTTGAGCAAAAACAGCAAGCAGACCGGAGCGGACGCCTTCGAGATGGGAAGTACCTCGAGAAAGAAAAAGAAGGTGGATCAGTACGGGTTTACGATGCATGCTAAGGAGGAGAGTGAGGAGAATCTAAACAAGAAGGACAGTAACAATGGCGAAGATGATTCGGGGCTGGGAAATCATAGGGATGAAGTGGAGGGCGAGCACGGTGAACATGACGGTGGGATTTTGCAGATTAGATCTGTAACTGTTGCTTATGATGAGGTGAGTGAGTCTGGAGGGGAGACGACAGCTGCTACTAGGTGGGCTGCTGTTTAGACGGGGGTATTGGAGCAAAAGAGGGAGGGTGGGCTTGAAATTGATTGGTTTCGTGAACGAATTGTTCGCTTCATAGGTTGACGTCTTCGTTGATGTTTTTTCTCACCTTGTTTTCCTTGCTGGGTTCGGAGCAGTCGGCAGGATCTCCGTCAAGACATCGACCTGTGGTATGCCACAGCTATCGCATTTCGGCTTCCTTTTTTTTTCCTTTTGTACCAAGACAGCCGACCGCAATGTTAAGATTAAGTTATTGTATTTTTCAAACTGTTCCTTTATACAACAAGTAGGTAACGATGCTCGTTCGATCTCCTGTTCCCTCCAGTTGGTGTTTGGCTTGGTGACAAAACCACAAAGGTACCGAGAAAAGTCAACCAATAAGATCGCCCTCGCCAAACCAAAAAGGCAAGTGGGTCTCGCCACTGGAGCAAGTGTGGGGCGCTACCGAGAAAAGTTTGCGAAAAATTCTCCAACACAAGAAAAAAAAAAAAGAGAAAAAGATGGATGTTGTCCTCAGATGAGGAACATCGGGAATTGAGCCCGACGTGGGGGTCGAACCCACAACCTTGAGATTAAGAGTCTCACGCTCTACCGATTGAGCTAGCCGGGCAGCTTGACGAAGCTGCCAATTGTTGAAAGTTAGTGTCAGGCAAGGTGGTTATGTAGGTAGGGGAGCAGCCAGCGCGGTGCTTACTCCGGCATGGCTCCTTCCTCATACTCGCCTTTATTGTTACTTAATCAATACTTCTTCTCTTTGCACCTTTTTCGTTGCTCCCGACTCCTTCTTCCCCTCCCACCTTTCATTCCCTTCTACTCCTACACTCCATCATCAACCCATCCAACCCTCCCCTACGATGAATACCAAATTGAATTCGAAGCCATTCACACCCTCCTTTCTCCTTCTCCACAAAACCCAAGCCCGCACTCCTAATAGCTCTCAACCGCCAGTGCCGGCGGAGTATAACTCTTCGGCACAGGATGGTAAATGCCGATCATGATCCCTGGATCCGCCGCCTGATATGCGCCCAGGAACGAGACCAGATTGCGCGGGCTATAGCTTCCGCTGTCTCCGCTGACTGAGATTTGCGCACTCGACACGTAGATGTAGAACTGGGCAGCGGCGGCGGCAGCGGCGGCGAGGAAGTTACCTGTAGGAGCGATATCGGGCTATTCCTTCCCTACGGTACCTAGTAATGATGGCTTCGGTACACTCCGTTTTTCTCCCGCGTAGACGTGAAGTTTTTTCTCCGTCTTTCGTTTCTCTCCTTTCGTTATCCATCATCAGCATTGTGGTTAAGATGGCGTCCGACTTTGAAGTTGCCGTTCGGATCTGAAGTTGCCGTTCCAAAAAAGAGCTCCATTCCCTCATATGGGGAGGTATCGAAAGAACTTCTTGGTACCTCTACCAATGTCAAATTCGCCCGGGGTGTGTTTTTGCTCTAGTGTACTCGGCAGCCCTGGATCCCCAACCGTCGAGACCATCAAATCGCTACCTAGCAATTTCTCGAGGTAAAACTAGGGGTTGTATATCCTCGCTTCATTCGAAAGGAAGGCCCGGTTCCTCCACAACAAGGTACATCGGCTCCTTCACAGGCTCTTAAGGAGGCATCAGGAATCGGATCCAAGAACAACAACATATTCCTAGCATTTTGGTTGTAACTGAGATTGCCGTACACTGTCGTGTCTACCTGTTAATAAAGTCTAACAAGACCTGGGGTTTATGGATTGCCAAGTACAAGAACTTCTGCCCCTAGGTAGGTAGCCAAAGGCCTAATGTCAATCAATATATTAGTCTTAATAGAATAAACCCCACGCGTTTCGGAATTCCATGACGGGGAAATGTTGTTAACAGGGAAGGTCAAGGAGAAGCGTTTTGCTTTTAAAAGACTGCGGCGACCAGGTTTTCCCAAAGGATTAAGTACTTCAACAGACACGAACTATCACAGAGGCACAGATACCGTGTAGCTACCTAGGTAAGAAGTTGGGTATGTTCTATTGCGGATATATGCGACAGAAATCTCAAGTCCGCGCCGTTCTTACCTACATATTGCGACACGAGAGAACGGCCAAGCTCCACCACAAAAAGCTTACGGATTGTAGAAAGAGAAGGTACAGCCGTAGGTAGGGCCCTACCAAGGGTAAGTCCGTAAAGCCACGCTGCCGGCGGTGTGTCAAGTATCATTCATTACATGTATGACGGGCAACAAAATTGCGCTAGATGCAAAAGGACCATTAGGTCCGGTTTTGAGCCTCGTCTTCGTGACATGGCTGTTGGTGATACGGCCGTTTGGTTACTCTGATGAGTGTCAGAAACAACCGTTGGGAAACTCTGCTGAACGGGCTAGTAGTGACGTTCAGTGGTGTGTGTGTGAAGTGTTATTGATTAGGTTATTGAGTTGTTCGGGTAGTGCGAAACCCCAAGCGATGGCCAAGACAGGCTGATACGGGTTAAGGCGGGCTGAAAGTGTCTCGCTAGACTGCGGTTCACGGAAAAAGGTCCGTATTAATGGAGGCTGTATATGTCAGGAGGGAAACACGACCTTCTTCGGACATGGGGTGCAACGACACAGGATCAGAGTCACTTTACGAGAGTTGGCATGGATATTGAAGAGAATGTATTGGGGTAGTATTGGTCCGGTAGTACTGCTACAGGAAAAAGGACAACTAATCTATGAGAGTATCGGACAGACACAAAGAATGCCATGCGAACAAAAAAAGAAAATGCAAAAGAAAAGACAAAGTAGACGTAGCACAAAGGGAATGTCCCAAACTATCCATGTTTGAGTATTCTTCACAGAGGCATCTCGCTCTCATCTGTGATCATGTCCATGTTGATCATGTCCTGGAAACTCAGGTTCATGTCTTGATCGACGGCCTCTAAGAGCTGTTGATCCAAGAACAGATCTGCATTGGTAAGACCCTCGGTACCAGTAAAATCGGGTAGGGGCACTTGCTCCACCTGAGCAGGTTCGTTGACAGCGGGTTCGTTGACAGCGGGTTCGTTGACAGCGGGCTCGCTGGTAGTGGTGTTTGCACCAGCAACCTCGAACTCCTGGAGAGCCCTTTCGATATCTGAGTCAGATATATCGGCAGAGTTAGCAAAGCTGTCCTCCAAGCCAGCCAGTGGGTGATTGGTATTTATGGAGGGGACTACACCAATGTCAGCAGAGAAGCCGTTCTCGAAGCCGCCCAAGGGCACTTGTTGATCAATCTCCATGGGAATAGGCATAGGGATACTAAAATTTGCCGGCATGGTAAGCTCCAGAGAGGGCCAAGTATATGTAGGCAGGGAAACCTTGTACATACCAATTATTTCGTCATACGACCACTGAAGGTTGAAAACCTTGGGCACGTAGGGCTCGAGCAGCTGGATGTTGCGAACGTGGTGTCTGAGCTGCTCGTAAGTAGAGGCGATGAAGCCATTGTATTCGAGACAGGCTAGTTCATAGTCCAGACCTTTGTCAGTGGGCCAGTAGGCGGCCCGCATGACTTCAAATTTCTGGCAGAGAGTCAGGAAGGTCTCTAGCTCTTTAGCATGGCTGCTAAGTGCGGCTAGGCGTTGAAAGATATGGGGTGACAGATCTTTCTGTTGAGTACTCGACAGGGCGAAGGAATCGTGAGAAGCTGGATAGAGAGAGGGGAGGGGTTGGGGCATAACGGCCGCCTTAGTTTCGGCCCGCTTGGCATCAGTAGTGGAGGGAAGGGTGCGGGACTTGTCCTGCTTGCGTCTAGGTTTGTACTTGTAGTTAGGAAAGGCTTTGGCGTTCATCTGCTTATCTATAACGGCAAGAGCTTGGTACTTTGATTTGACCGAGGGAGGCTCGAGAGACCAGCTCCGCGAGAGGATGGTTGATATCATATGCATGGGATGAGATCCCTCTGGAAGTTGGGTACGGTGGGCGTCCCTCCATGCCTTGGCGCGGGCATGATTGGCGGTGAGGTAAAGGACGAAGTGGTTGCAAGGCCTCTTCGGCTTCCCAAGGCCTAACTCTTTGTGCCTTATCTCGACGGACCTGTGGACGTAGGCTTCCATATCCCGGAGCGGGACATGGCCGAGATCCGAATCTTGGCTGAAAGGCTTTGTGAGTAATTCTTCAACGATCTTGGTGTCCCTACCCATTTTGGATGACTGGTGGTGACTGATGGTGATGGTATGAGTCGCTTTCTGGTGAGTCAGTGTCTGTTGATGTGGTCGTGAGGGCAAGGTTGTGAGGCTGCTTGTTTGAGCTGATGATGTGGATCGAGACAACAACAACATGGTTACACTGGATCTCGCCGTCTATTTAAGTCAAATGGCTTCGGGTGAACAAGATGCTTCTCCTATAGACAGGCTCTGGACAGGACGACGAAGGAAGCACACATTCGCGGAACAGAGAAGTTGAACAAAGACTTGGGCGAGGAAGAGGCTGAAAGAAACCGTAACATTGGCATTGTCCCGCGGAAGAGCATCCGATGGAGCCGGTGAGCACTCGGTTGAGACATGTCAGTTGTGATAATAAGTAACATGGTCAATGTTCGCTTGATTGATGATGGCATGTGGCAAACAGACGGACGAAGAGACCTCAAGTGCGGATGAAGTGGAATTAAAGTTGGAACACCTGGGGAATTCCAGGCCGTGGAGCAGCACCCGGACTGCAGTGACAGATGGGTGGGACCCGACTTTGGCGGGCTTAGGTACTGGGTGGAGTGGGGTATTAATGATTTTGTCTCGTCTGAAGGGGCCTCCATTTATTGGCTGCAGAGCCTTCTTATCAGCTTATCGGCAGCTGAGTCATCCGAGATCTAGAGTCCCCGTCTACAGGCACTGACTCCTCCCCCACCCGAGCCGCCTGAAACTGGGTGTGGTTGTTGCAGGGCCCAAAAAAAAATTGAAACCCTCTCTTTTCTCTCTTTCCGTCTTCGTTTTGAGATCCGGCATCCAAAGTTCGAAGTCGCACATTCGCATCTTGGTTGTCGATAACCTCCAATTCCAACACCATGGCTGCCGCTACCCTCGGAGAGGTGCCTACCAAGGCCTTCGATACCATCCTGACCTTGGATTTCGGGTGCGTTGGTCCTCCTGCTCTGCGTGCTTGTTGTTGTTACTGCAATATGCAAGGATATATGTGCATGTGTTCATCCAGTGCTAACAAGCCGTTCCTTTCTCTCATAACAGATCGCAGTACACTCATTTGTAGGTCTCTTCTTTTCTTACATTTCACATTCACTCATGCGGGAGATGAGTTACTAGTATACTCTAGGGCTCTGTCGTGTCGTGGTTGCTTTTGTTTACTTGTGAACCCTGGACTGCCTTCACCCTCTCAACACCCCCCCTGCAGTCCCCCAAATGTAGACAACAACAACAGACATACTAACCCAATGACTCCCAAAGGATCACCCGTCGTATGAGAGAGCTCAACATTCTCTCCGAGATGCTGCCATGCACCACCAAGATTGCCGATCTTGACTACAAGCCCAAGGGTGTCATTCTCTCCGGCGGCCCCTACTCCGTGTATGAGGACGGTGCTCCTCACGTCGACCCTGCCGTGTTCGAGCTTGGTATGCATCACCTCTGACCTGAAAGGTTGCTTGCATCTTGTACTAACACTCTCATTGCTTAGGTGTCCCCATTCTTGGCATTTGCTGTATGTGATATCTCATGGTGATTCATGTCACCACGGTCTATCCACCTTCACCTCGAGGCATCGGGGCATCATTGACACTCTCACAGATGGCATGCAGGAGATCGCCTGGCGCGCCAGCCCCGAGAACGTCATTGCCGGCGTTCACCGCGAGTACGGCCACTCCAACCTGAAGGCCCTCAAGGGCGACGACGCCCACGTCGACCGCCTCTTCGCCGGTCTCGAGGACTCCATGCGCGTGTGGATGTCGCACGGTGACAAGCTCGGCGCCCTGCCCGAGGGCTTCCACACCGTCGCTGTGTCCGACAACTCCGAGTACGCCGCCATTGCGCACAAGACCAAGCCCATCTACGGTCTTCAGTTCCACCCCGAGGTCACCCACTCGCAGAACGGCACCCAGCTGCTCAAGAACTTCGCCGTCGACATTTGCGGCTGCGCCCAGAACTGGACCATGGCGCGCTTCCTCGACCAGGAAATCGCCCGCATCCGCGACCTCGTCGGCCCCGAGGGCCAAGTCCTCGGCGCCGTCTCGGGCGGTGTCGACTCCACCGTCGCCGCCAAGCTGATGAAGGAGGCCATCGGCGACCGCTTCTGGGCCGTGCTTGTCAACAACGGCGTCATGCGCCTGGACGAGTGCGAGCAGGTCGAGCGCGACCTCAAGCAGCACCTGGGCATCAACCTGACCGTCATCGACGCCTCCAAGGACTTCCTCGAGGGCCTCAAGGGTCTCCACGACCCCGAGCAGAAGCGCAAGTTCATCGGCGGCAAGTTCATTGACGTGTTCGAGGCCGAGGCCCAGAAGATCGAGGAGGCCGCCGCCAAGTCCGGCAAGGGCACCAAGATCGGCTTCTTCCTGCAGGGTACCCTGTACCCAGACGTCATCGAGTCGCTCTCCTTCAAGGGCCCCTCGGCCACCATCAAGACCCACCACAACGTCGGCGGTCTGCCCGAGCGCATGACCAACGGCCAGGGTCTCCAGCTCATCGAGCCGCTCCGCTCCCTGTACAAGGACGAAGTCCGCGAGCTCGGCCGCACCCTCGGCATCCACGAGGAACTCGTCATGCGCCACCCCTTCCCCGGTCCCGGCATTGCCGTCCGCATTTTGGGCGAGGTGACGGAGGAGAAGGTGCGCATTGCTCGCCAGGCCGATCACATTTTCATTTCCGAGATCCGCAAGGCCGGCCTGTACGACCAGATTTCGCAGGCGTACGCCGCAGTTGATCCTAGCCGTGCTGTGGGTGTCATGGGCGACAAGCGCGTCTACGGCTACATTATCATTCTGCGCGCGGTGACGACCACGGACTTCATGACGGCTGAGGCCTTCAACTTCCCGTGGGACTTCCTCCAGCGCGTCATGAACAGGATCGTCAACGAGGTCAATGGTGTGTGCAGAGTCACTTATGACATTACCAGCAAGCCTCCTGGCACTATTGAGCTTGAGTAAGCGGGTCTTTGGTCTAGCGGGAAGGTTGGAAAAGTAAAACGTCTGCAAGGAAAGAAATGAATGAAGATACCATGAGTAACAGATGGGGAATGAAATAGATTTGACGTGTTCATGCCATGTGTGTTGTGTCAATTGCTATATTTGAGTGATGGAGATCATATGTGCTTGTTTATTCCTACTCGAAGCTACTCATAGTACCTCTCTAACCGGCGCACTTCTATTCACATAACTCTCGAACCATCATGAAGCCAAGCCCATTAACAAAAGCACAGAAACATAGATACATAAGACCACAAATTCCCAACGCCACTTGACTTCCCATCAACCCTCTCACTATGTAGTGAAGAAAAATTTACCTCTATGTACTTGCCGACCTATGTATCAATTCTCTCACCAAAAACTTTCATCAACCATAAAATCCGCATCATCATCCCCCAACTCCTCAATCCTCAAACTCCCATCAATGACATCTTCCCCGTCCCCCTGACCCTGCACCTCCACTTTTATCTCTCCATTATTCCCACTCCCCATCCCGGTCTCCTCCCCATATAAATCCTCATCCACCTCCGCCACATCCGACAACCACGGCTTCCTCGCCACTTTCCCTCCACCACCTCTTCCCTCCACCTTCTTTCCCACCCTCGAAAGACTTCTCGAGCTTGAACTTGAGCCTGAACTTACGGGCTTCCTCACAGGTGATATGCTTTCAGAAGAACTATCCGTAGTAGTAGAGACAAGGGACCCAAACCCGGATTTCGCAAACGCGCTTCCTCCTCCTTGAAGCGCCAGTGCCATTGGGTTGATATTCGCGTTTGCACTAGACACTTTTTCCAAGTTTTGGTCCATGATTTCTGACATGGATGGTTTGTTGGAAGTTGAGCTGGAGCTGGACGACGATCTTGCCCTTCCGCCTATTCGCCTGCCGGTGGTTCGTGTAGGGGATCCGGAACCGGAACCGGAACCAGCGCGAGGACGACCAGCGCCGGAACCAGAACCAGAACCAGAACGGGGTCGAGTACTGGAACTAGAGCCAGAGCCAAAGCCAAAGAGAGAGTTACTAGAGCGTGAGGAAGCTGGACTAGGGCCGGAGCTGGAGCCTGGGCTAGGACCTGCTGGGACTGAGGGACCGCCGCGTGGTTGGGGATTAAATGTTGGGTTGAGCGTGTTGCCGGGGTTGTTGGGCTTGGAGCCGACGTTGGGGTTAAAGTTGCTGTGCCTCGTAGCTGTGTTGGGGTCGAATCTCTGCATAGGCTTTGCTGGCTGTTTACCTGGCGCGGTGGGTTTGTTGTGGCTGGCGTTGGAGGCAAGGTTAGAACTGGAGCCTCTGGCTGGTTTGATAGGCCTGAGATCGAGTCTAGGAGCCGTGGAGCTAGAAGCGGCATTTGAAGTAGAAGAAGAGAAAGTCGTACGCTTTGGATCAAGCTTTGTTGTGTTCGTGGAAGGTGCAGGTCCAAAGGGGTCATCGCCTGCGGGAGTCGAAGAGTTGGGAGGTGTAGCCGGCCGCAACTTGAGAGTGGGAGGTGGAGGTCTAGCCAGTACCAGAGCCATGGGATTGTCATCGATGATAGTGTCATTCTCGAGGTGAGACCGTCTTGTTTCCTCGCGCATGTGGCTCGAATTCCCAGGACCTACACTAGGGGCTCTGGAGAGGGATGTGCGACGCTGTCGTCCGGTGCCAGATGCAGCAGTTGAACTAGATCCGGCACGAGAGACGGAGCGCCGACGACCACTGGAGCCCGAGGCAGAACCTGCGCGAGACCTTCCTCGTTCTTGCTTCTCCCCGTCCCGTTTCTGCTTCTCCTTCTCCGCATCCCGTTTCTGCTTTTCGTACTGCTCCCTTCTCTTTCTCTGTGCCTCTTGCAGCTGCTTGTCCATCTTATTATTTCCCTTGTCGTCGGCTCCCTTTTCCCTGGCCTCGCGCGGCTTCTCCTCCGGCTTCGTCTTGTCAACCTTTTTCTCCGCTTGCTTCTCCTCTGTACGGCTGTGTTGAGGTTTCCTTGATTTTATAAACAGGTCTGCATAGTTCTCCTTGTTCGTCACGTCCTTGACCTTCAGCCTCGCTTCCTCCATGTATCTCTCGCGTTCCCGTCGTTTTTCAGTCTCCTGATCAACCAACATGTCCATATCCCCATCTGCGTCCATGTCTATATCCGGGCCCATATCCATCGGAACTGTCCCGTCTGGCGGTGGTCCAGGCGCAAATGAGTCTATCCCCATCATGTCCAGAGTACTCATGTCGGGCTCATCCAGATTCATCTCATTCTCTCCCCTCACCCGCCCCGTCATCTCAACCTCCATGGTTCTACTATCAAACGTAGACCAAAACTGCTCCCTGAAATACCGAGCCTCCCACTCTCTACGGTGCGCCAACAATCTATCCTGCTGCTCCAGCCGGTCTTTAAATCTCCGTTTCGCCTCCTTTGTTTCCCGCTCGACCCTCTTTTCCTCCTCCCTCTGCTGATGTTTTTCCTCCAACAACTGCACCAGCTGGGCATTACTCCACTTCTTCTCGTTTCCCAGACCCTGGCACTGACCTGCTTCTGCACAAGCCGACATAGACAACTTGGCCCACTGCGCCAGGTCGGCCAGCAAGACGGGATCGTACCGACTGAGCATCATCTCGAGGGTGTAGATAATCCCCGGGTGCACACCGCTGTGCATAGGGGCGGTGATACCCTTGGTCCATTTGCAATGTCCCTTTTCTAGCTCGTCGAGCAGTTGAGCAGCGCTTTTGCCTGCTTTATTCTCGACTTTCATCTCGTACGAGTAGAACTCCAGGAGCAACCGGAAGTCATAGCGGGTGAGTAAGGTCACCACGGCAGCGACGTCGGCTGTTGGGCCGAGAAGACTACGAATGGCGAGAGCAGGGTTCTTGGCCTGTTCGAATCGCTGGTTACCCAGTTTCAGAGCGTCTAGGACTTGGTGGACTGGTTTCACAATGTTCTCGGGTTGGATGAGCCAGGCGTAGAAGCCGTCGAGCAGTTGGCGGTCGTGATGGGGGAAGTAGGTGTACAGTTTGGTGAGATCGGGCGGCGGTCGAGAGGAGAGGGCAGTAAGGCCGAATGGCCCTCGAGATATCAGAGCTGTGGACGTTGTTTGGCCTTGGGTTATCTCTGCTTCGTCTAATTCGCCGCACAATGCTTCAAAGGCCTTACCCACCGGGGGTATGACGACTGGACAATTGGGTATTGGAAGAGGTCTAGGTGGTCGTAGAACCCTTGGACTCGGCAATCTGTAATTTCTATTTTCTGGTTAAGCAGTGTTATCAGTGGTAGTCGCAGCCGTAGTTGCAATAGATAGGGGTGCATACCGAGGAATGTGTTTAACCGGAGTAGTAGCCTTGGGTGCAGGCGTTGGCGTTGGCGATCTAGGCTTCATCGCTTCTGCATTATGCGTCTGAGTCGCTGTCTTTTCAACCTTGGCGTGCTTTGGACTTGGGGGTTTAGGGTCATCATCATCGTCATCGATAACTATATATTTGCGCTTTGGCCTAGCTGGCGGTAAATCTGGGGGATCATACCCAACCACTCTGTAAATGTGGCTTTCCGTCACCGAATCTTGATGAGGACCTCGAGGAAGCAATAGTGAAGATGGAATCGAGTTCAATGGTGCCCGCCAGTGGTGAGATAAGCCGTCAACCGGTCTGTTGTGTTCTGCCGTTTGGAGCTTGTACATCTTTGTTGCTGCCAGCGTGGGTCGTGGTAGACGAAACTCGTAAGATAAATAGTTGTTCGGAAGCATGGGTCGATAGTGATTTCCGTGCTATAGTTGGTCACAGCAGTGTCAGCTCGCGTTTCTCAAAGGTCCCATTGTTTGGAGGGAACATGAAGGTGTGAGTGGACGTACAGCATAGCAAAGAAATACGTGTCGACTGTTGTAGGCCCCAAAAGTCTTCATGTCGTAGACCTTGTTGATGAACTGAACATTCATATTCGAGTCGTACTTGTAAAGCACGAGAAAAATTTTGTAGAGATCAGCAGTCAAATAGCACGGGTCGTGGTTCACCCAAAGGCCCGGAATGTGCAGTGCCTCCCAGAGATTGAAGTCTCCCTGTATCTCTGTACCTTGATATTGTATGCCTTCTGCCTTGGTGCTGAACTTGGTCTCCATCAGTCTCTTATAGAAATCGTGGCGAGGATGATGAGGGTTGTTGAGGATGCTCTCGAGATACCAGAGGTGTTCCGCTTTGACGAGTAGCCAGAAGCTGGCACTGCCGTAGATCAGCAGCGCGACAGAAGTCCAGTAACAGTGCCCATCTTCCAAGTGTTTGCCATCCCTGTCCTCCGAGTGCCACTGATTTGGATGCATCACAAAGACCACCTTTTCGACCATGGGGAAGCCCTTGTAGAGGACAGCGGGGGGATTTGGTTTGTTTTTAAAATATCGCTTGTGGTTTTTGAAAAATCCCGACCAATCGAAATCTCCGAGCATAGTCGCCAGGTCTGGATCGGAAATTGGATTTGCAAGATTGGACTTGGAATACCGGTCGGTAAATTTGGTAGTTGCAGCTAGTTTGTATCTGCCAAAGTGGTCATCGATGGACCTTTTATATCCGAGTCGCTTTCTAATCGCTGTAAAGTCGTGGGTTGAGGTTAGTCTAACCGGTTCGCCATCCCCTCGCGTACGCTTAGTTGACGTTGTCGGAATATCTTCGCCCCCAGGAACAACAGCCGTCTTCTTGAACGGAAGCGGCTTGAATTTAATACTTCTGCCCTCTCCATCGTCGTCAACAACTGTGGCAACCTCAGCCTCCTTGAAAGCCTCCGGGCGCTCCCAAATCTCGACCGTTACAACCGGGGCAGCAGCGTTTATCGGATCAACAATCGGGTTTTCCTGTCGGATCGTTTCGAGTTCTTCGTAGTAGATGATTTTCGGAAGTTCTCTGCGATAGTGTTCATTTGCCGGTTTGAAATACAATTCCTCTATTCTCCTGCCGGAGATAGCGGATGACCGGGAGGTGGCAGGTCTCAGCGCGCCGGAGTCGGACTGCTGCGACCCTTCAGCGGACTGTTTTGGCGGCATAATTTGGATTCGGATTGCGCCTGACGAGGTCAGTATGAACGTATGCTACAGGAGAATTGAGGGTAAAAGTTCGAAAAGGCAGTTTCACCCAAGAAGCAGGCTGTTCACCGAACGTGGTGTGGTTGCGACGTTTTGTTCCTAAGTATCGGGAAGTTGACTGGAGCGACCGACGGCTCCCCCGCGTTGTTCACCATCCCATCTTCTTGGTAGGTGTGTTCCATTGTTCGTCCAGGTCCATGACAAACAAAGATGGCGGCCGTTGTCTTTGACATTGCTGCTGAACCTTGTGGCTTTGGTGATGGCAGTGGTCGTAAAAGTGGTGGCTATTGTTTAAATGGGGGCGCCTGGCCCTCTTCTTCCGGATTTGGCATTTCGGTGGCTGGAGGTATCGTCGAGTAACTTTAACAATAGAAAGTGTGCAACAAAGTAAGCGAGTGGATGGTAAAGCGATTCTTTATTTATTTCAGTCTTGGGAAACAAAGGCGAGTGCCTTGGATGTCGAGGTGGAAAAGAACAAGAACTCGAAAATGAGTGGATCACAGGTGGGGTTCGAGTCGGCGACAGGTACATAGCATGCGCTCCTGTCATTGGTCCATGTCTACATCACATCGCCCAAAAGGGAAAGTGCGGATATGCTTGAAATCTCCTCCTTCAGGTCAACATGTGAATATCGTCTATCCACATCGCACATAGCTTGAGGGTACTAGAACGCCAATGGATTGTATTCTTGATACGCTATCATGTGAGGGAAAAGGTACAGAATCTGGAAAAACAAACGTCCTTGATGCCTTGTATACAGCGAGACCAGTCTTCGCTTTCCGTCATGGACAAAGTCCCGTCTTTTCACCTCCAACGGACCAAGACATCATCAACCCCAGCCCATTGTCAACATCCCAGGTTTGACGTCTCAAAGAACAGAAAAGAAAAAAAAAAACATCATACTTCGCTGGATATGCATTGCCAACCATTGACTCCCTCCATGTCCCCCCTCGTAAACATCCCCCAGCACGCATGGGAGGAGGTGTTTTCCAGAGCTATAGCTCCGAAGCACACCGTTCAGACAACCGGACCCTTGCCCTCGTGCCACCAGTCCAGGTGTTTCTGTAGTTCTTCGGCATTTGGAAACGGGAAATCTGTACATCCTTCAAAGGGACAAAGAGAGCAGCCCTCGGGTATGCCCATGTCCAGCTTATCATGCTCAGCAGCAACGTGCCGCTTCATTGCATATTTCCCCATACACGGCTCCCCACAATATTCAAAAGGACACAGGACCACCTCTGCCAACTCTGCGTCGGATATATCGTGTTGAATCTTCAGATGCTGCCGTATCGCTTCCACGTTGTGGGGAATGAAAGTCTCACAGTCTCGGTGGCCAAAACTCTGCTCACAATACACCCCAACTGGCGAGTTACGTCTTTCGGTCCGAGGGCTGGCCGAACACAACCAGGCTATATGCTCAGATCGTAGCACATTGCTAGAAAGCACTACACCACAGGCTGGGCATCTGAACTCGGTAGACGCAGAGTTGACGGATGCTTGCTTCTGTGGCTGGGCTTGTCCTCCCTCTAGTGTGCTCTCCTGGGCTTGTGTGCCTGCTTGGTTGGTACCAGCATTTGAAGACTCAGAGAGTGGGACCGACTCTATCTCTTGATGTTGCAATTCTCGGCTGGGATGCTGCTCAGGCTCGTCTTCCGGACCGTTGTTTGCTCCATCACTATCTGATACAAGTCGTTCATCTTCTTCTCCATTACGAAGCCTGTCCGAATTTTCGGGCTGTGACACGGGAGCCACTTGTGCCCCTTGAGTGATGGCTTGACGTCTCTCGTGGCTCTTCACGTGTCTTCTTAGCTCCTCCAACGAATAAACTCTTCTTGAGCAGTGTCGGAAGGGACACATATAGCCCATCCTGTCAGGTGCTTCTGGTACCCATAGAGGATCGCAATCAAAAGACACGTAGTCGTGCCTCGAAATCATGTGCATCCATACTGTATCCCTTGGTAGTGGATCTTGGATTTCTGTACAGCCCTCTTCCGGACACACACAGGGAGCATCTGAGCGAACTGCATCAGCAACATAGTGATACTTTGTGGTGTGAATGGACAAGCTCCTCGATCCCATGCAGGGTTTAGCGATGCACCAGCGGCATGCAAATAGTACCTTGGTCACATTCACCAAAACTCGCCTCTGACTGGGGTGCTCCACCTGGAAATGACGCCGCAAATGAACCTTACATCCGTAGGCTGCATCACATATCCCACATTTCCACTTTAGGTGGTTTGCTAGCCGATTTTTTCTTGTGAAATCCTTGCCGCATTTTACACAATACCAGAGTCTAGGCCTAGACTGAGGAATGGTGCTATCCAAGCCGGCATTTGTCGCTCCGGTTTGGTGGCCTTGAGTATCCTGTTCGGTTGCGTCGACTTTTTCTTCAGCCCTAGAAGCCTTGTCGTCGTGTTGACCTCCCACGTCAGATGGCTCCGTAGGTAAGCCTTCTCCAGCAGTTCCATTATTGCTTGGACAGTTGAGTTGACCTTCCTAGGCCATAGAGGTAGTGTTCTGCACCTGACCATAATCATCATTTCCTGCCACGTGTCTTTCCTGGGAATCGTTATGTTTTGGTTCCAGATCATGGCCACGTCCGTTACCGTAAGAGGCATCGTATCCTTGGTTGCTGTACAATGGGGCCTTCCCCTCGGCAGTTGGTGTCCAAGGCTGCTGGTATTCAAGGCTTGGATGCTGTCCGATATTGCCATGTTGCTGTTGCGCTTCGGACTTTGCACGAAATAAGAACGAACTGGAATCTAGCGACTGTGACTGAGGAACGAATGTTTCGGGCGATACCTGCTCATGATGAAAGTGTGGGTTCTGGCCATCCCCCGCGATTTGTCCGGTACCCATTCCTGCTCCAGCCCCTGACGGATGGATGTCCCCAAATTTCACATCTGATTGTGCCGGTGACTGGTGAGCTGCCTGGGAAACGCCACCCGTAAGCCAAATGCTGTTGCTAGAAGTTGTTCCATCAATCAGGCTACCCATTCCGGTGCCACTGACTACCATACCGGAGCGATCCTGGTTCGGAAAAGTCAAAGACGTATCGGCTGTGGGTTGCGTTTGGACTCCTGATTGACTCGGCCATCCGCCAAACGACGAACTGGTTGGATCATCATGACTAGTCGTAAAGGGCCGTTCAAGAACCAGGAAGTTCGGATCCTGGTGATTGTAGTTCCCGAAGAATGGTGGTGCTTTCTTTCCATCTCTGTTCCTTTGCTGCTGGCCGGATGAAGACCCCGCTGGGTCATGGCTCGGATGCTGAGACATCTCGCGGGGGTAGCAATTGACCGCTGTCAAAGAAGTTGGACCAGTACGATCGAAGATAGGTAAAATGTAAAATGTACGGTAGAACGACTGTTGGGGTGGGATATGGCCCGCTGATGAGATTGAGAACCTGAGAAGAATGATGGTTAAAGGTTATCTGGAATCTGGATCATCGCCCCGGGAAGTTGTACTCTTATATCTCCCGTCTCTCATGACAGGAGCAGATCCACCCGAAAATCACGTCATGAACAACTTTGCTCGCTCCTATCATCGTTACTGTAGCATCTTATCGTGTCCACAGGTGTCTCCTGCCACTGTGGTTGGATAATTTGACTTCGAAGGGAAGGCGAAGGGAGAAGCAAGGGCATGTTTGAGAAGTACATGCTCACCGCAGTAATAGTTGCTTGGTGATACTCGACTTGTATCCAATAGCTCCTTCTGGTGTCTGAGAACGAACATGTATCCAATTAAGCCCAAAACAAATTTACAGAAAATCTAGTGATATCAAGAAAACAGGAGAGTATAGAACATCCAAGAAGCGAAAAACAGCGGCGAGTACATCGAATCATCCGGTTTTCTCGAATCAAAGGTGAAGATTTGGTACATGGCACCAGTGGTATAAACAAAAGGTCTCTGCCCTGGGCTTAACAGGGTAGAAAAACAAGATATTTACAGTATAAGAATTAAGCTCCTCAAACAACTGCCATGTGGATTTGCATCCCCTTGTAGGTCTTCCAGACAACCGTCGTATCCGGTGCCACAAAGAAGATGGATCCCTCCTTCAAGTCAAATGTCTTGCCCCCGGCCAACATGGTCCCTTGGCCACTTGTAACAATCAGCACGCCCGGCCCGTCGCTCGGCGCAATCTCGTCGCTCTCCCCAGCTCCCAGGTCAGCCTTGAGCATATCGAACTCGCTCATGGGCGGCTTATATACCACTGTGCGCCCCTCCTTGCTCTTTTCGCTCTTGTTGCTCGGCAGCAGCATGTCGGCCGCGGTGTGCCCTTCAAACGTGAGTGTCTCGGCGAACAGGTCGTAGCTGTTGCGGTCGGCGGGAGGACAGAAGCCGGCGTTGAGTACATTGTTGCTGCGGGCCATGCACTCAACAATGTCACCCGACAGGTAGGCATGGATTCCATCGGCGGGGATGTAGATGGAGTCACCGGGCTGAAGCACCATAAAGTTCATACAGAGAAGGGCGACGAGAGTTCCGGGGTCCTTGGGGCCGTACTGATCCTGTAGACGAGGAATCAGATCGGGGATGTAGTCATTCTTGGGTCCGAGATCTTCCTTGGGAGTCTTGAGGAGAGATTGGGCGATGTATTGGACAGTGCCATCTTCGGCCTTGAGCAAACTTCGGGTAATCTCACGAAGGGTAGCGTCGGTCCAGGTGTCGGTGGTCCCTGCGGGAACGAACTGGCGGAGGAAGGAAAGCTGGAAGAGAGGCACAATGTGGGAAAGAGGCTTCCATCCGGCAAAGACTTCGAACTTGGACAGAGCCACAGCGATTTCGGGCTTATGGTTGGGGTCGGTGAAGTTCTCGGGGTCCTTCTTGTGGAGCTTTGTCGCGAGCTCCTTGTTGGGGTGGATTTGGAGCGGGAGGGCTTTGGCGATGGAAAGGATCTGGAGGGGGGTGGAAGTCAGCACACAAGATCAAGTTGAGGTCAAAGTAAGTAGGACATCGGGGCCATACCTTTGGCAAGTAGGGAAGCTGGCCGTCGAGGTTCTGGATGACCTTCTTTCCCAACAACGTTTCCTTGTTCTTTTCGAGGATGTCTTTCAAAGGCTCTCCAGTATCGAACTTCTTTGCTGGAAAGTCGGGATAATCGCCGAACCACATTTCCGAGTAGAACTCATCATCTTTGATCTGGAAGCTCTTGTCGGTCTGTGCGCATAGTTGAGCGGCGAGCGAATCTTTTCCCTTTTTGCCCCAGGGGTAGTTGTTGCACGAGCCTGTGAGCTGGAAGACGCGGTCGGGGGTGGTGGCGGTCATTGTTTGTGGGTGACGGTACTGCGGGTTAGATGGCGTTTTCAGCGGGAATGGCAGTATGAATTGGATGCAGGAAGTCGAGTTGTAAGAGCGCAATAGAGTAGTTGTCTCAGCGGGTATATCGAGGCAATTCAAGTCAATATTTGGATGCGTGGTGTTGTTGTTGTTGTTGTTGTTGTTGCTGTTAACGGACAAGACAAATGAATGAATGTCGTCATCACTTCTGCCAGCAGCCATTGTAAGTGGGACCGCCCGAGGATCAGTCCTTAACAATTATGTGTGTACCTGACATCATCAGATGAACTGTAGGTCTATTATGTAGTGTACATAGTAACTCGCGCTCAGCTTTGTTTGGCGTTCATCCGAAAAAACATTTGCGTCAAGATCGATTTTATTCTCCAACCAAATCACTCATTGTCAATTCGAATTCCTCCAGAAGGAGAACGAAGCATCGTGTGCTGTTTTACCAATGCCAGTCTACCGCGGAAAATTGTTAGAACGCGATAGTGCCCTGTTGACGGATGGTTCCTTGCAGCTGGCGGCCACTTGATGCAGCGGCTTGGCATGACGTATAAGTGTTAGCACAGCCGATGCTTGCTTGCCCCAGTACACTGCACCGGGCAGGCAAGAGGGATGACAGACACACCCGGGATCGCATCTAAGAGTCTATAAAAGGCTTCAAACATAATTCCACGTGGATATATGGGCCAGAAAACAAGCAATCCGGATCGATGGAGAAGCCGTTGGGACACGAAGCTGAATCGAAGTTGGCATTGCAGATCCGGAGCCCTGGGAATTTGCCAGCTTTGCACTAACAAACACCCCTCCGCGCGTCGTCACACGGCAGTGGCAGGTCCCCTACACTACTTGAATGGTTCCAGCGGTCCCCTTTCTTGGCGCCATTGATGTCATAGGCAGTGGAAGTCAGGTCGACCTACTGAGTAGGTACATCTGCCCTTTCCCGTTCGGACGGGCGGGAGTCGTCCTTCACTTACAAGTAACTGAGGTGTCCAACCCTCCTACTAGTAGCACCGCTTCCAGACCCCCGTCGTCATGGCATGCCTGGACCTCCCTCCCGTCTCTCTCCCCGTTGGAATGCTGGGATAATTGATAGCTGATACCCCGCCCATTACTTCGTTGCATCTCATCGGCTGGACCCCGTCCATGTGTCTTGGACTTTTCCATCACAAGTACCACATTCCCACTCCTCCAAGACCCCAACAGGCTTCCCAAGCTTCCAACATCAAGACGATTCCTTTCTTCATTATTCCTGGAAAGTTAACAGCCCCTTCAACAATTACTACATGTGGTGACGAAACCCGCCATCATGCTGTCCGAAAACTTGACTGAAAAGCGAACCGATCCTCTCACCGGGGAAAAGGAAGAGAACCCCATCACCGGCGACACGGGTCCTGGAACAGGGCTTCAGGATCTCCTGCCTCTGCCCGCCGAAGATGCTCAAGATATCCTGCAATCCAAAAAGGCCTTTGACAAGTCAGCAGGCGGTCTTGAAGATGGCCACACACTTTCTCATGCGCTGGCCACCGAGGACCACAAGCTAAAGGGCGCCGCCCAGCTCAAGACCGAAAAGGAAGTTAGCAACCTGGGCTGGAACGAGCCCAAGCGGGAGATCGCGGCCCCTCTGGTTGGCGGCATTGACAATGAAGAGCTATGGATGCTCGTCCGCCGCTTCAACAAGGCAAGTAAAACACATCTCTCATGTCTAGGTATGTAGCACACGCATTTTAACACTGTAACAGCAAATCATCCACACAAAGGCAGTCTTCACTCCCGTGCCCGGTGGCCTGGACCTCAACACGGCGGAGGAGGAGGAATTCTCCCCCGACAAGATGCGCGCTAACATCGAGCGTCTCTACACCACTGTCGTTGTCGGCATCCTCGCTGCCGTCAAGCACATTGCCCGCCTTCGGTCCTGGCGCGAGAAGGAGCGAACGGCTTGGTTTGCTGGAGTCTACTTTGTCGCCTGGTTGTTTGACTTTATCATGCCCCTTATCACCGGCGTGATCATTGCGCTAATTGTCCATCCCCCTACGCGCGAGCTGCTCTTCCCGCCAGCACCCATTGCCCTTGTTGACTCCAAGACGGGTGGCGTGCAAAAGCCGTGGGCAGGCACTGTCGGTAGCAAGGACAGTGCTACGGGTGCCCCTGAGAATCACAAGGGTGAGGCGGTTGAGCAGGAAGCGGATAATTTGGTCCATGGCCTTGCTGAGCTGGCTGTGAGCAGTGCGGCTGGCAAACATCCTGCCGGAGATGGTGAGTTCCTTGTCATCTTGTTCTTGTTTTCTAACCCGCAACTACTAACATGGAGAATACAGTCCAGGATAAGACCAAGAAACCCATGGAACTGGCCATGTGGGCCAAACTTCGACCTGTTATGCAAGTAGTTGGTAACATCAGTGACAACTGGGAGCGATTGGCCAAGTACGTTGTCTCGATCTCTCTTTCAACCGAGGATTTGCTAACCGGCCAACAGCGCCCTGTCCCCTACCCCTCCCTTCCCAAAGGACACCCACCGTCTACGTCTAGCAATTCTCGTAATCCCCCTCTTTGGCGCCTCCCTCTTCGTGACCTCATATATGTTTGTGAAATCCCTCACCTTCTTCCTCGGCTTTGGCATGTTCGGCGACCCCGTCATCCGCCCCGGCATGGAATACCTCAATCGCGTCATCCCCGACTGGCAAAAGCTCCTCGAGCTGCGCAACACCCTGCTGAAGGGCGTCCCCACCAACGCCCAGCTGACCCTTACCCTCCTACGCATCGGCGAAGCCAACAAGGCTCCTCTTCCCCCTGTCCCGCGCGTAATCGAACAACCCGTCCAAGACCCAGCCAACGGCCCGGCACCCCTCGACTCGGAAGCCCAAATGCGCGCTGAGGCAGCCGCCCAACCGCTTGAAGCATCTCCTTCAGAGCTAGACGAAGCAGCGCACACGGATCCCAAAGACGACCTGCGAGACGCAGGCTTCGACGTCGACTCCCACCCCAAGAACAAGCAGACTAAGAAATCCCACAAGGTGTTGGGCTGGATCAAGAACGTCACTGCCGGCGTAGTCCACACCGGCGGCGCCACCGATCATGTGCGAGCAAAGCTGGGCGTGCACCATGCCAAGGACCGCCTGGGTGTCGTTCCGCCCAAGGACGAGATCCCCGTTTCGGGTCCAGTCAGATTCGATTGTCGCCATGAAGGCAAGAAGGGACATTGTTACATTTCTACCGCCGCGACCATCCCCAGCGTGGCATTTGTTGCGAAGAAGGATGAGAGTAGTACGACGGTGATTGCGGGTAAAGAGCGGGAAGACCTGAAACCGATGTGGACAGTGGCCGTGGCGGATATTATGGAACTGAAGAAAGTGGGCGGGTATGGATGGAAGGCCAAGATTGTGGTGGACTGGAGTATGGAGAGGGAGGTCAAGGATGGACTGAAGATTGTGACGATGGAGGGAAAGAGGTTCAGAGTGACGGCGTGCCCGTTGAGGGATGAGTTGTTTAATCGGTTGGTGGCGATGGGCGGGCAGAGGTGGGAGGCTTGGTAGTTTTTTCTTTTTTTTTTTTTTTCCTCTTCATCGTTTTACGTATGTAATCTTCTTCTTCTTATTTCTGGTCGCTTTTCAGAACATGTCTTATTATTTCGGGAAAGGAAGGGAACGAAAGGAAGGTGTACTTGTACTGTAGTTATCATGATTTTGTTCTTTCTCGACCAAGGTACTCGTATACCTAGTAATGATATTGAGCAATGACTTTATTAGTTACGAATTCTGAAGTGAAAAATAACCAACCAATCAAATGGCAGCTTCGTCAAAGCTGCCCGGCTAGCTCAATCGGTAGAGCGTGAGACTCTTAATCTCAAGGTTGTGGGTTCGACCCCCACGTCGGGCTCAATTCCCGATGTTTCTGTTTCTCAGGACAACATCAATTTTTTTTTTTTGTTTATTCCTTCCCGGTGCATTTTGATCTTTTTTTTTTGTTTTTTCCTCCTTTCACACGACATTTCACCCGGGCAGTGCTTCAGTTGCTTTGCTAGCCTGAGACGGTAATCGATCCAGTAGACGTAAACAATCTTCCCCCCTGTAGGTCTTGTCTGTAGATAATAATCGCTTTAATACCTCGAAACAATTTCACCGCGGTCATATAGTGTTACCAGCATAAATCCATCGCGCTTCTATACATACAATACATGTACATACACTCAGGTAGTCAACCCTCGATGCCGTATCTGGCAGTTCAAAAATCCCCTCATAATTCGCAAAAGAGACTCGTCAAATATAGGGATCCATTTTTTATTCCTTTTTTTCTTTAGGCCCACGCTCCAGATAGTAGTAATAGTACGGCCCCTGCAGTCCACCACTAGTCCCAGCTATGTTTTATCCTCTCGATTCGCCAGACTCTATATCTTTGCTTCGAACCACTTCTTTGGTTCCCGGCAAGCTGCAAGCTCTTGCTGACTGAAAAAGAAAATAGGTCGAACCCTTCCGTAAGTACCTTCAACCATATGTTGCTGCAGTGGTACATCGGTACCTACTACCTACTAGATCAGATCCGACCAATCCTATTCCCACCACCACCAATAGTCGGCCAAACAGGACTCAACCCCTTATTCACACACTCCCAGTACTCGCGATTGATAGCGTACTGAACCGCCGTCTCGATATTGTTACTATGGCAGAAGGCCGTGATAGCATGGATGTCTCTTGCTTTTTGTGTGGGACTGCGCGAAACCATGTCCAGGGCACTGGGGGAGTAGAATTTGGCTGTTGTTGCAGTGCTGAGGTTGGTGTTGGGGGTGTATGTGGTGTTGGGATAGTTGGGGTAGTTGGGGGTGGTCATACTCCGGGGGATGCCGCTGGAAGGAGGAAAAGTAGGGATGTTGGTTGAGTTGATGGTAAGGTTTGTGGTGCTGTTGTTGCTGTGGTTCATGTGCTTGTTGCGAGTCTTGTTGGTAGAGGTAGAGGTAGAGGTAGAGGGGCGTTGAGTCTGACTCTTGTCACCGCCACCGGGATTGCGAGGCTTGGATCCGGGTTGGCCTCTCGTGATCAGTTGGCGGAACCAAGATGTGCGTCTTTGGTGCGTCTGGGGAGTGGGTTGGCGGGCGCTTGCATCCACGCTGTCTTTGTTCTCATGGATTTTCTTTGTCTTCTGGTCCTGGTCCTCATCCTCGTCCCGCAGAGGCCCAAGTCTGTTGAAAGAGTCACAGATTGGGCGACACGCATACCCCAACTTCTGCACCCTCTTCTCTACAGCATGAACATTGCTTATTCCAATGCTTCTGCACCGCTTCGCAGGAATTACATCCACACCAAGGGATGCCAAATGCCGCTGAAACGACATATCAGAATTGGGGTTCGAGGAAGCGGAATGTTTGTCTTTGTTGCCGCTGGCACTGCCCAAGTCATTGAAGAAACGCGACGGGTGCTCACCCGAGTCAACGATGTAAAGCGTCTCCAGTTGGAGTACCTGGCGCAAGTGCACGGGGAGATTGGCCCTCGCCCAGATGGTCGACTGTGCTCGTTGACGGCCGATTTCGAGAACTTGGAGGGCGCAGGTTAGGGGGTCGATGAGGTAATAAGGAAGTTTGGCCTTGTCGGGAAGGTTGGGGTTGGTGGCTCGCCATCGAGCGGTCACATCGCGGATCCAGTCTGATGCCGTGCGATGCATGGTTAATTTGCATTGACGCTTAGATGGAATGGACTCTGTCGTAGAGGTCGACGAAGCTCGAGAAAAGACGGTAGAGGCAGTGGAAGCCAGGGTCTCAAGACTGGCCTCTGAAGGGGCCGTGGGAAATGTCGGAGAAGGGATGTTTGATGATGTCGAGGATGATGTGGACGAGGAATAGGCAGATGCCAGAGACGGGCTACTACGTCCAAACTCTCCCGGCTTCTGAACGATGTAAAGCTTGGGTGCATCTTCTCCACCACCCTGAAATTGACACAACTTGCTGATAACGCGAACATCGCGGTCCCAGGTCCTTAAGGACGGCGGCGAGAAGAAAATAATGGAAGTAATGCGAGTGACCGGAGACTCGAGACCTTTCTCTGAACATGTGGTGCTGGTAGGGCTGACCGGAACATATGCCACGGTCCGCTCTCCATGCTTGATCGGGATATACAGGCCTTGGACAGTATCGGGAGTCGAAGGAGTTGTGGGCGTCGGTGACTCTGTAGGACGACCTTCATTTGCTTCGCCTTTCTCCTCCACGAGCCCGCCTTGCTTCTTTGACCCATCGCGGTTATCGTCTGTAGTTTCCTCGTCGACCTTATCCTCCGGAGAAGAGCAAAGACCCTCCACGATCTTCATGTCATCGAATGGGCAGCTTAACCTGCTCCTCAAGGTCAAAGTCGGCTTCGACGGCTTCAGGTGTTGTCGCTGGGTCCGGTCCTGCTGTGGGCTCGGCTTGTGGTTCTTCTGCTCCTCCTTCCGCTCCTCCTTTTTCTTTACCACCTTCTTCCCTCCCCCCTCCACACCTCCTTTGTCCTCCCCAGCCACCTCCTTCTTCCTCTTCCACATCCTCTCCACCTCCTCCGAATTCACCACCCTCTCCGCCTGAAACCCCAACATCCTCGCCATCTCCCTGTTTTTCTCCTCATCATCCCCAATCACCAAGGTCCCCGCCACCTCTTTCCCATCTTTCCCATCCTTTCCACCATTCTGAGACTGTTGACCCTGTACAGCAGCAACACTTCTCAAAAGCGTCCACCTCCCCACCACCCTCTCGCTACCAATCGGCACTTCCAGTCCCAACACCCTAGTAATGGTATTCGCCACCTCTTCCTCCGACGTGAACTCGTCGTCGAGTCTGTCGTCGTCTCCATATCCACACTTGAGTCCATACCCTTGACCCGCTGCAGATCCCGACAACTCAGTAGAGGTAGGCTCCCAAACAATAACAAACGGTATACCCACCGCCTGTAGCCCCGCTATAGTCTCGCCGGCCGACGGCCGCGGAAGGAGGGGACGCAGCAGCTTGACCTGATGCTGGCGGAGCGGGTCGGGGTGGTAGTGGTGGTGACGTGATTGTGACTGTGACTGTGAATTTGTTGGGTTGATGTTAATGTTGATATTCTGGTTCCAGGTGGAATCAGAATGGGAGTCACAGCTAGTGTAGCCGGAGACGGATGACGAGTTGCTAGCGGAGACAGAGGAGATGGGGCACCAAGTTGCGTCGCTGTTGCTGTTGGCACGATTGGCACCGACATTAGACGGGCTGCCAGCGCTCCTGGGACGGTAGACGAGGGTTGAGACGTGGAAGATGAAGGCTGTTGTTGTTTGTGCCGGTGTTTGGGTTTGGGGTCGTGTTTGGTATCGTGAAGAGGAGATATGGCTAGAAGTAAAAGCGTTCATGGGCGTGGCGTGACTGTCGGCACCAGAGATCGTGTTGGTGAGAGTTGGGCCGGCCATGGTTATGACTTTAGTTGTGATCGCGTACCTGCCGCCTACCTTTAGTCGCCTGTCGCCTGTCGCCTGTCGCCCGTCACCTGCCTCCTGCGAGCCTAGGCCCGTAGCCCCGTGAAGTGGTGGGAGTATCAAGGTGATCAATTTGGAATTTGAGACTGACGGGGCGATCAGGTAGCTGAGACGGACTGTGATTGTTGGAGGGTCTTGCTTCCGCTGCTGAAAGGGAAGAGGACTAGGTCGCGAATGCCTAGAGGGGCACTTACAAGCATTCACCTGTCGATCTGTGTTGCGGTGTTATCGACGGGCAATTAAATCGAGCAATTAAAGACACAGAATTGCTCAATGACGAGGATGGAGAAGGTCGAGTTCGAGTTAGTTCTGGAAGCCTGCCTCTGCCCAGTGTGGGAATGACGAAGAAAGGCTGAAACCTGCCACAGTCCGTCCTGATCGCCCACACTGCTCAGACACCCCATCGTAACTTCCACGTTGGAACAGTGTGTCATTCACTTGAAGTGGGCGGTTGGGGACGAGACGGGATGAAATCTTCAGGACGAAAATATCAGACGAACAGGATGGCCGCTGAAACTTCACTTGTGGCCAAGCCGGTGCTTCCAAGAAATAAACATGAAACCTCCACATTCCACTAACGAAATCTATACCAGGGTGCATTTCGCAAATACCGGAATTTACCTACCTATCATACATTGCTACACGAAATATTCAAACTTTAGCAGTACCCATTAGCCTTCAACCAGCTCTTAACAACCTCGGCATCCCTCATCTTGTACGCCGCCCGTCCCCTGATCTTATCCTTGACCTGCTCCAACGTCCTGTCAAAGCCCTTGGTGCTGACCTTGCTAAAGAAGTCCTCGATCTCCTTGAGCGTCTCGAGATCCGCAAACTTGGGCAAGCTGACGTTGACCATGCGGTCGACGAGGATGGGGTTACCGCCAAGCTTGGCATTGAACTTGTCCCAGTTGTCACGGAGGTAGGCCCAGAGGAGAGGGCGAGCGATGCGGTTCCCGGCCATGTTGCCAGACAGAATGTGCATGTCGGCGCCGGGCACCGAGTCTCTGGGATGAGCGGGAGGCGCAGAGTCGAAGAGGAAGGGAAGGAGGACGTCCTCAATGAGGGCCTCGTCGGTGACCTGACCGAGGGCCTGGAGGCAGACCTCCTTGCCGTCAATGGCGGGGGTGGTAAACCACTCCTCCTTGATGGCAGCAACGGCGTTGGCGGGGTCCTTCTTGAGGGCAGCACGGTAGACGGGAAGACGAAGATCCGCAGGGATGGGAGCACCGGTAGGGTTGGCGCGCCATTCGTTCCAGCGCCTGAAGGCCTCGTCAATGACCTCCTCGTGCGAGTTGGCCACCGCAGTAAGAAGGAGGCGCTTGCGAAGGAGAGGAATGTTGTAGTTCTCGCCCTGCTTAGGCTCCCAGCCGACCTCCTTGAGAGCCTTGTCAATAAGCTCGAGAGTGAACTTTTCAAGACCCTTCTTGACCTCCTCGTCGTCGCCAAAGATAGACTTGAGAGTATTGACCGAGTCCAAAGCCTGGCTAAGAACACGGTAGTGGGTCTCGTTCTTTAGACCCTGGACGAAAGACAGCAGAGCGGCAGTGGTGGAGTTGCCAGCAAACGCAAGATCGGCCGCGGAACCAGTGATGAAGATCTTGTCCTCGGTAGTGAGATGAGCGAGCTGAGTACCCAGAGTCTTGAGACGAGACTCGGGGTAGTTGACGCGGTAGAAGCCAGTGGCGTTGGCATTGAGCTGGTAAAAGTCTTGGCTGACGCCGTCAATGGTAGTCTCCTTGGTCTGGAGAGACAGTGGCTCAATATCCTGCGAACCAATCTTACCCCTGAGGGACAGAGGAACCCACCAAGTGGTCTTGTCATCCTCAGGCTTGACATCGCCGGTAGACAGGAAACGAGCCTGCTTGACAGAGATCTGATCCTTGCCCTCGGTAACACTAACTACAGGGAAACCAATTTCCTCAATCCAGGGACGCATGATGGTGTTGACATCGACACCAGAAGCCTCGCTCAAGGCATTCCAGAGAGCCTCGGTCTTGGCATTGCCGTAAGCGTGGCGCTGAAGGTAGAGAGCGATACCCTTGAGGAAAGTCTTGATACCAAGATGGGAGGCCAACATGCGAATCATGGAGCAACCCTTGAGGTAGCTGATCTTGTCGAAAATCTGGTTCACATCGAGAGCGTCGCGAACCTCGACCTGGATGGGGTGTGAGGCGCGGACGGAGTCAAGGAGGAAAGCCTGGTCCATGCCCTCGTTGATGAACTGCGGCCACACCTCCCAGTCAGGGTGGAGGTGATCGGTTGCCAGCCAACCAGCCCAGGTAGCGAAACCCTCGTTCAGCCAGAGCTCATCCCACCAGTCCATGGTGACAAGGTTACCAAACCACTGATGGGCAAGTTCGTGGGCAACGACATAGGCAATACGGTTGCGGAATCTGGCCTCGGAAAGCTTCTCATCGAACAGAATAGCGGTCATACGGTACGTGACGAGACCCCAGTTCTCCATGGCACCGTGGGTGAACTCGTGGACAGCCAGGATGTCGCTCTTGGGGAGAGGATAGTCGATCTCGAACTGCTCCGAGAAGTAGTCGATGATCTTGGGGGCGTGCTCAAGGGCCCACCTGCCCTGCTCCTTGAGGCCGCGGGTAGTGTAGACACGGACGGGGAGCTTCTTGCCATTGTACTCGCGGTCGGTAAAGGCCTCGACGTACTCAAAGTCGCCCACAGCCCAGGCCAGGAGGTAGGTGCTCATGACAGGGCTGCGCTCGAAAGAGACGAGCTTCTTGTTGGGGCCGGCGGGCTTGGTCTCCTTGACGGGCATGTTGGAGAGGGCGACCTGGTCGTCGGGGATCTCAATGGCGAAATCGAAGGTGGCCTTGAGGTTGGGCTCGTCGAAGCAGGGGAAGGCGCGGCGAGCATCGCAGGACTCGAACTGGGTGCTGAGCATGTAGTGGAACTCGTCGTCGCGGGGGACACTGGCGGCCGCAGGAGCAGCGGGCTTGTACTGGGAGCGGTAGAAACCGGCCATGTCGTGGTTGAGCTCACCGGTGAAGTCGAGGGTCAGGGAGACATTGTCGGCGACGGGAAGCTCCTCGGCAAAGGAGATGGTGGAGCGCTGGGCCTTTGTGTCCTCGGCGAACTGGGTCGACTCCCATGATTGCGGGCCGGCCGTCAACTTGGCGTTGAGGAGCTTGATCTCGAGGGTGTTGAGGACAATGTCCTTGGTGGGCTTGACGAGCTTACCGTCGATCCTGGGAGTTGTCGCAAGTCAGATGGCGCCAAACGACGGGACTCGGGGAGATTGGAATCTCAAGCGTACCTTACGGTGCCCTTGTAGGACCACGAGGTGAAGTCAAGATCACGGATCTCGAGATCATAGTGGATGGGCTTGAAGTTGTCGGGGAGGATGTCGCGGTCCGTCATGTTTTCGCGGCGTTTGGCTCTGGCGTGGGCAGAGCAGTAGCGGGATCCAAGAACAAGAAACGGAGGAGGAACAGCGCAAGTCTGAAGCTTGGGGCGAAGGCGAGAAGTGGTAAAAGTAGCAGTCCTGGGCGAAGAAGAAATAGAAGTAGTAGTAGAAGAAGAAGAAGAAGAAGAAGAGGAAGAGGGGACCGGCAACGACGACGAGACAGAGTGGAACCGGGAGACGTGCTGGGTAGTACCAGTAACAGAAGATGGACGAATGACGAAAGAAGCCGGCGTGGACGAGGAGGAGAAGGAGGAGGAGGAGGACGCTAGCAGCGGGCGGGAAGCTGCAATGCGGGTACAGCTTGGCCGAGCACCAGCAGCAATGATCGCCTGGATGGTGCGGGGTGATGATGATTTGCGGGATAGTGGTGTTGTTGTTGTTGTTGTTGTTGTTGTTGTTGTTGTTGTTGTTGTTGATAGGAGTGAAGAGCGACTCGTCTTCCACCTGCCAATGGCAACTGCATTGGTCTTTGTTCTTACCGCCGCCAGATGCATCTTGTATCCAGTCTCCAATTCCTCGATAAATATGATGATGATCACAGACACGCAAACTGGTAGCTCTCAGCTGTGTCCAGTTGCTGTTGTCCAACAGGGGCACTGTGCTGTGTTCTCGGAAGCTCAACCCTGGAAAGACGAAAGCTGTGTCCACCAAATTCAACCCACAATACCTATGTACCAGCTTCCACTTTCACTTCGATGGTTTTTTTTTCTTCTGTCTTCTTTTTTTTCTTTTTTCTCCAGCTGTCTCGTATAACCCCACCGCAAGGCACAGAGCAGATAGTCAATTGGATGACAGACTGGGATCAGGCCGTTTGAATCAGTGAGTTGATAGCTCGTTATCAAATGTGCTGCGGTTTGCGTCGGGATGTACCGAATGCCCGTGGATTGCTTCTTTTTTTCAACAAATTCCACTTTTCACTCAATGTCAGGTTCAGTTGCTGTGACGCCGGGATCCGATCCAGAGATTTGTGGTAGTCAGGGTACCTAACAATTAGGTCATGAAAAATAAAAGACAGAGGGAAATAAAAGGTCAAAAGCCAACTGCCAATTGAGGACATTGACTGCTCGGGAAACATGACAAGAAGGGAAGGCGGGAAGAATGTCGAGTCGAGCTCCCCCTGCTTTCCCTCCTCCTCATGCGCTTAAGGTGGGTCCGTCCAGAGCTCTGACTTTTGTCACTGTCAATGTCCCGCTTTTAGCGCGTAACGTGGGTCCATATCAGCTGTTGAACCGCGGATCTAGAATGCCGAGAGAAGACTTGATTTCTTGGCCATAATTCTCTTAAGTGGAATTCAACTTGTTCCTCTTCGGTGACAAACAATCAGAGGTTACATGTAATATTGATCATGTAGTATTACTGTCGACCTTGAGCTCCGATAATAACCCTAAACCCTTTCTGCGTAAAAACGCGTATATATACGCGATAAGCAACTGTTGATGTCCCGTCATCAGCCAGAACTAGAACACATGAGCCCGACTTCGACATCGCTACTATAAGAGCATGCCGTTGGTTTGTAGATATGACCTTTTTTCCCCGCTCAGTCGTCTTGTTAACAACAGACTCTGTCCATAGTCGAGGGCAGATCCCGATATGCCGACATCAAACCAAAAAATAAACCTTGTTACCCACGATCCATCGTACCGTTCCCTGCCGTATATCCATCCCTTGATATCTCAACCTCAGTGCTCCTCCATACCCATGTTTACCATCCGTAGCTTATCTCAAAGGTCATTTTACATTGGCGCAAAGGAAATCAAAAGGAGATACAAGGAGCGAGCGAAAAGCCAGGACGCATGAGCGGCATAACTTCAGAACCGAGACGCTTTCTCAAAGACTTACCTGTGCCCACTCCCCCACTCGCGGGGAGACAAGTCGCCTTGGCAACGTATCCGCCTCTCACACATTCTTCCAGTCATGCGCAGTCAGATTATCCTCCAGCATCCTCTCCGCCGTCTCCCTCGGATCTGCTTCGCCCGTCGGCCGCGTCATCGGTGACGACACTTCCATCGGCCGCAGCTGAAACTCCGATTGAGTCTGGCTATGCTGCTGCTGCTGCTGCTGCTGCTGCTGCTGAAGCTGTTGATATTGTTGCTGCTGACGTTGCTGTTGCTGGAGATGATGTTGATATTGCTGGAACGGGTACGGATGCTGCTGCTGCTGATTCGACCTCGGCCTCTCTTCGCGATAATGACGGCCAGCCGAAGTAGGCGAAAAGTTCTGCGGAAGAGGCAAGGGGCCAGTGGCCGTGGTATCGACAAAATCCTCATCCATCGGCGCAAACTGGCTCCGGACGCGGGCACCACCAGCAGCAGCGGGGTTGTGATCGCGGTCAAGGGCGACGCCATCCACCATTCTGGCATCACGGCGCTCATTAAACACGGCCGATTGGTTGGCGGGCGTCGAGTCGTTACCACCACCAATGCTGTATTCGCGGTCCTGGAGCATCCCACCTTCCCGACGGATGATGTCGCGGATAACGTCTCTTCCTCCACCACCAGCTCCTCCTCTGCCTACGCTACCACTGCTCGTCGGGGGGAAACCACTGCTGCCAGCGAACGTATCTGACAATCCGGAGCTGCTCCTCTCCAGGCCCCATCCAGAAGGACCACCGGCTATGTTCTGTCCAGGCAACGGACGTCGGTGGTATATCGGTCCACTAACCGTACTTCCCGCACCTTCTCCAAAGCCAACCAAGCTTTCCCGGCCATCATCGTAGTCGCTCATCCTGTCCTCAAACGTGCCGACACTCCGAGTAGCCAGGTTCTCCTCGTCATCATCCATCATGGCGTCGGGGCCCGTGGCGTACCCGCTGGCCGGAGGACTCGTCGTCGGCATATCCGTGTCGTTGTCACGGGAGTCTAGGTTCATGGTCATGCTCTGGTCATCGCCGTCATCAAGATCGGGGGCGGTCTCGGTGTTAGTGCCGGTGTGCGAGGTGGCCGAAAGCGAGGCGGTGGTGGTGCCCTCGTATGCCGAGTCGGTGGCCGAGGCGGAGCCGACCGTGGACATTTTGGTTGCGGCTCTGGGCTGGCCTGCTGCGTCAAAGTAGGCTGGCGTTACCGGTACATTGGGGTTGCCTTGCTCCATTTGTTGTTGGTGCTGCTGCTGGTAGAAGGAAGACTGGCCATATGAGGGGTTGTTCATGCCTTGTTGAGGAGTCCCGGTAGAGCCGGCAGACTGGACACCGCGCAGGGCGGACATCATGCCCGGGAGACGGCTTATGCGATCGTTGCGCTCGGCTTCGGGGTTGGAAGGGGAATATCGGGTGTAGTCGCCGCTGAAGCGGTTACTTGTATGTGGTCCGCTACCATGATGGACATGGCCGCGGTGGCCATCCTTGATGGCGGTTGTGGAGAGGGTGGAAAGCGAGGTGGTGGTGCTGGTTGGGGTGCCACTGGAAGTATATGACTGTAAGCCTTTCGTGCATCCTTTAAAAAGCATAGAAGCACCGGACATGGCGCAGACAAGAAGAACGGTGGGCCTTGGCCGAGAACTCGAGCAAACTCACGGCATCTCAGACGGGGTGTCCGGATTGGAGGGCGGTTGGGGCAGGTTTGCCAAGGTACCCGTAGGATGTGATTGTTGTTGCGACATGATTGTTGGATCTGATCTGATCTGAGATTCTTGGTCGCCTATCGCACGAGAGTGATTCAAATGGCTGTCGTCGTTGCTGTCGCGTTCTGGAGATCCGAACAATAGCGTCCGGGTGGGAGGAATCGTACGGTGAGGTCCGTGAACAGTAAACACAAGCAACGTTTCTCAATATCGCAACGTCGCGACGAACGGTAGGTCTCGGCACGCAGATGATGTATCAGAAACAGCGGAAAAGACACGCCTTTGCTACAACACAAGCGCTGGTGGTCGGCGTGGTGTGTTGGGATGTGCGGTGCGGCGTGTCAGGTGCTTCAGTAGTTTTTGTTGTTGAAAGGAGATGTGGGCATTGGATTGATGGAATCCAGTGCGACAACGGCTTCCACACTAAAAAGAAGGAGAGCAAAGGTGGAAGGGAAATGACGTCGGGGTACTGCCAGGAGTCCGGTTGTGCTGCTGAGACAGTGCAAACGAGAACCTTGATGCCCGGCACGTGTGGGGTGCTCCCTCAGTGAGCTGCACCTGGTGCACGCACCTCTAACACTGTAGCCAGCTGCTCAGCAACTGATGTTACATGTGCGGGGCTGACTTATGCTTGAAGTGTCGACTAAACAGACCATGCTATAATGTTCCTAAGCACCTCGGTCATCGACGGCTATGTACCCTTCATTCAGCCTTATATTTCGTCACCTTGCTATTCAGGGCTTCATACTTTACCAACCAATCCAATACATCAAAGCCTCCAAGACAAAGAAAGAAGAAAAAGCAAAGAAAGGACCCTTTCCCCACCATCCCCCATCTCATTCTTTATTAAACCTTCATGTCGCCCCTCGACTACGCATTCACGTTTTCATGCAGCACCAAATGATCAGAAAAGAAAGAGAGAAAAAAGAAAAGAAAAGAATAGAAAAAAAAAATACAAACCAACATCAAAACTCCCCCGGGCTGAACTCAACAACCTGCCTCCTCTCCACAATCCCCTCGATGCTCTCCACAGCCTCCCGGAACGCCGGGTCCTCCTCCAGGTAGAATTTGCGGTCTTCGGGTGTGTCGAATTCGCTCACAAACACGTGGGAGATGCGGCCCTGTTCCAGTGTCATCAAAGTCCGCGTCACGGTGAGCAGATTCATCCATTTATGAAAAAGAAATCGCCGTGGTTTAGGTCTGTCGGTGAGACTGAAAGGAAACTGAAGGGAAGGGAAGGGGAAAGGGAATTGAACAACATGGGATGAAGGGTGAAAAAAAAAGAACTAAGCAAGTGAAAAGGACTGATGCAGTAGAAGGAAGTAACGCGACGGAGGAAAAGAAGGCAAGGAAATAAGTAATAAGTGAAAACCAACCCTCAACCCCTCAGGACAAACATCCGCTCCTCCTATCGCCGTCTTGAGGTACGGCATGTGCGTTTTCGGGTGGATGCAGCGGTCTTTGAGAGACATCATTTTGTCGCAGACCTGTTTTTTGTTAGTATTTTATTAAAAGGGACTATCAGTCAGCTCTGATCTTCTTCTACACATCGTCGCTTTCAGGTTGTTCTGCACACGAGTCGAGTATTGCTCGGGATTGCCGCTGAGTCGGGAGGAGAAAGCCAAGTACCGTACTCACCTGCTGAACTTCCTCCTGTGTCGCCAGGGGCTTGAACTCAAAGAGTTCGACGTGGACGATACCCATGTTTGTTTGTGTCCTTTTCTTTTTAGTAAGTAGATTTAATAGGTAAGTAAGGTAAGTGCAATGTTCAGTTCAAGTTCTCTGGCAATGGAAATCAAGTAGATGGTCGTCGAGTTCAAGGCGAGAGGTTGGGATATGCAGTATGATCTTAATATCATATATCGGGCAGGGCAGGCCTGGGAAGCGAGAAGCTTGTGCAAGATATAACAAATGGTGAAATAAGGTGAGTTGTGCGCTCGAGCTCCCTTCTGTCACTCACATTTGTACAAGTCCGGTCTGTTCCTTCCTCCCCCCTTTGGTTGTCCCATTCTGATTACATCACTTCAGCATCAGCATCGGCATCATTAACGAACAACACAAGAGTCCCGTGCTTTTATTTCCTTTTGCGTGAAGGGCCAGTTTCCCGGGGCAACTATCAACAATCATTTCACCGACGATCATGTAGGTAGCTAGCTAATCTTGAAGTCGAGACAGTTCTTTCATGTATATACATAGTCCAGTTCGTTGGTCAACCGGCTTGGGGCTCTTACTTGCACCACATCGAATTATCTGACCAACCTTAGTTCAACCCTCGATTAGTTGTCTGTTAGCGAGGTTCTTGCGACGGAGCTGGAAAGAGTGCGCAATGAAGTCCCGCGCTAACAACAACCTACCTCTAGGGGTAATGTGTACATACCTACCTAGGTAGAGGTACCTTCACAGTATACAGTCAAAGGCACAACGAACCTGGTCCGAATCCCCGAGACAACAACCAATCATTACTTGCACCGCCAGCCAGTATAGCTGCAAGCGTCAGTCAGTAGCCCCTTTTGGCTTTGCGAGTTCATACTCACGACATTTTCACTCAAAAGCAAAGGCATTTTTCAGTTGGTTACGTTGGTCTGATTATACTTCATTGCTTTTGATAGCTCATAGCTGATGGTCGCTTGGCTCTTCCGAAAGAGATGGTATCTACAACGGAACCCCTGATGTTCGAATACACACGCCATGCCATAGTTCATCATCATGTACAGGCTGCCTGACAACGAAGCCTCCCAGAGTAGGTAAAACTCTTCCGGTCAGCCTCATCAACGCCGCTGTGTCGGTTGGACTTGTGCCCGCATCCTCCGCTCCCCATACATCGCTCCCCATACATCCCAGCCGAGTCGCAGTCCTCTCAAGTTCGTTCCATCGCATCGCACTTTCCAAATTTCGGACGAGCCCTTTGTGGCCAACAGAAAGAAAGTACGAAGAATCTGAAGACCACGTCTACTTCAATAGTCTAAAGGGGATTCTCAGACGCCTCGCACTTCATAGTGACGCCGGAAGAATCGCTTCCATGTAGCTGGAAGAATCTAGTTCTCTCCTCAAAAAGAGACTTGGGCTGTCCAGAACGGAAGCTGGAACGGGTGACTTGGTTCACAAATATGTGTTCCATTCACTATTGTCCTTTTCATGTACTTCCCCTTGATTCTTAAGCTGCTCACTCATCAACCAGCCCATAAGGAAGGAACTCAAGCCCAACCTAAGCTGGCATCCCAGCCGCCGCCCTACTCAGCCTCCTCAACGTAAGCGGCATCACGCCATTGATCAAGGTCTCAATGATCTCATCAATAATTTCGCCATCGCCCACGTTCTGCGCCCTCGTGCGACGCAGCCAGTACTCGAAAGGTCCCCGATTTCTAGCGAGTGCGTAACCCAGCTCCGAACAACGCTCGGCCGGACTATGCTCCGTGTGCATTTCCGTAAAATGCGTAATCATCTTGGAGATGTCCTTGAGCGGCCACTTGCAGGGGGCGGCGGGGGAGCGGCCAGTTCCGGCCAAAAGATACTTGGGTGCTGAGCACAGGCGACACTTCCAATAACCGAGTCGCTGGAGTGCTGTGTTTTGCTGGGTTTCTTCGTCGAATGGTGTTGGTGAGGCGCCGCTGCCACCGTTTTGCGGATGCTGGTAGGTAGGATGTAGAGGGACGTTGTACTCCCAGGTTCCGGGCGTGCCATAAGGAAGGGGTTGGGGTGAGCCAGACGAGTTGCCGTTAGGACTGCTGCCTCTCTCCCTCTCCCCCTCCTTGCTGGCGCCATTGGTCATCGCCTCGTCGCCGTCTGCGTCCAACAACTGCGGCTCATCGGGAGTCAGCTTCGCCTTCTTGGCCGATCCCGTGGTCTTACCGCCGTCGTCGTCATCATCTGACGGACCGCTCCGCTTCACGCCCGCTACTTGACCCGATCCGGCAAGCAGCGAGGCCGTGTACGCCCGTCCACCACTCGACGCGCTGTAGTTGGTAAAGGGAATTCCCTGCCGGCGCATCTGGACCTGGAGATTCTCGATCTTGTGCTGGCAGTGGCGGATCTGGTGGCCGAGATCGAGCTGGCGGAGCTGGAAAGTGCGGGTTTCCTGGGGGGTGAGGTCGGGCAAAGCCAGCGTGGCGGTGCAGAAGGCCAGGTCGTGCTGGTAGGCGTCGATGTCCTCATGGAGCTGGCGAAGCTGAATCTCTTCGATGTTGTTAATGTTCTCGTATCCAGTGCCGATGACGCGTGAGGCTGCAGTGTATGCACCGCCTCGGGTCAAGGCTGTTGTGTCGTTGTGTTTGCTGTTCTTGCTGATGATCATGTCACTGTTACCGTTGCTGGTGACAACCAGCGCTGTCTCATCGTTCTTCTTTGGGGTGCCATTGCTGTTGGATTTGCTTTCCTTGGTGGTGGCGATGGGAGTGGCGCCGTTGGTCGTTGCGTCCACGGGATTAGGTGTGCTGGAGGCGTCGGGCTCTTCTGCATTGGCATTTGCAGCAGTCTCCGGCTGTGCCTGGCCCTTGCCTTTCTTCGAGGCACTGGCGGATGTCCGAGGCGTAATCATGCTGGCAGGCTTAGCCGTCTCAGGCTCGGTAGCGGCAGATGGACCACCGACAGAGACGGTGATGGAACCGTTGGGAGAGTGCGCCGGCTCCTGAGCGGCAGCAGCAGCAGCAGCAGCAGCAGCAGCAGCCTATGGTCGATGAATTAGTATGAAGTGTTCAGCAAGATGAGATACACATGTGAGGCTGGTCTTCATCATGAACCAAACGGGGTTGGTGAGTGAATGAAGGACATGGGAAATTGGCTTGATACCAATGGCTAATTATATGTCTACTTCTTTTTTTCATGTTCATGTTGATGTCGTCCATGCGATCGATATCGGTGTGGGATGGATGCAGAAAGTCAAACTGCAAATGTCATGTTGACATTTTATTTTCCTTTCTCTCTCTCACTTTGCATCTAATGCATCAATCACTCAAACAATCAATGAAAATCAATGGATCGCTGATTTGCCCACCTTTCCCTTTGACGCTGCAGCACCGCGCTCTGCTTCCCTCTGCGCGTTTGACGGGCGGCCTCTCTTGGGCGGCATTGTCGCAAAGAACTGAAGTTTGGTGGTTGATGGTGGGAGCCAAAAGCGAGGGTGTTGCTGGTGGTTGGTGGAGAAAAGTGGTGGTGTTGTGTGGCCAAGGTTCCGGCTTGATTGCAATCACCAGTTGTTGTTCAAAAAGAAGAAAGAGAAACAAGCAAAAGAGGTTGCATGCGGATGCAACTGTTATAGACGCCTGCTTGACGTGGAGATGTTGATGGAATGATTGCAAGTGAAAGGTAGTAGTTGTTGTTGTTGCAAACGTGGAGTGGCGGTGGTGATGTGAAGTGCTGAGAAAATGGAATGATGAGAGAGAAAGAAAGAAAGTGGGCAAACGGAGAAAGAAAGAGGAAGAGAAATAAAAAAAATAATAAGAAATAAAAAATAAAAATGGGAAGAATGCGACAGGATGAAATGGCCAATATGGAGCGGGACAGAAAAAAAGGCGGGGTGTGTACGGAAAAGTAAGGGACCTTGATCGATGTAGTTTGTACCTCGACAGTTCAAGGTTCAGGTTCGTTCACTGGTGGTTCCAGGCTCACAGTTGTTGGTGAATGGTGAATGGTGGGTGTGTGGAAGAGAAAAAGGAGACAAAACTGGAGAATTTCATGGAAAATTGGAACCCCCCTTTTTTTCTTGTTCTCCCTTTCTCCCCTTTGTTCCTTTCTTTCTTTCTTTTTTTCTTCTTTTTTTTTTCCACCTTTTTTTTTTTTTTTTTTTGTTTTTTTTTACCCGGCCTCTACCCGTTCCTGCTGGCTCCAAAAAAAAGGCTTGGCGTACCCCTGCCGATTACCCCCTCTCCCCTTTCTGCCGTCATTTCTCTCCACCTCCCAATGCATTTTTGACGCGGATTGGCCGGATAGACAACTTGAACACTAAAACGGGGACTAAAACCAGGGGTGCACGGGGCACATCTACATCGCCTGACTTTTGGGAAACGGATGAAGCTTGGCGTGGGTTGGTTGTCTCTTGTACACGGTTGGAATGGCAGACGTCTTTTCTTTGCCTGTTTTGTATGTCAGGGATGGAGGCTGTCTTCCATGTTCCTATTCTTTTTGTTCCTCAATGCTTCTTTCTCACCCGTGTTATATACCGTAGAGGTACTTTTACAACTTGGTGCTTTGACTTGTTTTTTCCCCTCTCAACAAGATGAGGAACAATCACAATGAACACCATCTATTCCACAACTTGTTTTCCCTCCCTCTATTTAGGTATAGCCTACTTGGACTTTTTCATACAATTTCCAATCCCCAAGAACGGAGAAGAGCGAGCGAACTTGGCCTTATTGGCGGCATCTGCCCTGGAGATGAAATCATCTTAAAAATGAAATTGATGGCAAGTTGAGTTGAGGACACACAGATACCTCCGAGCTGGTTAGAAAGAGGTTAGGGGGTTGCATAAAGCCTGAAGGAATGGGGCGTGCGCCGAGTTCAGCTTCCACAAATTCTTTCCTCCTCCATGCTCTTGGCATCACTGTAAACCTTCAGAAGAATAGTCATAAATCATCATTTTCTGAAAACTTCCCCCTCCGGTATTCATGAGAAACACACATGCTTCAAGACACCCACAGCTTTCTCAGCTTACAGAGTCATAGGAAGTAGACCCGTAAGTACCATTACTATTGCCAGAAGGGATAGGGGATACTGGGCCATACCAACAATCCACTGATCAGAGATGATGCCTTGTTGCCAATTGAGAATGTCCATGGCGTGGTGGACAACTACCTAGAGGGACCTGGATGGGTTCAATCGACGGGACATCGACGGTTGCCTACCTACCTTTACACAAAAGTACACAAAACTCTGGAATTGAAACACTCAACCTCCGTATATCAGAGATGTTGATTACCTTATACTGAACTTCATGTCGAACTTGAGCTTCAATAAAGGTTTGAAATGTATCAACTATAACGGCGAAAGCTTAGGTGCCCTGGCCATCACTGCAGCGTTCAAGAGTCAAATCATGTTCAAATAGATAGGTAATCAAGCACAGCCGAGGTAGATATTGGGCCTGAAAAAGTCTGGGGAAGAAATGGTATATGAATCACCAACTTCTTCAAATCATGTCATGTGTCCATGCCACCGCTAGCTAGATGGACCTAATCAGCTCCTTCCGCTCCAACTTCTCAACCTCCATTACCGACTTCACTTTCAAGTCAAAAGCCATAACACCTAGGTATGAATGCAATGTAATGCAACGACTGAAACCAGAACGCTTCTTTTGAGCTTCTTTTGAGTCCCAAAGAGACCATACCATTCCCCTAAACCTATAATGTCTTGAATGCAATAATGCTTAACCATGGCCCTTCTTCTTTCATTCGTTTCTCTTTATCACACCTGAGTCCATCACCGTTCAACAACAACCACGATCCATTAAACTCCCCCATCCACAATCCATCCATGATCCATCTAACCCTGTGTACCATCCACAGCAGGCAGCACAGCCGGAATATCCTCCATATCATCCATATCGCTGCTGATGACGCTATACGACCTCGTGTCCTTGTCCATCTTATCCACCTGAGTCACAGAAACAAAAGGAGCCCTAGTCTTCACCAACGGCGCCGGGGTAGACGCCACACTAGCAGCCGTCGAAGCAGCCAACTTCTTCCGAACCTGCTTCGCCTTACTAGCCACCTTCTTCTCCCTGTCCACCCCACCAACCACATCACCCGGTCTATCCAGGGAAACCAGACTGTCATCGGCGAGATTACCGTCCATCTCTACCAGATCGAGGAGTAGGTGATCTGGCACGGCTGATGCAACCGCCAGCTCCGAAGAGTCTGCTGCGGCTGAGTCATCTGATGCCTTCCTCCGCTTGCTAGCCTTGGCGACCGAGGCGGTAGTCTTGATGATGGTCTCGGTCGTGCGGACAGATGGCTGGCGAGTGAGGATGCGACGTTTCTTGTTATGTTGACTTTGACTGTGGGCCGGAGCATCGGAGTGGTCAGATTCGTCGTTGAAAGATGGGCGGTGAGCGGCGGGACGCTTGGGGCTTAGCTGGGGATGGTGATGACTTGCTGTGGAGAGAGAAGTAAATGGCGGCGGGAGGGAAGGGACGGCAGCGCCGAGGACAAGGGGGACGTCCAGGTCGAGCTCCTTTTCTTTGCGCTTGGATTTGGTGGACCTGGAGGCCTTGCCGTAAGTGCGGACTGCTGCCTTTTTGGAGGCTTTGAAGGGGGCGGCCTTGGATGCGGTAGCGATCACATCGTCATCTTCGTCATCGGAAGAATCTTGAGGTTTCTGGGCGGAAGTGGGGAGTTGTGGGCTTGAAATGAAGGAGGGTTCGCCAAGGTCAACGCTGGCGGCTCGGCTACGCACGACGGGCGCTGATGGTGCTGGCTCCGACTCCTCGTCATCTTCATCGGCATCAATCTCGGGAGCGTCGTCGAGTTCGATATCTTGGTTATTATTGCCGTTGACAGCGGTAATGTCTCCGTTGATGCTCTCTTCGACCTCTTCCTCATCCGAATCCTCATCGTGGACAATGGCCTCCGAAAGTTGTGACTTCTTGGACTTGGATGACGCCTTTTCTGACTCTTTTAACCGCTTTGCGCGCTCTCTCGCACGCTGAGAAGCTCGACCGCGCATCTCATTGTCTGACGATTCGGCAAAGACATTGCTGAGATTGGTCTTGGTTCCCTTTGGGGGATCCCACAGGCCGACTCTTGGTGTGCGGTAGATCTTGGTCTGCTGCGTGGACGAGACCACCACGGAAGCAGGTCTGCTGACGGTAGATCTGGCATCAGCGTCATCTTCCGCATCGTCACCACCGACTTCGTCATCGCCCTTCCAGTCGGCATCGCGCTCGTACATGTCGCAAAGGTATTTGGCACACTCTTGGGTAGACTTGGATTCCCATTGCGGCACGGCTTGTCGCAAACGACCCCAGGTGACTTTCAGAGCAGTTTTGGCGTACTGTTTTTCGAAAACATCTTCCTGGATTTGGTTCCATTTGATTTTGGCTTCGCGGTCAGCGCCAGAGTCTCGGATGGCACGCGCCAAAAGGGCCTTGTCTTGGGGCGTGATTTTGCGCAAGTCTTTGCGAGCCTTATCCAAGCGAGAAGATTCGCCATCGGGAAGCTTGACCATGATGCTGTCGGGCAAAGCCTCATTCTTGCGCAAGGTCTTCCACTTTTGCAAACATTGAAGGCGAGATCGGGTGTGGTTCATGGCCGTGCTGATCTGTTGCCAGTTGATGAGGCTTTCTGGCGACTCGTCGTCGGATTTTTTCTTGGACTTGGACATGCCGGATTTGATCTTGTCAATAGCCTCCGCAACGACCTTGAGGAAACGCTCCTCCTCCTGTTCGGACCAGTAATCTTTTCTGTTTTTGCCCCCGCAGGCGAGATAATTTCTGTAGCGATCACGAACATCGTCCGGGAAGCGATTAATGAGACCACCGATTAGCGTCCATTTTTGGCCGTGCAGCTTCAGCATACTCTCCAACTCCTCATCTTGCTCCTTGGTCCATGAACCACGGGCAGGGAAGTTGTGGAAATTCTGCCTGCAGTGGCTGACCACTTTTCTTCGTGGCCGGTTGGGGCAAGCATCGACAATTAGGGCCCATAGCTCCCTGTTCTTCGGGTCCTTTCGTGGGTCTTGACGAATCATCTCATTGACCTCATACTTGGTGAGTCCTTGAGCATCCCTGAACGAGTCGATTACCGCCTTGATGCGAGCATGTTCGGCCGGCGTCACCCGACCTTGTAGATTTGCCTTATTGGAGTTGTCGCCTGCTTCCTCCACTTCAGAATTGTCTTCTTCGGTATCGGCTTTCTTGGCAGGCTTCTTCTTTGTGCTGACCTTGGCCTTCTTAGGTGCTGGCTCAACGTTGGAAGTGCTTTGTTCGTCCTCGGCACGTACTTTGCGCTTCTTCTCCCGCTTCTGGTCCTTTTGGGTGGCGGCAACTTCCTTGACGGAAGGCTCAGCAGACGTCTCGGCGGTATCGCGTGCTTCGACCTCCTCACGTTCAAAGTACGGAACCTTTACCTTTCGCTTCGAGCCCTTGGAACGCGGCGTCTTTGCTGTGGATGTTGGTGCTGGAGTGGCTTCCTCAGCTTGCTCGACTCGTTCAGGCTCGACATCGGGTTGAGCTTGTGCTTTCTTGGCATGGGACTTGCGAGCCTTGCGAGCTGGAGTCTGGGCCACCGAGACCTCAGGGGCAGGATCTTGGTCGTCTTCGACCTCGGCAACAGCATCGATTTCGGGACTTGGTTCTTCGTTGTTGGCAACTTCTTGGTCGATATCCATTTCGTGGTCAGAATGGTTGTCAGGTTCGGGATCGCCAGCAGAAGAAGCAGTGTCCATGTCAGCGTTGTCTCGCTCGACCTCGTCCGCATCATGCCTGAGCCCCTCGTGGCCATGGCTATCCTCTGGCCCGTCCATGGCATCATGGGGCATGTTGTCTTCCCACATGCTGCTCTTCATAGCCGGGAGACCGTCAGTGCGGGGTCGTTGGGAGCTGTGAGGAAAGCCATTGAACTGGGCTTGAGAGCTCGGGGGCAGACTATCGGCGAAATCCTGGGTGCTGGGAAGGCCATTGATGTGATCGTCCAAGTCCACTGGGTGAATCGAAGCAGGAATGCGGGTGCTGTTGAAGCTTTCGTCGTGGAAGCTTAAGGACTGTTGGGTAGCAAATTGTGGTGCCAGAGGAGCGCTTGAAGCGACCTCGACAGGATGTTGCGAAGCAGAGCGAGCCCTCCGTCGCTCACGGGCCACGAGCGGGGAGGTATGCTCATGGCCAGCAACCATGCTTGGCTCATGCTCGTCGGCACCGGGCTCCCTCTTGACGAACGAAGCATCAACCTCTCCATGGTCGTACTCGTCTTCCTCGTCGGCAACAGGCTCGGGTGACAGTCTTCGCCTTTTGACATGAGCATCGGAAGTCGGAGCTTCGCCTCTGTGAATCTTTGCGGTTCGTCCGACATTGTCCTCGCCATCGCTAATGGGATCGTCCGAAATGTCGACAGTGACCTTTTTCGACTTGCGACTCTTTTTCTTGAACTTGGCAGATGCTTGAGCAGCAGATTGTGGTTCGGGCTCGGCGACTTCAGGGCGTTCGAACTTGAGGTTGGGTGACTCGTGAAGTTCCGGGGAGTCAAGGGGCAACTCATGGTCGGGTTCGGGTTGTTGTTGTTGTTGCTGCTCCTCCTCCTCCTCCTCGACCTCGACCTGGGGCTCAGGCTTGGACCTCTTCTTTTTCTTCTTCTTTTTCTTGCCAGCCTCTGGAATTTCGTGATCCTCAGCCGCGGTTGGTTCTGGGTCTGCAAAGGTGGCGTCTTGGTCGTGGGAATCGCCGTTCACCTCGGGCTCAGCAGCAGGGGAGGGCGAGCGTCGGTGCTTGCTCTTCTTCTTTTTCTTTTTCTTGCGCTCTCCGGAGTTGGGCGCGACAGGAGATTGGGGCTGCTCGTTGAACTGCTGGCCGTAGGGTACGTCGGGAATGGCATCATCATAGCTCTCGTTGTTCTCGTATTTACCCCAGTGGTTGTCTTCCTGGACCAAGGGCGAGGCTGACCGGCTTCTGACGTCGCCCTCTTCGCCTTCCGGCACACTTTGTTGACTGCCCATCTTTGACTGTGTTGTTATTTCGGATCGATGTGCTGGTCAGAGAGACGACAAGGTGCTCAGAGTGATGTTGACATGGTCTGGGCCGATTGGTGTCGGGCAAGAAGGCGTGGCGTCGAGAGGGCGACCTCCAGGCAGGGAATGGTGTGGTGGTGGATTGCTTGTGTTTTGGTGATGCAGCGAGAGAGGTCAAGGGTAGGCGACGGAGAATTGGTGATGTGCGTTTTTCGCTGCCAAACGCGCCGCGTTCTTTTTGGGAAAAGGCCCACCACACCACCCAAAAGTCCCACTGTGAATTGGAGATTGCGGGGGAGGGAGGGAGGGAGGAAGTGTGCACGAGCCACCCGGATGCATGATCCCCCCGGCAATGGCACCATTCACTGCAGTAACATCATATCAACCACATCATATTCCCGAGTTCACCAAGAGCAACAAATGAAATAAGTTTTTTTCTAGTTTTTCTGTGAATTCATGTTTATCTTTCCTCGTTAATTGTCTCATGCATTTTATCTTTGTCTTCCATCAGCAAAAGTAGGTAAATCTTGAAAAAGGCGTGTATACTCGGACATGGGCCCTCGTGGTCACCCAGCAATGCATTGCCTGCATCTTGGGAGGTCTTATGTATGCCTCCAAACGGCTTTGGTCTGACCCTTTACTCCTCTCTCTTCTTGCTAAACAGGTTGGCCAGCGACTTCTTTTTGTTCAGCTTTTGTCTCTGTGATATTGCCTGATTCGCTGCATCATTGTCATCTTCGGTAGGAATGGGAGGCGCCGGAATCAAGGGAAGTGGAGGCACAGGAGGGATATCCGGAAGGCGTGGAGGAGCATCTCTAGTGGTGACGGGGCTCAGGCTGGTTGACGTTGAGAAGGAAGAGGACGCTTCTCGACGAAGATTGCCCCGGGACTTCGTTTTCAACCTGCTGAAGGCGTTCCTCATCCTTCCCATCGTCGAAGGCTCATCATCCGTGTCTGAGCTCCAATGTGACTTGGGCTCTTCTGCTGGCTCGTTGCTCAGCGTCCCCGAGTCTGCGCTGTCTCTCACCGTCACCAGAGCAGGACCTCTCTCGCGCATTTCGACAGCCAGTCGAGGTTGCGGTCGAGGTTGCGGCTGAGCTTGAGCTGGAGGCTGGCTGGACCTCGCGCTCGACCCAGAACCACGCGAACTACTGCCACGGCCACGACCACGACCGCCAGAACCCGAAGCGAAGGAAGGACTGGAAACGTCCGGCGTCATCGGGGTTGGCGAACTCATCATTGCCGGCGAGGTTGTGGAGCCAACGAAAGTCGAGGAACCGCTGAGGTGGCGGGAGCCGCTGTCCCTGCCAGAGCTCGTTGGGGGCGAAGTGATGTCGGGAGTCGAACCCGAAATGGTGGATGGGCTGAACGTGCCCAACGTCTGGGTGCGCATGCGAAGTCCGGAGCGCAACACCGCTCGCTGGTCCTGGTACCCATCTCGAGTCCGCGAGACAATCTGTCGGAGCTCTGCATCCAGCTCGTCCTCGTCGCCAATCGGAGCACCCATCGGTCTGGGCGCCGACACTGCTCGCGTGCCAAAACGAGAGTTGCCGCCAAGGGCACCACCACTGCGAGGGAGAGCCTGAGTTACGGAGCGGGCAAAACCACGAGGAGGCGAACCAACCGGCATAGGCGGCGGAGGAGCAATGGCTTGGGTCACCGACCGCGGAAGACCACGGCTGAGCCCGGCACCAGAGCTGCTCACGCCAGGAGAAGCCAGGCCAGGAGAGATTGCACCAGAACGGACCACATCACCGGCTCCTGAAGACACTGCCATCGCAACATGAGGGCGAGGTAGGACACCAACGGTAACGGAAGAAGCGAGACCACCATCACCAGACAAAGAGGTTACACCAGGCCTCTGCGTGCTTGAACCACGGTCAGGACGCAAACCTAAACCCATCGGCGGGCGGGGGAAGACATAAAGGGCAGGGCGTGCGGGCTGCGGCTGGGGGCGTGGGTTCGTGATGGCTGGTGAGCCTCGTCTCAATGCGGGCGCACGACGAAGGGGTAGCGGCTCAAGGTCCGCGAGCAATGGCGGCAGTGTGGTGGTCAACCTGTCTACCAGGTCTTCCACAAGAGAACCCGGGATAGTCGGGCTCTCCTCCCGCGAGGGCACACCTTCGTCAAAGTCGGTGACAATGGCGCTGTTGTCGATGGCGAAGCCAGCTTCTTCGGCTAACTAGGTCAAGGAGAGGCTGCTGTCGTCCATCTGGGCTTCGTCGTGGTTCAAATTGGCGGGGAGAACCTCCCCCTGTCCCTCACCCGTGGCCGGGCGAGCTGTCCTTTCCGAATCAGCAGAGGATGGCGTCGGGGAAGAAGCCAGCCGAAGCCGAACCTCCTCACCCAACATGTGGGGAACCATCCCCCAGCGTCTTTGGTTGCCCTGGACGAACGTGGTGTCGGCCACAAGAGTTGTGTCATCACCACCCCGAAAGGCGGGTGACTCCTCTCTGGCCTGGGCGGCACCATACTCGTAATCACCGCGAGGCAAAAACGACGCATCGTTCGAGGCAATAAAGGACCGGTCAGCTGTTCCCGCGGAAGAAGAGGACGAGGCGACAGCCACGGAAGAAGCAGGTGGCACCGGCGAGCTGTCCCTGATGGTGGACAAGCTCGGGGCATACAGCCGGGGGCGGCTACCACCATGCGACTCCCTGCTGTCGGAGTCCTCATAGTCGCTCTCCTCCACATCTCCCTCGTACTCCACGTCACCACCAACCTCTCCTGCTTGTACCTGGGTGCCCAATGGCACAACGCTTTGCCCCAGAATGGGCGGAAGCGGCCTGTTGGGCAGTGGGGGACCAGGACGGTCGGCAAATCTTCCGTTGTAGAGGGGTGAACCCGCCCTACGACCAGCTGGGACTACCGATGGGGAGAGGTTGACGGGAAGAGGAGGGACAGGCGGAATGTCCTCGACAACGGGCCCGCTCAAGCCAGTAACCGCCGGCAAGCTGAGCGGGACGAGATCCGGAGTCGTCCGAGAAGAGTTGAGGCCGTGGGAACAGCCTTCCTGGGCTCGCTCGGCCTTGATCCTGCGCTTTTCACTCAGGCTCATGGCCGTGAGGCGCGCCAGATCCAGGCGAGGAACAGGAGGGGGACGTGGTCTGGAAGCGGTGGCCTCGAGGGGCCGCTCGCCAGCCACGGTCGTCGTGCTGCTTCGGCTACGGGTGCCAACCGCAGCGTCAGCCCCAAAGATCTGTCTGCCCGCCGTAGTCGTACGAATACGGACCGGACCGGGCCTGCTATCCAGTTGGGATCCTGGAGGTGTAGCAACAGAGGAAACCGCTCGCCGGAGTTCGCCTGACACGACCTTGTCATCGGCCGCCGACTCCCTCGCAACGAGTCCACCGGTGGGGGCAGTCTTCGCCCTACTTGCGTAGGGCACCTCGACCGTCGCAGCAGGGGCTACCTTCACCCGCGGGCCGTCATCGGTCGCCTTGTCATCAGCAACCTTGGCCGACTTGAGTTCATCGGCAACTCGAGCATGGGTTCTCATCGTCCCCCTGACTCCCTCCTCGGTATTGACCCGGACTCCAAAGGAGCTCGAGTCGCCGACTCGGGCGCAGGACGAAACAGCCGCCTGACGGCGGTGTCCCAAACCCCGAGCAGGCTGCTGGTGACCCGAAGGCCCCCGGCGCTGCTGGGGCAGCTGCTCCTGCTGCTGAGTGGGAGCAAGGGCTGTGGCGGGGCCCTGCATGGAGGTCTGGAGAGAGGAAGAAGGGGACAGTCCAGAAACAACCTCCTCCAAGTGTTGTTCCTGGTCTTCTTCGTCATCCGCCTCGAAGAAGCTATCGAGAGCCGCATTGGTCGTCTCGTGCCTGGTTGACATGAAAAAAAAAAAAAATCGTTAGTGATTTTGTTCATATGCTGTGAAAATGCTTCGTGCTTTCGCTTGAAAGGCCAAACGAACACAGTTGTCGTCCCAAGTCCCTGTGTACTACCCACGGGAAACACTGGACACGACAACATTCAAACGACTACCCAGCCCTTCCCAAGAGATATCATCCTGCTCCGAAAGAGACGCGGATTCATCATCTTCGTCAATGGCGGATAGTACTAGGGCCATCGCCGGGTCTAGCCTTACTGGACCGCGAACACCTTCACCCCCCACAACTCATCAAGGGAGAGTCTTCGAAAGAATTCACTAGAATTCACTGCACTTACCACTCGTCAGGGAGCGATGCACCCGAAGATGCACCTCTCCCGCTACCAGCACCCTCGACGATGTTGCCATCACCGAGGAGCTCTTCCGGGACTGACGCCAAGAAGCCACCCGAAGGCGACGACGAGGCGACCAGCTGCCCGGGTCGGGTCCTGGTGGTGCCTGCGCGGGCGCGGGCGCGGAGGCGGACGGGTACCGGAATGCGGCTGCGGGGGCGGCCGCTGGTGCCGTCGTCGGGCGTCGAGCGCGAGCGCGAGGCGAGGGGAGAGGAGGAGGCGGAGGAGGAGGAGGGGAAAGAAGAAGAAGAAGAAGAGCGGGACGAAGACATCTTCTTGGTTGAGGTAGCTGCTTGCTGTCTGTTAGCGACTTGAAGACTGGAGCCAGTGATATGTGGTTGGAGCGGATGAAGTGCCTAGGTACGATGGCACACGATCTGGAGAGAAGCGAGGGCCAAAGGCAGAGGTGTTACTTACAGAAAAAAGGCGAGGAGAGGTTGGTGGTGACCGGTAATCGATCACTTTGGTCTGAGGAAAAAGGGAGTGTTAGTGGGATCGAGGCAGAAAAAAAGGGCAAAAGCGCCAAGGTTATAAGATGATGACCGTGATGGTGGTTGAAAACAAGTGAAGCAAATGGGTCGAGTTCGGTAGTGGTAAGCTGTGATCTTCCCACACCATTCCATGGTTCCAGGTCTGGCCAAGCTAGGTATGCTGCTGCGATCAACCTTGGGAGTCCAGTCTCAAGGGTGACCACGTTGGCGGGATTGCTTGATTGAATCCAAGGTATGGAACCAACAAGGAAAAGGAAAAAAGCTCAAAACGTACGGCAAAGAAAGGCTTGAAATCTGTCAACGAAGTTAGCAACGCGAGAAACTTGGGTACGTTCTGCACAGGGGCAGGGAGCGCGTGGTTCTTAGCGCAAGGTCATGGTTTAAAATCGTTGGAGTCGCGATTTTATGACACAAGGTTCTTGGAACCAACCAAGGGTGAAGATGAAGAGGGTAATGTCAGAACTGCCAAGGAGCAGTATGACGAGATCAACCAGGCGATGATGGCCCAGGTCAATCATACTGCATGACACCCAGACCTTGAAGAAGAGGTTCAGGAGAGAGGATGTGGGTTTTGAGAAGATCTGGAACTTACGGCGAAAAGTTGCTTGAAGGCTGGGCAGCGGAAACGAGAAAAGAATCTTGAGCTTGGTACGACTGCGAAGATGAAATGGTTAGCTCAAGTTCTTGCTTCAAGTTTGGTCCAGTTGGAGTCGTGATTCTCGAGTGAGGTCTGGAGTCAGGAATGTCTTTTCTGATGTGCTTGGAAGCGCGACCGCAAAGTTGTGAAGTGATCGCAATAATCTCAGAATAGGAGACGAGGCCCTGCTTTCTCAGAGTGCGCGAAGGCTTCTTGTCACGATGCTTGGGAGGAGTGTCCAAGATTTGATGGATGGTGATGTGATGTGGAGGTGTAAAAATCAAAGGGAGTGAAGATCAAGTCAAGAGATTTGGTATACTCGCGCTTGAAGCTTCTGAAGTCGAAGTCAAAGTCTCCCAGACTCTTGCGATCGAGTCACTCGACTCTCTCGCATCGTGGGCTCGGGTGAAGATGCGGGTGAAGGTGACGAATGGGTTTACCTGACTGAGTTGCCTTGGCGACGAGGGTTGAAGATGTGTGTGAAGGAGGAAGAAAAGGCAAAGCAGGGCAGGCGTGATGGATGATTATACCTTTGAAAACGATGGAAGTTTTCTTGGTTGAGGGCAGGATTGATGATGGTGAACTGGGCACTTGGTACTTACTCGACGCGATGGTAGCTTTGGCTAATGGTGTTGTGGACAAGAAAAAGTTCGGGCGAGTGCGGGCGGAAGAGTTTAAGACCCAGGAGGGAGCAAGGCGGGAGGGCAACTGGACGGGGCACGGTCCTTTGGGAGGACCTGGACTGTGAGTTCGGACGACACCAGACTGGGCTTTTGTTGAGCAAGTTTGTTTTGCCCACTTGGGACGAACGGCTGTGAGGCTGGGAAGCAAAAGTCAAGACGACGTGAGGCTGATCCTGCCATACTCACCTTTTCCGTGGGCGACTGGCTCAACACGGAGCTGGAGATTTCGGAGCAAAGGAGTGAAAGCTGAGATATGGCGAGGCTGGTCTTGCTGCCAACGGCATCTTTCGTCTTGTCCACCCAGGTCACTCTACGGATTCTGGTCTTGCTCAGTTGGGTGAAGGCCAGACGGCTATTCAGATGACAACTTCCTATCGTACTCCAAGTCATTCTGTGAGATACTACATACAAGTGTATCCACCGAGATCACATCATCCATCCGAGATATCACACAGATATGGTTTGCTCTTTTTCACAGAGCTCCCTTCCCAAGGTGTACTTCTATCCTATATCGTTTGTTGACTTCGACAGTGGAGCGGCGTACATCATTTGCAGGTGTTTATGCTAGAACTAACGTCGTCAAGCTTCCCTTTCCCTTCTGTGACTGCGTTTGTAGAGGTATCTTTACGAGTTAGCGTGACGACTATCGAGTGTGGAAGGCACACGTTGTCTGTTGTATTCGTAAGGCTAGATGGAGATTTGGGGATGGATCGAAGGAGCTGGTCGGTTGAAACATTGGCCGGACAACAAACCCGCCTGTTTCACCAGAAGAAGGCGGTGGTGTTGAGCTGAAAGGACTCAACTTCATCTGTTAGGGCAGGCAGATGGCACAAATATCAACAATCTCTCAGAGATATCAATCTGTTACTTGGTTTCACGATTACGCTTGAGGTCAAGAAATCGCTCCTCGATCTGCTTCAAGTCGGTCATAGCGTCTTTGAAGGGGCTGGCTAAGGTAGGCAGACACATCCTTCCTGAGCGGATGACGATTTTACGCCAGAGGCACCAATCTCGTGAAATATGGAATCAGTTGCCTCAGATACCACTGATGGGGAGTCGACTGCTCCGACGAAATGGACGTTGAAATTCGAAAATAATGTGTTTTAGGAATTGGTCGACACAGTAGATGGCAGGCTTAAAAACCATTGCTTTTTACACCCAGAAGACCATTTTGGGCACATGTACTTGGCGTTCTCCTTCTTTGTGCCTTTGTTGCTTTCAAGTTAAAGTCGTCGAGTCAGCAGTCGGTGCACATTGCATGAAATCAAAAGCTCCCCTTGAACAACGAGGCCCAGGACTCGTACTTGCTTGCCCCGATCCCTGAGTCTCGGCCAGGAAACATGCCACGGTACTCTGTAAGATTTGTAAGTAGACGTAACATCTTTTGCGTGGTCAAGAGATATCGAAGTGAACGCCTGCTAATTTCAACGAAATAAAGTCGGTGCTTCCATTGCAGTTCGCGAGTAGCGGGGCTGGGAGTACCGTGGTGGGAAACCCTTTTTCCAGACATGCGTTGTACGGGCATGTCTAGAGGATTGGGATACAATCAATGTTGGGAAAACGATTATTTGGAAAACAGTAATTGTTTTCCAAACATTGATTGTCTACCAGATAACGGTCGTTGCGACGCAGGCTGTCCCGCTTCGGTACCTCTACATATATCAAGCAAGGCTCCCTCACTACGACCTCTGATTTTTTTCTTTTTCTCCTCCCCTCTCCTCCTTATCTTTCATCGACGTACTTTCGCCAAACAAGGCTCCTCTCACCATCTGGTCCTTTCTCAAACAACAGCCAAGGTGAGCACCACTACCACAAGCTTACATCTCTTCCAGTCCTCCTGCTCCTCCTCCTGCCTGACCTCATTCGGGAACGTCCAACTTCCAGGGACGAGACAGCTGCTCAATACTAGTCAAAATTTCCCATACTGGGAATTTCGCGGAAATTGGAAAGTCGCGACTCAGCCCGTCGGCTGAGCAGCAAACACCCCTCTTGCGCAGGGAACATCACAAGAGAAAACACTTTGCGAGATTGATATCAGCTCTACCTCCCTCCGTGGCCCCCTCATCACGACGACTCTCAAGCTTTGCTCCCAGTCTGGTGACCAGCCCTCCGGCGCTGAGTGCTACAAGTGCGGCGAGGTCGGCCACATTGCCCGCAACTGCTCCATGGACGGCCAGGAGTAAGTGTCCCCTCATCTTAAGACTGACATTAAGCGGACGCTGACACACACTCCAACATAGATTTGAGGTCGCAGAGTCCGTGTTGACAAGGCCTCTGACCGACCGCGCCGGCCACACCACAGTTAGTGAGTTTAACCATCTTCCAACGAAATTATCACCCAGTCAATTCTCGGCTATCTCTACGTCCATACCAGGCATCCTCACACTAACCACACCTTTTTGTTCTTTGCCCCGAAAAGCAGACAATCTACAGCGAACTGAGCGACCTTGGCCAACACGCGTTCATCGGCAACTCGAGCATGAGTTCTCATCGTCCCTCTGTCTCCAGATCCCTCCTCGACACTGACCCGAACCCCAAAGGAGTCAATAGAATTTCTGTACCTGACCTGGGGATAATATTGACCTACTACACGTTTCCATTTCGCGCGTCCTTTCGACTTCTCAAAGCGCCACAAGAAACAGCCGAAACCGAGCGACCTGCCATTGTCTAGGGTGCTGGCCAACACTCTAAAACCGAAAAGCAAGCCAGCACCCAGGACAATCACCCGCCTCCACCAAGGAAATCGAAAAGCAGGTGGCGGTGGTTTCGTAACGAGTTCTCAGAAATGGAGACGACGGAGAAAACCTTCAATTTCGAGGTAGAGTGTACATACCTACCTACAGGTACCTACGTACCTGTATATAGACGTGGAAGTTAGCTAGCACTACACCTTAGGTAGAGGAAGAGAACCTCACCTCCACACAGCCCTCATCATACCTAATTTTGGAGGTGATCTTTCACTATCAATCTCACAGCTCCTTGTTTGGTAATACCTACCTCTAGGCAATGGAACCTTGAGGCTTTGGACCATAGGTAAGGTAGGTACCATTCACCATCGTCCAATAACCTCCCCATCGTCGACGACCTTGGCTACCTACCTACCTACATCTATCTATTCACCAGCAGGTAAACCTTGAATGCCTTCCAGGTTTACTTTCAACCCCTTTACTGGCAGCTAATCAGGTTCTTAGTCTTTCCCACTTTCAGAACTATAAAAATTCCACTAATTGTACTCGGAGCTCGCTGAACTTGTTCCAGTCTTGTCCGAATCACCAAACATCTTCGACTTCCACCTCCAAAAGTCGACAACACAACCATTGTCCACTCCCCTGTATCATATCAGGCTTCTCAAATTTCTCAATGTACGTCACTACTCCATTTAACAACAACCACTACTTAGGTAATCTTTACTAAGTGACATTACCTCCAGTACCGGCTCTTATCTTACTCTCCATTCCTTGAGACAAAGCCAAGATGGTAAAAACCAATGATGAAAAGTCCAATGTGACAACCTCCAAAGCGGCAGCCAAAGAAGTCACCAAACCCGCCAACAACATCCTCACCCCGGCCGCCAGAATGCTTCAACATATTCTATCAAGCCGCACCCTCTTGATCATGAGGAAGACAATGATCCTCGAAGCCCTAAACCAGGCCGAGAACGAAGCCGAAGCTAAGGTGGAGGCCGCACTTGCCAGGAAGGATGACTTGAAGTCGGACAAAGCGGAGGTGGACAAGGACGACGATAAGGGCAAAGACAACGACGATGACAACATAAACCCTCGAAACCCCCCTACCTCAGACCCTGCAGCGAAGGCCCCATCTGCAGTCCAAGTAAAAGCCAACCAACACGAAGCGCAAGCTGCTATCCGTAGCCTGAAGAGACATGGAGCCAGCGTCCAAGCAGCAGAATCTCCAGCAAACGTCCAGCAGAACTTATCAGCCGGTAACATTCCTCCCAAGGCTCCCAAGGCTCCCATGGCTCCCAAGGCTACTACCTCGGGTACAACACGTAGCGGTCGCGTGGTGAAACCCAGCCAGAAGGCCAGAGATGTGAAGGGGGTGATGAACAAGAAGAGAACCAGCACCAGCGAAGCGGCTACACGTACTAGGACTAGGACCAGAACTAGAAGTGGAAAAGGAGGCAAGGGAGGAGCCACAAGGTCCAATTCAGCGCCGCCGCCGGCCGCTACTGTGAACACGACGGTCACACGCAGCGGTCGTGTGGTGAAGCCTAGTTTGAAGGCTAGGGAGATGGGGGGTTAGCGGAATACCTCTACGGTACATACCTACCTCTAGGTAGCACGAGATGTTTTGCTTTTTCCCAATGCTTAGAAGGAGACATGGTTGATTGCAAGTCATTGTGTAAAGTGAACAAATACCATCAACTCTTCTGGGTTAGAGAAGAACTACTGCAACATGTTGTGTAAGTAGGTACTGAGCCAATGATGCAACAACTGTGACCGTGAATCTCCGAGTTCCTAGAGAACTACGTACATACAATTCCATATCAAGTAAGAGAATATGGAAGAAAAGAGATGAATCGAAACTAGGGGTACCATATAAAAAGCTAACATGAAATAGAAAGAACAAAAAAACCATGGACAGTGATAGTCTAGGTGGGTATCGAGTACCACCAATACCACCACTCTCTTGAACGCCGAACCAACTCGCGATAAGCAAAGAAAATTCATGCTGAAAAAAAAATAGAAAGAAATAGAACGTATGGGGTGATGAATGAGTGTGGGTCTGAGCCATCACGGGCCCTAGTACCTTGTGCAAAGTGCGTGGAAAAGATTGAAGCTCCTGGCAAGTGCCTCTTTCCCTCATGATTCCAGTCTTCAAAGGAGCCGAGAAAACAGAACGCTTTTCCTTTTATCTTTCCATCCCCGCCTTGACTCCATATTTTCATGCCTAGAGGTACTAGAACGGCACCTTCTTTCTCTTTTCTTCTTTTTCGTCTTCTTATTTTTTTTTTTTTTTCCTTTCGATTTTGTCCACTGACCGCCTGGCTCCTGACTGGACAATCACAAGGACGTTCTTCGAGGCAAGTTAGAGATCTTAATCATCCTTCTCCTCACCCTCCTCCTCAGGTTCCGGCATAACCAACTTGACATCTACGCCCTTGCCCTTCTCCGACCTCCTAATCTCATAATGACCACCAAGCACCAGATCCTTCGCCACCAACTCCCTGGTACGTCCCAAGCTCTCGATAGCCGCAATCCTGTCAATGGTCGCCTGCAGGTGTTCGCGGAAGCCGGGCTGAGCAACGATCTCCCGGAATGCGAGGTGCATGGGCACGGAGCTGGCGCGCACCTGGGCGTTCTTGGTGATCGAGAAAAGATTGAGGCGGTCGAGGGCGCGCACAAAGTCGGAACGCGTCATGATCTGCTGGGCCTCGTGCAGAGCGTACGAGGGCAGGATGTGGCCGACTACAGGGTCGTAGGTGGAAGAGCCAGCGGCTTCCATCATGGCTTCTTTATCGACGAGGGCGGTGGCTAGGACTACTGCTGCTGCCTGTGTGTGGGGAGGGGGTGTTAGCAAATTGGAGGGAAGATGGGGAAGCAGAAGGAGTTTAAGGGAGATGGGGAGTGGGAAGAGAAAGAAAAGGGAACAAAGAAACAGCAACTCACAGCCCACTTCTGCTGATCCATCACATCATCATCCATTTCCTCTCCCAGAATCCAGCACTGGTTCAAGAACCACGTCTTCTCCACTTGCTTGATCTCATCACATGTCGCCAGCATATCATTGCTCTTGGCGACCCTATTCAAGAAATTCAGGCGACCACCCACGCGATCGTAGATTTGCTCCAAGGTCTGGTCGCTTAAGTCCTCTCCGAAATAGCGGTGACGATAATTCCTGAGGGCCGCCGTCGCCAGGTTCTTGGGCAGGTCCGTGATCGAGAGCACCTCCATGCGCGTGGCCAACTGCTTCAGCCTCTCATACACCCAATAATCGTCGCTGTTAAACACCATGGTAACCAAGTTGCTGGCGGCCCACTGCTCGGCCTTCTGCTGGAGCAGCTCAATCAGGTCCTTGCCGTCCTCATCGTCGCGGATCAGATGCATCTGGTTGATGATAACCACCAGCGGCCTTCCAATCTTTGCACGCCGCTTGAGTGCCACCTTTTCCAGCTTGTTCAGCGCACGCTCAATATCCAACAGCGCCGTAGTGTCGCGCGGGCCGCGCTCGCTAAAGTAGCTGCCGATGTAATCTTCGTGGAACTCGTAGTCGAGCGCCTTGCCCAGGCGGATGCGAAAGATCTCCAGGTCGGCATGCGCCTCAAACATGGCCACGCCGTCACCGTCGATCTTGCGCATGGCTTCCAACAACATGCTGCTCTTGCCCGTGCCCTTGTCGCCGATGAACAGGTGGTAGTGCCCGATCTCTTTGCCAGCCACGATATCATCGACGATGTCCTGCTCGGGTCGTGCGATCCAATGCGTGGCGGCAGCGGTCTTGGAGAGCGGTATGTTCTTGCCAATAGCGGCGAGGTCGAGGACGGGATCACCGGGCTCAAAAGCGTTGGACATTTTCTGTAAGACGATGTGCTTATAGGTCTTGTGGTAGGCGTAGGCAGCGATACTGAAACCGGCGCCGAGCACAAGTATGGAGGCGAACGAGGTGGCGGCTGCTTCGAGCATCTTGTAGAGGATCGAGGGATTCTCATTTGGTGGGCAGTGGTGGTGATCGTCGGAGCCATGGTGGGGGGTAGTGCGAGCTAGGGAGGATTAGTTTGCTGTCGGGTAGTATCTAATGTACACAGGAAAAAGAGCTTGGGGGGATGTCATGTTCAATGGCACGATGGAGGTAAAATGGGGAGCAGGGCATGGAAGACAAGGTCAGGATCGTCCCGATCAGGAGGTGGATTTAGGAGAAGATTCCGGGGATGAAAGAATGTCCATTGTAAGACAATCTCCAGAGCAATTTTAGGGGTTGTAACGTTGATGGTTCGGGTAGAAGAGCCTTTGCGGTCTTGATCATGACCATTCGAAGTGTGGTTCGTGAATCTTGACGCAGGTAGGCACCATCCAAGGATGAAGAACCATCTCTGGCTGACAACATGACGGCAAGGCGGGGCCGAGTCGCTGTACGATCAAAAACCGCCAGGCATCGGGGTCCATGGTACAATGTCCGAAAGCCCGTTGATGACCCCCAAATGCCTTGCAGACTGCATGTACCGGCAAGTCTTGGACCCTGCATCAACCAAGCCGAGTCTTTCTTGTATGTGGTCGAGTTCAAAGACAAAGGCATACCATTGCTTATTCCCCATACTCGACATGACACTTGTCATGGGTAACCCTCGACCATTGTTCAGATCCTCAACTCCATTGCCATATTTAATGGAGAACAAAGCTCTCGATCGCAAATGTTCACACTCCAAATCCACCCCCTTGCCAAGCCAAGTCATGACAATTCCGGGTTCGAGGCTGATGTATATAACGTGGTAGTGGGCCACAGCGCACAACAACCAGCACAAGCCAAGCTCGAATCTTTTTCCTCATACAACATTTTTTGTTTCTTTTTTTTCTTTCGTGTAGCAAAATCAACCAACAACATGTGTTAAAGGGGGGGAACCGAAGTGGGGATGCCACCTCAATGCTTGAACAATGCTTGACCGTCCATGAAATGCAACAGAGACCGGGGGGTGGTGATAACACATAAGGATAAGGAGAAAGTTGAACCCACCGAAAGATCTGCGCTGCTGGTGCTGCTGACGTTGGAATAAGCTTCTCGCCGGAGGAACTGTGCCTGAAGATCCCAGCCGCAATCTCGGGGGCCATGCAGCGATTGCAGGTGTGGGTGTTGTGGTGGATCGTGATGATGCCGATGCTGATGACGATGTAGGAGTCCAGCGCGCCAGCGCGAGGGTGGACTTGTTGACTTTGTTGAAGTTGAAGCCGCCAGTGTTGGTGGACTTGGCGGCACGGATACGCCAGGCAGCGGGTATCCTGGATGCCATGATGATGGTGATGACGTCTAGAAGTCTTCAAGTCTAGAACTTTGTTGTGAAATTGAATATTGAGATGAGAGACAAACAAAAAAGAAAAGGGGGTAGTTAGCAAAAGCGAATGACGGGAGAAGGGAAGGATAGTTAGCGGGAGAGAGAGGAGAAAATATGGTGCAAAGATTGGATAAGTTGGATGGTGAATAATGGCCAGAAAAGGAAATGTGCCGCTCTCGGGCTGCGTGTATTCCCGTCGGACGTCGATGAAGTGTCTTGCAGTGAGGTCCAAACCAATCCGGCGGATGAGGGAAACAAAAACAGGAGAGAAGCAACAAAATCGCGGTTGACGTTGTTGGTTTCTGGGCCTGGCCCGCCTTGGCATACGCTATCTCCCCCCGATCGCTTGGGTAGGGGCCCGGGTCTGCTGTCTGTGTCTGTGTGTCACCCTGTCGTGCAGCTGAAGCAGTGACGATGTCCACTGAAACAGTTGCTTGGCTTCCATTTGTTTAGTAAGGTAGTTCGCTTCCTGGAACCTGGAATCTGGGTCGAATCCCGCCATGGAAGGGAATCTCTTTGCGGTAAAAGGTACCCGAGCTTAGGTTGGCAGTTGTCGGCCAGCTGCCAACATTGTGCGCCAAGCTTACCTCTATGGGAGGACCAACATCCAGCAAGCACTCCCGTCGTCGACATTGAGCAGCCGAATCACTCGGTCGTGGAAAACCAAGGTGAACAAAGAAGATGGATTATCACACAAGGGCAAATTTTCAGTGGGGGTCGAATATGTATGTCAGGTGGAAATGCGCAATGAAGGACTGTCGACTCGGTGAAGTGAAAGTGTCCCCGCCGGACATCACCGGGCTCAAAGCCCGTGGCTGCAAGGTAATCACCTGGTGAATCCGGAGGGAAGGTGTAATGCATCAGGTATGATCTGAGTGCCGACCGGTCCAGACATGGAAAGTGGTTCTTCAGGTTCTCCGAATGCCCAATCTTCGACAACTGAACCAAGACCTTCCATTCAACCACCTACAGCAGGTACCTGCCCGTGCCTTGCCTGGAATGGAAGTCCTAACCCACCAACTGAAGCCTTCTGCTGCCGACCTTTCTTCTCCCCGCGACGACAAGATGTCTCCCTTCTCCTTTGACTTGGGTCATTGTTGTCTTTTCAAACCCCGACCTGCGGCATGGCTATCACACCCATTCCAACCGGCGCCTCACAAACCTCCACGATTACACAGATCGCGCCGAATCCCAACCTTTCCCTGACGCAGACCCAATGTTTAGTCCAGCTCCGTGCAAGTCGCGTCAAGACCCTGAAGAGAGGAATGGAAGATGCGCTTCTGGGGCTCAGTCAGACGCTAACGGCCATGGTCCAGTAACGACCGGTCTCGTTTCTTCCAAAAGAACGGCTTAAACAGCACGCCCGACAAGGATAGAGGATGATCAAGTTCCGCCGTTTTCACGACAAATATCAAAATAACACTGCAATGCTGGCGCAATCAATGGCAGCGCAAGGGCTTCGCCACCAGACCAAGGATGTATTCGAGAAGAGAACCTCCTCAAATTCGAATTTGACCTGTCTATCTACTGGCCAACGAAGCTGCGAGCAGATACTTGAGAAACAACACTTTCCTCGCTACCCTCTCGGTTGACGAATCTACAACGCAGAGGGATGGCAGAGGTAATCCACTTTCCTTACGAGCAGTCCAGTAGTGCCCTTTTTACTGTAGCACCCATCTCTTATCAAACCGGGAACACCAGACCAAGATGTATGGCGATAGTTGGGAAACTGAAGGCGTGACGGTTTCAGACAGGCAAAGCTAGTAACTTGTTCGTTATTCCTTCGTACTTTATATGATCATCTACTTTTGTAGATTTACAAGTGTAATCGTGCTAGCAACCCAGCTACGATAACAGAAGCTCAACAGATTTTCTGCACGTCTCTCTATTGTCTAGCTCTGAAGAAAATCAAGCTTTGTATATATACATTCCGCATCCAGGATGTTAAATCGAGTAACAAGAACATCAGAATCATGTATGTAACGTGAACTGAATTCCGAACTGGCTTGATGTTTCTTTTCTTTGAGGAAGCAGTCCCAAGCGGTGGCTCTGCTGGTAGTGGCTAATACCACAACGGGGTGACCAGATGATAACGAGTTTCTAAGAGGGGCTGAGACCACGTCCACGATACATCGACGCGTATTCTCCCCTTACCAAGCGTCAGTTTAGTTGAAAAGAAAATACCTGTCTACTTGTACTGTCTTTCTCACCCCCCTCCCTCCCCTTCCTTGGCTTTCTTTCCGGCCCGTTGGAATTCCGTGCCCTTGCCGCGCACTCACTGTCCGCGCTTCCGTCGCCGGCAGGCGCTGTGCCTTCCAGCTTGATAAACTGTCTTCTACATACTCTATACTAGCCATAGGCTGCCTCCGTTTGTGCTTCCCCTTCAGCCTTGCCTCAGGCACACACAAAGTCAAGCCCACAATTATTTTTTCCCCAGAGTGGCCCTTCTAATCGCTCCCTCTCCTCTTTGAAACTTCCCTCCACCACCATCTTCCCCCTCACCACAAGAGTCATACTTTGCTCACCCCATCCACTTGACCTCTCGCCTCTTGCTCGCAAACATCGCAAACTACCAAGCAAAGCGAAGTGATTGCCACGTCAGCAACAACCACACACATTCCCACACAGTCACGCAGCTTGTAAGTAAACTCTTCCCTTTTATATATTTCCCCTCATCCTCTTGTCTCTCCTATTCTATCATATCTGCGCGAGGCACCACCCCTACCGCGCGTATCCTTCATCCAGTCGTATATATATATAGGTACCTTTTGTCGCAGCGTCTCACCACGTCGTCAAGGGACGTACATGTATCTGACACGCAAAACATCACAGTCCTCTCGCGCTCTTCCAAGCTATCAAGCAGAGACAGGTGATCTAGGGATCATCGACAGGCAACAGCGCTTGTCCACACCATGTGAGTACCTCTACATGCCTCTCGCCCTCAAAACCCCTGTTCTATTCTTCATCTTTGAAATATCACAGCAACGTCGCCGGGTGCTCTCTCACTGCACTATGTATATTGTTTTGATCGCAACATCCCACCCTAACTCGCCCTCCACATGGTCACGCTTCTGACACTCGCAGTACAACAGATCTTGCGTGGTTCATTGCTTGGCCACCAGTTCCAAGTCATCAAAAATGGACAGACTGACCCAGAAGGAGCTCGACTGTCTCCTCGCGCTCCGCGACCTGAAACTTGGTGGCGCCGTTCAGGACGTGGACACAGCTCCGGTGACCAACAACAGCGGTCACACTGGCCAAGGCCCGGAAGTGGTCGAGCCTGTTCCCATCCAAAACAAGGTATGTGATTATTTTTTTCATTCTCATCCATCTTTTCTTTTGCTCATCACTGAGCCCAATTTACTAATTGGTGGGATTTCCTCAGCACGAGGACTTCTACAAAGATATGATCGAAAGTCTGGAGAAAATGGATAAGATAGTGGAGGGCGGCAGATGAGTATAAGCGGAGAGAAGACGAATGGAGATCGATGGTGATGGGTTGCGAAGTTCACGGTTTTTGACCCGACTCATGACATGGGTCTCTCTATCGTACGTGTTACCCTTCTTTTCATTGAACCTATCACGGTCAGTTACTAATCTCATTCTCCAGGTCGCCAAGGAGAACCCAGACTATCGCGTCGTCGCTTACGATGAGCTCTGCCCGAGGTGGCGACTCGAAGTGTACCATTCAAAGCTTCTTTGGGGCTCGGGTCAGTCCAGTCAGTGCCGCGGAGGGAGTCCCGAGGGATCATAAGGACCCCATTGCTCAAGTTGCCGGTGAGTCCGACGAGGACGATAAGAACGAGGAGGAACGTCTCAATGAGATGGTTGGTGCTGAAGCTCCCAAGTAAGTGTTGAGGTGCCTTCCAGTTGTGAGTATCTGGTGTGAACATTGTACTAACAATCAATCCAGCCCGATCACAAACGAGGAGCTGTTGAGGACTCCAGCCACATATGCTCGCTCCTGCTGCGACGGTCGAGGTGTTCTACGAGGTGTTCTACGCAAGGAGGGCGAAGACTGATCCCACTCTTCGAAGGGGGGCGGCTACGTTGTCGAGCCGTTTCCAGATTGTGCGTAGGCCGGCCGCGGCAGTGCCATTCATCAAGAGCGGACACTCATTGCCGCGGTCGGTCCCAGTGCCCCAGGAACTCGCGTGGGAGTCGGCGGCCCATGACAAGTTTCGCATCTGGCAAACTCCAGCGAGCGGTTTCCTCTGTTGCTACACCTCCAGGATCCCAACTGGTTAGCAATGTGCCTGGTTCAGTCCGGTCCGTATTCGTTGTCGAGTCTCGTTTCCAAACTGGGCCGGCCGCGGCTGTGCCATTCATCAAGAATGGACACTCATTGCCGCGGTCGGTCCCAGTGCCCCAGAGAAGAGACAAGGTCCGCCTGCTGACTGAGGAGAGAGTCCGAGGGACGATGAGAACCCAATGCTCGAGTTGCCGATGAACACATGCGGGACGAGTGTGGAATGAATGGGGTTGTGCTGAGCAGCATGGTCTTGCGACGGCTTGCTTGCTCACTAAAGTATTTAAAAAAAAAAAAAAAAAAAAAAAAAAACAAAAAAAAAAAAAAAAAAAAAAAAAACCAGAAAAACAGAAAGAAAGAAGAAAAAAACAAAGAAAAAGGAAAAACCAAAGCCATGCTACTCTCTTGATACCTGCTCCAAGCCGGTAGTCATCAATTTAAAAATGATCGAGTTGGTTGGGTGAAGGGGTTTCATAGACTACGACTACCGACCAAAGACGGGGAATGGGAATGGGCAAGGACTGGAAGCCAGACGAGTGGTCGTAAGAACAACCCGAGCATGAACGATCCAACACCGAGAGCGAGATCTCACTGAAGACGGAGCATCCCAAACCTCAAACGACAGGATTTAGGTAGCAAGACGATGAAGCCCCAGAGTCCGGAAAGTCTAGTGCGTTGCTGCTGCTGCTGCTAATGATGATAATGATGATGATTGGTGGTGGTGATGTTCGCAATCCAGATGCAGTCAGCTTCACTAGCAAAGTCTACCTGCCTAAGAAATGAAATATGCAGTACAGGCATGTCCGCTTGCTTGCATGAGGCAAGCACATGCAGATAGCACTTTCCCTTCTTCCACGCCCGTTCATTTTCCACTGCAGTCCTCCCCCACGTACCTACCTCTACAACGGTAATCACCGCTTCTCACTCTTTCTCTCCGTCGTCCCCGCCTTCCCATTTTCTACCCCCATTGTCCCTGCAGCGTTTTAAATCCTGCAGTTGAAGAGCTCCTTCCCAAAGTTAGGACTGAGTGTCTCGTTACTGCATGTACCTAGCCGAACTCCTGCTTACATCACCGCAGCAGTCAAGATCTTCAATGCTCTACCAGGGCGGGACTCTGGCTAGGGAGATCCGAAAAACCCCTGGGCGTAACTGAACTGAGTAAAACCCCCGATAGAACATAGTTCAAGATAGCGTCATTAAGGGGGCATGGAGTGGATGGCTCATCAAGACGTTTGTTGAGTACATCACCTCCAGACTTGGTTGTGGCAAGGCCAGACATTGATGATTGATTGGTACGGCTTCTTTCTTTTGCGATGTTGCGGCGACTGGTAGCCCGAGCTTGGTAGGTACCTATAGATATCGGCTGCGAGGCCTGTCAGTCGGCCGTCACAGAATGCCTCTACTTATCACGACTGACCTCGTGTGAAGCGGTGGGTGAGTATCTTGAACGTTTGGACCGGACGGAGTTTGTTGGTGAAGGAGCTAAGATCTATGAAGTAGAGCGTCAGATAGGTAGGTATGCTCGCGACAGCCTAGGTACATTCGATGATTGCGGTGATTTTCGAGAGAATGCCTAAGGCTAGGACATAAAGGTAGAGATAACACTCCACGAGCGTGAGCTATGATATATAAAAGACTGCCATTTCTGGATATCTAAAAGGTTGAGTTTTACTCACACTTTCTCACACTTTCTCACAAATGACGGTTATTGCCACTGAAGACGGAATGCTACGTCTCTGCTTGGTACTCAAGGTAGCTTGCGTCCAGATATTTGCCTCCAAGCGAGCAAACAAACGTAGCGAAATCCTCCCATCGCAAAGGCAGGCACACGTCATGGTCCGCAGTGCAGGTACGCAACGCATGTCGGCACTTGAACAAACAACACAAACGTTCCCGACGAAAAAAAAAAAGACGAAAAAGAAAGGTGCCGTTTCCCACACCGGGGTTCGAACCCGGGTCTTTGGAGATTTCAATGTGGATGATTGAAAATCCAATATGCTAAACCTCTGCACTATATGGGAGAGTAGAGTGGCTATTGTTGTTGTTGTTGTTGTTGTTGTTGTTGGAAGGAGGGCAGCAAGTTTGTCCCTATGAGGGGCACATTTTCGTCTCATCTCTGAGCGGGCGCCTTAAGCCTGGGCTCGGAGGAAGCACCGGGAGTCCGCGTAAAGGACGTACGTTCGAGACGCAGTAAACCTTCAGAAGCTGACCAGGACAGGCGTTGCTCTAAGCGTGGAACGCCAGCCTCTTGATCTTGTTCCTCTTCTTGTTTTCCAATCTTGCCCACCAGCTCGTCTCTCCTTTGCGGCTGTACATGTAAGATGGAGGAATGTCTACCGTTCAGGGCGCTTTGAAAGTGAGGCATCCGTCATAGAAAATATACTCCCAAGCTCCGAGGAATTGTGTACAAGAGACTCGAGCTACCATCTGCATATCTTACTGATACGATGCCACGCACATTGCCTCTTGGGAAATTCGCACTTTGAAGATATTGTCACTTGAACGTAGAAGCTATTGACTACTAGCAAGTGACAATTTGCAGACACATCAATATGTAAAGAACCAAAAGATGATAACGAGAAATGTGACCAAAAGCCCTGTAGGTGCCAACGCTAATCGACTCAGAAGGAGACCCTTTTGAACAGGACTATTGTTGCTAACATGGAGTTAGTTTCAAAGAGTAACCGTCTGCGACACTCACACTGTATAGTTCTAGAAATGAGGCTTAAGTCCACGGGCATAGTATGGATGCTACCATGCCCCTTGTCCGTTCTTTGACCAAGATGGAAAAAAAGCAAAGAAAGAAAAGGGAAAACTGAGCGGGACTGGACGGGATCAACAAAAGCGCGCGGGATCTACTGCAAGGACTGGCCGAGCAAGGGGAATGGATAAGGTTAAGCAAGGGGTATGTGAAAGAGGGTATCATCCCGTGGAGGACACTCCCAATGAGTAAAGGAACGGACTGTATGAATGAGGCAAAAGTCGAAAGAGTAGGAGTGGGAATTCAAAATTGTAATCACAACCTGTAGATAGGTATGTGTATCACCCGCAGAACAGCGGTTGGGGAATGAATGGTAGAGTAAGAAACATCCGACGAGCAATTTTTCAACATGCAGTGTATGTCTAAGGCGCATGTGATGGTGAGTATGCACTAGGATTCCACGGTGTGCAGAGCGGGACAGACCTGCTGTAAGTATTTGAACCAGTGAAGCGGATCCCGCCGGTCGGACGGTTCGCGTGGTGTCCTTTGGCAGATACCAGAGAGATGTACGCTAAGAGTTCTTCTCAAGGTCGACGGATCTTCGAGACAGAAAAAAGAAATGTTTGACATGGGAAAGTTGAAAGAAAAGAATATTAGTAGCGGTATGATTGGGCACTGACGATATCACCCAGTCTATAGAATGCTTTAGCCTCACTCCCAACGTTTTGAGCTTGCCAGGCCCCCTTCAGCTACCCAGTCAAAAACGTAAGGACGTGGTTACAAGGCGAGCCTCGTTTAATGACATCGTAGCTGGGCGTTTCGATAGTGATGTAGGTGACCAACTACGTGAAAGATAGCGAGTCGAGCAGGTACGCCCTATATCTGTAGGTCTCGCTCTAAGCGTCTTAGATGGGTGCCAAGCCGTGAAACCGGCGTGACTTTACGCGGCGGTTGATAGCTGACTTTGCGTTTGTAGAGAGAGAACGGACATAACTATGGCCGAACAAGCGCTCAATAGATTATTAGTTCATATAATCTTGGCATGAGGCTTGTCTATTCCCGAAGAGACCGGAAAGCGTCCAACCATAGCCCATCGGGCCGTTCGCAGTCATTGACCGACCGAGACATTCTGCTTATATCTTGTCTCGGAAACCATGTCGGCTCTCGCACCGTGTCGGCACTTACAATCTCAGCTGAAAGGCTTGAAAAAACAAAAATAAGAACGAGCGGGAGGCGTGTAGAAAAGTGTAGCTAGGCGCCAACAAGCTGTGACAGAGCGCCGTATGTCGATATAGGTTGTAGAAAGCAGCATTTTGCAAGACAAAAACCCGCTGTCAAATATCATGAATGTGGGAACGTCAGACACTGGTTTCCAACGGGAGTGCGGGAAGTTGGTAGCAATAACGGTTCGTGAACTACTAGGTCAGTCCGTTTTGAGAAGCCAGGAAAGAGAGTAGGCGCCACGTCCGCGTTCTATCAACTGAAGGAACTTGAGATAGATAGTAAGAGAGACATTCGATAGTAAAAGAGGTCAAGGGAAACTTGCCATTGAACAATCATCAAGAGGCAAGCAAGAGCGAGCGCACTGATTCGAAGCCAGCCAATGGTTAACATGCGTTCATATGCTGACTTGATGGAGACCGTTAAATAGCCAGCAGTGCATACTTTGAAACACACGGATAAGGGAAGCAGGGTGCGTCAAAGAGAATATCCCAACATGTCGCATGTTGTCTCAAATCCTATCCACATTAGAGGTTGAGAGTGTGGGGGGCCGAGTCAGATTTGACACACACATAAGAAGATCGGCCACTAGAACCTCTCATAGTGCTTCCATAATTTGCATTGTACAAAGTTGTACACATCGATATGCTCTTGCTTGGACATTATTCGATTCACTAGTGGCATATGGTGACCATTCAGCCATGCTTCATGCCAAGTGCTTGAGCGCAACCCTCATTCTGCAATATGATGATCTGAAGCTCGATTAAGACTGAGGAGCAAGGTATATTGAGCAGCCATGACGGAAAGGGCGGAAAACAATCTTCAATACCCGATCAAGCGCGAAATGGTTACATACGAACCATCCGTGAGCTGTGGCGCACTAGGGCGCAATGCATGCCGAGCCATTAAGTAGCACAGTTGACGTATTGGGGGTATCTGGGGCTAGCTCATGCGAGATTCCGAATTCTTTAAGATTGACTAGGTGGGAAAAGAAAAAAGAAAGAAAAAAAAGAAAAGGAAAGATGGCTTGAGTCGGTCAAATGCCAGCTCCCACGACAATCATTCACCGTCCATGGGTTCAATGCTCTGCAAACATTGGACTGGAAGAATGGGCATCCAAACGCCTTTCGGGTCATTATCAGGGATCAAACGTGAGGAAAGAGTTGAGAGATCGGTCAAATACGAAAGAAGAAACTCGGGGTGTCTGAGCTGGGCCAGCTGAGAGACTCAAGTCGGGTGTTCTTCTTTTTTTTTTTTCCTCTCCCCTTGAAGCTAGGGAAGATATCGTGAAGTCCCAAATCGCCGAAGCACCTCAGCTGTTATGCCATACCCAGCACTGCAACTGACATGGGCATTATCAAGGTACCGCTACTTTGCCATGTACTTGCCAATGTGCCAAGTGGTTATCGGGGAGATTCGACACAAGCTGTGCCAGGCTGGCGCTTGGGAAACCGGGACCAGTTCCAGTGAGTGATGACTCTTTCGACCCTTCGATGGGTGTGAGGAGAACGTTTGAGTGGAGTAACGGGTATACGGGTTGATGTCAGCTTTGGTCATTCTTGACGCTCCTGTCTTTTATCTTGACGCAGAACAAGAAAAGAGCCTTCGAGAGGAAAGTCAAGTGAGGTTGCGAAAGGGG